GTTTATTAATTATACTTGTTTGTTTATTTGCTTTAATTAATTATACTTGTTTATTAATTATATTTGTTTGTTTATTTGCTTTAATTAATTATATTTGTTTATTATTTTATTATAAATTATAATATATAATTTATATATTAAAAACTGTTGTAATACTTTGCTGTTTTTTTATGCTTGTTTGAGTTTATAAGAATTAGTGTTTAGGGTTTAGGGTTTAGGGTTTAGGGTTTGATTTTAGTGCTGGTATACAAGGTTGAGGGTTTAGGGTTTAGGGTGTGTTTGTAGTGGGTGCCTTTAGGGTTTAGGGTTTGTGTTTAGGCGTTGTCTTGAGGGCTTAGGAATTATAGGGTTTAGGGTTTAGCGTTTAGGGTTTTAGGGTTTAGGGTTTAGGGTTTAGCGTTTAGGGTTTTAGGGCTTAGGGTTTAGGGTTTAGGGTTTAGGGTTTAGGGTTTAGGGTTTAGGGTTTGTGTTTAGGTGTTGTCTTTGGTAGCTGATGATGGCGAAGAGGCAGCAGAGTGTTGGTCTGTTTGCTTCGGCGGCTGTACCCCAGCAGCAGCACCTACAGCAGCAGCAGCAGCAGCAGCAGCAGCAGGAGCAGGAGCAGGAGACCCATCAGCAGCATCATCATCATCATCAGCAGCATCAGCAGCAGCAGCAGCAGCAGCAGCAGCATCAGCAGCAGCAGCAAATGGTGTTGTGTTTGCAGGTTATGACAACGGCGATGTAAAAGTATTAGACTTAAGAGGGCCGAAGCTTGTTGCTGAATTTAATATATCTTTTGCTGTCTGCGGTTTAAGAACAGACAGAGACAACATACACCCAAATAAGCTGCTGCTAGCTGCTTTAGAAGGCAGACTATTCACCGCTGATCTCAAAACCCTAAACCCTAAAGAAGGGTTTGCTGTTAAAGAACAACAAATCGCTTCAGGTTCAAACTAAACCCTAATAAACCCTAGAAACCCTAAACCCTAAACCCTAGAAACCCTAAACCCTAATCTCTATAAACCCTAAACCCTAATCTCTATAAACCCTAAAGAAGGGTTTGCTGCTAAAGAACAACAAATCGCTTCAGCGAAACCCTAAACCCTAATCAACCATCAACGGTATAAACTTTAGAGAAGGGTTTGCTGTTGCTGCAGCAGCAGCAGCAGCAGCAAGTGTTGCTGCTGCTGAAGCGGTGCGGTTTAGTTTGTGTTGCTGCTGCAGGGACAGTGTGGGGTGTATATCCACTGCCGCAAAACAGAGAGATTTCTGCAGCTTGCTGCGGAAGCGGAACGGTGAGCAGCAGCAGCAGCAGCAACAACAGCAGCAGCAGCTGCTGCTGCTGCATCAGAGTTCATGTGTTTTGTGTTGGTGTGGATTGTGTTTATTGCTTGGTGCTTCATATCTTCTGCTGTATTGTTTGCAGCAGCAGCAGCAGCATTACTTGCATTTGCTGTTGCTGCTGCTAGTGCTGCTCTACGTGCTGCTCCCATATTAATCGCTACTTCTTCATCTGTGTTGCTATTTCTCATGTGCTGCTGCTGCTGCTTCTTCTGCTGCTGCTCTTGCTGCTGCTGCTGCTGCTGCTGCTGCTGCTGGTGTTTAGGTGAGCATATTGAAGTACTCGTATCCACCTGAACGTACAGTCGAAGATGTAGAGACAGGAACTCTGCGAGGAGTTGTTGGGCAGCATGTGCTGCTGAATGAAGCAGCAATAAGCAGCCAGCCTGTTGTTTCTTTTGACTGGTGTACACAAAAGATCGGCCTTGCTGTTGCTGCTGCTCTCGACTACCAGATACGCCTCACCATCGTCACTAAGCTCAACTTATATTAAAACCTCCTGCTGCTGATGCTGCTGCTGATGCTGCTGCTGATGCTGATAGGGAAGTGGCAGAGCAGACTTTGCGGCTGTTGTGTTTGCTGCTGCTGATAGTAGCAGCAGCAACAGCAGCAGCAGCAGCAGCAACAGGCTGCATTGGCAGTTTATACACGGGTGTAATAGGAAACCTCTACTCACGTGTTGCTGCTGCTGCTGCTGCTGCTGCTGCTGCTGCTTCGGGTGAGTAGCACGTGGGTAGCAAACGGACAGAGAGTGCTTGCGCAAGTATATTTGAGAAGACAAAACAACTTGACGTCCCTGCTGCTGCTGCTGCTGCTGCAGTGCTGCAGCAACAGCAGCACATGCAGTGCGGTTCATAAGTTTTGGTGCACTGCAGCAGCAACAACAGCGGCAGGGGTATGCTGACTAGAGGCAGCTTCTGCCTTCACAACTGCAGCATTTGCTGCTGCAGCTGCAGCTGCAGCTTCAGGATTCGCATGGCTCTTTGTTCTTGCTGCAGCAGCAGCAGCAGCAGCAGCAGCAAGAGCTTCTCTGTGTGCTTCTTGAAGCCTCGTGTGGTGTCTCTGCAGCCACTGCAGCAAATCGAAAGGGCAGAGCCGCAGCAGCCATTCATTTAGATCTTCACGCACCCGCCGCAGCTTCCTGCTGCGGCTTGTAACAGCAACACCACCTGCTGCTGCTGCTCCTGCTAGCTCAAAGCGGCGCCCCAGAACAGACAAACTTCCTCGCAGCTCTGCTGCTGCTGCAGATCCTGCTGCTGCTGCTGCTGCTCCTGAAGATGCTGCTGAACCCGCTGCCTGCGGCGCGCTGCCGCCGTTGCTGCTGCTGCTGCTGTTGTCGGTGCAGTGTTGCGGTGCGTGATGCTCTAAGTGCTGCTGCTCCTCTTCGTGCTCCTGTTGCTGCTGCTGCTGCTCCAGCAGACGGGCGGACCGCACAACAGCTTTCCCTGCATCTGCTACTATTTGCTGCTGCTGCAAATAGAAGTCGAAGCAAACATCCAGCTGCCCTTCGCCGTTGTTTACTGCTGCTGCACTGCCACCAAACTGCTGCAGCAGCAGCAGCAGCCAGTCGCTGCTGCCAGTGCTAAGCGAAGTCCCTAGCAGCAAAGCGAAGGCCGGCGCACCAGGCACCCAAGCCTTCCTGTTGCTGCTCTTGCTGCTGCCGTTGCTGCTGCTGCTGCTGCTGCCGTTGCCGCTGCCGTTGCTGCTGCCGTTGCTGCTGCTGCTGCTGCCGTTGCTGCTGCTGCTGATCGCTCTGGACACAGAGGTTGCGGCAGCAGCGTCACGAATATCAGCAACGCTGTCAGCAGCAGCAGCAGGGCTTGCTGCTGCTGCTGCGACGGAGGGCAGCAGCGAGCTCTGTGGGGAGCGGCAAGAGCTACAGATACACCTGGCGCCGCCAATACAGGTAAGATACGCAGCAGCAGCAGCAACGCAGCCGCAGTTGCTGCTGCTGCAGCTGCTGTTGCAGCATTTGCTGCTGCCTGTCTGGGGTTGCTGCTGCTGCAGCAAATTAGAGGAGCTTCTGTGGGGCTCCTCAGCTATCTGAAGCAACAAGGCCTCTGAGTCAACCGCAGCACTGGAAGCAGCAGCAGCTGCTGCTGCTGCATTCTCAGCAGCAACAGGAGTCTGCTTCAGCAAGCCACGCAGGAGCGGAGCCTGCAGCGCCGCCAGCTGAGGCAGCAGCATTTGCTGCTGCCGTTCTGGCTGCAGCAGCAAGTGCGCGGGGTCATAGAGGCCTTGGGCAGCAGCCGCTGCAACAGCAGCAGCAGCAGCAGCGCCGCAGCTGCCGGATGCAGCAGCAGCAGCAGCAGCAAGAAGCAATGCTCGTACAAGGCCTTCAGCAGCAAAGGCCTTGTGGGGAGAAAAGAGACATTCATCAAAAAGGAGACAGAGAGGTAGACAAACGCTGCCGCAGCAGGGGCACAGAGGACGCACAATACCCCCTGCTGCTGTTGCTGCTGCTGCTGCTGCTGCTGGTGCTGCAGCAGCAGCAGCAGCAAACGGAGACCCTAAGAGGGGGGCCTCCCTTTGATTCACTGCAACCCACAATACCTGAGAGTGATGGAGCGCTGCCTCGAACGCAAACGGACACACGGCAGCCTGCTGCTGCTGCTGCTGCTGCTGCAGCTGCTGCTGCAGCAGCAGCTGCTGCTGCATGCACCTGAAGAAAAAGACATTGCCATGGAGCTCGTGGAGCGGCACGGACCAAGGCAGTACAAAAAAAGAGTTGTTTAGAGGGAAGTCGGAAGCAGCAGCTGCTGCTCCTGCCGCAGCAGCAGCAGCAGCTTCCGGACCAGCAGCAGCAGCTTCAGCTGCTGATGGCGCAGCAGCTTGTACAGCAGCGCGATATGACTTCTGCAGGGCTACAAGACAGCCCTGCTGCTGATGCTGCTGCTGCTTCTGCTGCAGCAGCAGCTGCTGCTTGTGTTCTTGCTGCGGCTGTTGCTGCAGCGAGAGAAGCCGGAGACCAGACAGAGGCGCAGCGAAGAGCTGCAGCAGCAGCAGCACCGCATATCGCTCTAGGTTATCCACATTCTGCGTCAGCAGCAGCAGCCGCTGCGGCTGCTGCAGCACCAGCAGCCCCAACAAGAAGTGAGACAAGGAAGGGAAGCAGCGAGCGTACAGCTGAGGAGGATGTGCAGCAAACCAGAAGCGCCATAGCCTGCATGCAGCAGCAGCAGCAACAGCAGCAGCAGCGGCAGACTGCAGCAGGGCGCTAATCAACACACAGCCAGCAAGCAGCAGAAGCTGCACAAACTGCAGCAGCCGCCATGTCCAATAGCAGGTAATCAAGCAGCAGCAGCAGCAACAGCAGGCGTCCTAGTAGCTCGTGCAGCAGCAACAGCAGCAGCAGCAGCAGCAGCAGCAGCGGGTGCTACCAGTCTGAGGGGGAAGCCATTGCTATCTCCAGTGTTGCGTTGTCTGGGGAGAAAGCTCCCCATACACCCAAAGATGCTGCGAGCTGCTCTTGCTGCTGCTGCTGCTGTTGCTGCTGCTGCTGCTTTGGTCTGGAGTACGGCAGTGATTGGTGCTTCCCCTTGGATGGCCGCCTGCTCCGCTGCTGCTGCTGCTGCTCCTGCTGCTGCTGCTGCTTCGGGCTCTGCTTGCGATACAAAGGAATGCCGCTCTTGCTGCTAAGGCCTGCAAGAGCAGCAGCAGCAACACAGCAGCAGCAGCAGCAGGTAGACGAAGTGGATGAGCTATCGATATAGAAAAGGAAGCAGCAACAGCAGCAAGAGAAACACATCAGCAAGAGCGACACAGCAGCATCAGCATCATTATCAACAGCAACAGCAAAACAGCAGCAGCAACAGCAGCTGCCGCTGCTGCTGCTGCAGGGGGCTTGCTGCTGCCACGCTTACCTGCACCGGTAAGGATGATGAGGGGGTGAGGGGAGAGAGGGTCGAAGAGCAGCCGCTGCATTGTGTCTGTGCTGTTGCTGCTGCTGCTGCGGGTGCGGACGTGCTGCGGCTGCTGCTGCTGCTGCTGCTGCGGCTGCTGTTGCTCCTGTTTCTGCTGCTCCATTTTGAGTGCTGCTGTTGCTGCTGCTGCTGTTATTGTTGTTGCTGCTGCTGTTGCACACTGCGTGTGGGTGCTGCTGCAGTTGCTGCAGAAGATTTTTAAACCCCTCTAGCCCAAGCAGGAGGGGTGCAGCAGCAGAGGCAGCAGCAGCAGCAACTGCTGCAGCAGCAGCTCCATCGCTATGCAGCAACAGCTGCTGACCGCTTAGAGGCCCCCAGGGGGGTGTTAGTGTTGCTGCTGCTGGCAGCAGATGCACATGCTGCTGCAGGGGTTAATATAGAGACGGCCGCAGCAGCTGCTGTTGTAGCACAGCAGCAGCAGCTGCTGCTGCTGCTGCTGCAGCTACTATCGTGGGGCCCGTGCTGCAGCAGCAAAGTGATAAGGTTTGCACCCGTGCTGCAGTATTATAATACACAACGAAGAAACACCTCTAATCTATTTACTGTTTAAATATATGCACTAACATCTGCTGTTGCTGCTGTCCTCGCTTGACAAGCAGCAGCAGCCGCAGCAGCAGCTGCTGCTGCCGCTGCTGCTGCTCCTGGGGCTGCTGCTGCAGCGCGACCCACCGCTGCTGCGCTCGGGTTGCTGCTGCTGCTGCGCGAGATCTGCTGCTGATGCTGCACATTGTCTTTCCTTCCTTTCTTTCACTTTTGTGCTTAGCTGCGCAGCAGCTATTTTGCTGCTGTGCTCTGGCTGCTTGCTGCGCGCCAGGCGCTGCAGCCGAGCTGCAGCAGCAGCAGCAGCGGCAACGGCAGCAGCAGCAGCAGCAGCAGCGGCAGCAGCAGCAGCAACCGCAACCCCAGTCGGCGGCCCCTCCAGGGCGGCTCTTCTTTAATTTTCTCCCCTCCATGCAGGGGGTGAGGTGTTGCAGCCTGCGCAGCAGCAGCAGCAGCAGCAGCAGCAGCAGCAGCACCTCAGCACCCCCCCCCCACCGTCTTTAGGAAGACGCTGAGCAACAACAAGCATCAAGTGATGCTTTTGCTGCTGTTTAGTTCGGGGCAAGAGGCGCAGCAGCGGCAACAGCTGCAGCACCGGCAGCTGCAGCACAAACGACCGCAGCAACAGCAGCAGCAGCAGCAGCTGCTACTGCAGCGCCTTCTGCTCAACAATGAAGCAGCCCCACCTCACCTTCAGCTGGGCGGGTCGTGCGTTGCTTGCTGCACCTGCCAGCAGCAGCAGCAGCCGCAGCAGCAGCCGCAGCAGCAGCCGCAGCAATAGCCGCAACAGCAGCAGGAGCGACACCAGCAGCCGAACCCGGCGCAGGAGCAGCAGCAGCAGCCGCAGCAACAGCAGTGAAAGTAGCAGGCGCTCCACTGCGTCAATAGCAGCAGCAACAACAGCAGCAGCAAACAGAGAGCGTACACCCCACATCTTTAGCCTTATTGACGAAGCATTCGCACGCGCTCTTGCTTCGCTGCAGCAGCAGCAGGGACGGCAGCAGCAGCAGCAAAAAGAACAGCAACAGCTGCTGCAGCAACAGCAGCAACAGGAACAGCAACAGCTGCAGCCGCAGCCGCAGCAACAGGAACAGCAACAACTGCAGCAGCAGCCGCAGCAGCAGCAACAGAAACAGCAACAGCAGCAGCAACAGCAGCAGCAACAGGAACAGCAGCAACAGCACGTGCACGAGGGGCATCCCCCACACGGCGGCTCTCAACTGCTGCAGGAGCAGGAACAGCAGCTGCAGCAGCAGCAGCAGCAGCAGCAGGAGAGTTCAGGCACTCTTTCTGCCTTTAAGGAGTTGCTGCCTAAGGATGCTGGAGGTGGGGAGACACCTGCTGCTTGTCTCTTTCTTGATGGTGCTGCTGCTGCTGCTGCTGCAGCGCAGCAGCACTCGCTGCTGCCTCCTGCTCACGCCGTGCTGCTGCTGGGGCCTGCAGGCAGCCCTAAAGCTGCGGTAGCTGCTGCTGCACTCAGCTACTGCTTCCACAAGCTGCACACAGCAGCAGCAGCAGCAGCAGCAGCAGCAGGAGCTCGCAGCAACGCTCTTAAGACTTTGATTGACCGCGTCTGCAGCGCCTCCTCTTTGCTGCTGCGGGGCCTTACTTCTGTTGCACTGCTACAAAAGAATAGCAGCAGCAGCAGCAGCAGCAGCATCAAGTGCTTTTCTCAGGCGTGCATCTCTACGCAGTTTGTGCTTAGCCTGGGAAGTGAAGCAGCAGCAGCAGCAGCAGCAGCTTCCGCGGGTGGAGGCCCTCGTTTGATTCCCCACTGCCAGGTGTACGTACAGCCGATTTTTCTTGCTGCTGAGAGAGCTGCTGCTGTGCCGCAGCCTGCTGCTGCTGCTGCTGCTGGAGGTGACGATGCGACCTCCTTTATTTTGCTGCAGCTCGTAAGAGAAGCGCTTCTGGATGCGGGTGGAGAAGCAGCAGCAGCAGCAGGACCTGCTGCTGCTGCTGCTCCTGCTTCCCCACCAGCATCAGTGGAAGGTGCGAGCTGCGCTGCTGCTGCTGCTGCTGATGCTGCTGCTAGTGATGCATCTGCTGCAGCAGCACAGGGCGAAGCAGCGGCAGCAGCAGCAGCAGCGTTTGCTGTGACGCGTCTGCTGCAGCAGCTGCAGCAAGAAGCAGCAGGAGACGAGACTACCTGCTGCTGGGAGTTTCTCAGTTGGAGAGTGCTGTGCCGCTGCTTTGCTGCAGTTGGACTGTGCAGCAGCGTGCGGCAGCAATTAGGAAGGGGTTTGTTTGTTGCTGCTGCTCTACCCTGTATATCTTTCCTTCCTCCCTCAGCAAAGCTTCAATCAAAAAGCCCCGTTGCTGCTGCAGTGAGAGACGCACGGTGCTGCTGCTGCTGCTTCAACTGCTGCTGCAAGTCCCGCTGCTGCTGTTGCTTCAGTTGCTGCTGCTGCTGCTGTTTCAGTTGCTGCTGTTGTTTCAATTGCTGCTGCTGCTGCTGCTGCTGCTATTGCTGCAACAGCTTCGACTGCACTCAGCTTCCCCGTATCCTCCTCTGTGCTTAGGTTTTGATCCCATTGCTGCTGCTGCTGCTGCTGCTGCTGCTGCTGCTGCTGTTGCTGTTGCTGCAGGTGGTGCGGGATTTTTTTTTCTTTTGCTGCGTGGAGGCGATGGGGTGTGGCGCTGATGCTTTAGAGTCTTCATTTATCTCTTCTTCATGCATTTGCTTTAACTCCTGCCTGGCTGCTGCTGCAGCACGGCGTGCAGCAGCAGCAGCAGCTCAGGTGTATAGGCACCTTGCGGATTGGATAGCGGAGCTGGCAAGCCGCCAGCTGACTGCTCTTGCTGCTGCAGTGCAGCAGCAAGTGGATGCACCTGCAGCAGCAGATGCTCATGGGTTGCTGCTGCCTTGTTGCTGCACCAGTTGCTGCAGCAGCAAGGGCTGCGACCCCGCAGCAGCAGCAGGTTCATCAGGTGCAGCCGCAGCAGCAGCAACAGAAGCAGCAACAGCAACAGAAGCAGCAGCAGCAACCCGCGAAGAAAACGTAGAGGGGAGACAGCAGTCTCTCTTTAGCTGCATTTCAAGCAGCAGCTTTAGAAAGCGCATGCAGTCTCTGTTTGCAGCAGAGTCGTGCCCAGCAGCAGCAGCAGCAACAACAGCCGCAGCAGCAGCAGTTGTGCTGCTGGAGGCTGCGGACTTTCTACCAGATACAGAGGAAGACACAGCAGCAGCAGCAACAGCAGCAGCACCGGCAGCAACAGCATGCAGGCCCCGCTGCTTTTCTGCTGGACTCACGCGCTTCTGCAGCAACTTCGTCAATGAGAAGCTGCTGCAGCACATGCAGCAGCAGCTGCTGCAGCAGCAGTTGCTGCAGCAAGAACAGCAGCAGGTCCTTAGCCGAAGGGAAACTGCGGAACTGCAGCATGGCATGGAGATTCTGCTGCAGCAGCTGCTGCAGCAGGAAAGAGAATTGCAGTCGCATCCGCAGCAGCAGCAGCAACAGCAGCAGCAGCATTTCAACTTCAGTCTAGGGGGTGTGCAAGCCGGGTCGCCTGCTCTGGCTCTAATGGAAGGCCGCTGCAGCAGAAGCAGCGGCAGCAGCAGCAGCAGCAGGCAGCGGCAGCCTATTAACGCTTTCTGGGTGCTCTGGGACGCGGTGATGTCTCCAATTATAAAGGATGAAAAAAGAGACAGCTTCTTCTTGCAGCAGCTGCAGCAGCAGCAGCTGCTGCTGCAGCAGCAGCCACATCAGCAGTTGCTGCAGAATCCAACGCGTCGGGCTCTCTCTCAAGGCAACATCAGCAGCAGCAACAGCAGCAGCAGCAGCAGCAATGAGCTCTCTCTAACTTTGCAGCATGCCTGGGGCAACTGTACATACACCGTAGATGGCTTTGCTGCTGCTGCAGCTCCGAGCAGCACCGCAGCGAACCGCGCGTTGCTGCACTTGTCTCCCCCGCTGCTGCCTTGGCTGCAGCAGCGGCTGGCTGCTGCGAGTATTAATAGCAGCAGGACCAGCAGCAGCAGCCGCTGCTGGCTGCTGGGGTCCTCTCCGTCTCTTCCTGCTGCAGCAGCAGCTCTCCTAGAATCTCTCTCCCCTCCTGTTTGCAGCTGCTCGTTTGCTTTGTGCTTGCCTGCTGCTCAGCTGCAGCAGCTGCTGCTGCAGCGGCGCCTCTTGCTGCCGCAGCACGCGCTGCTGCAGCACAGGTGGTTTCCAGTGTCTGTACACCGCAAAGCAGTCGAAGCAGCAGCAGCACAGCTGCTGCTACGCTATGGATACGAGGCCCCGCGCAGCCCCGCTGCTGCTGTTGCAGCTGTTGCTGCTTTCGTTGGTGCTGCTGCTGCTGCTGCAGCAGCAAGAGCTCATCGCAGGAGCACTATCACCAACGCAGCTGCTGCTCTGACTGAGGCAGCGGCAACCCCGGAAGTGCGAGTAATTGCACGTGCAGCAGCAGCAACGACAACAGCAGCAGCAGCAGCAGCAAAGGAACGAGGAAATGAGATGATGCACGCCTGGAGGCTGGGGACATCAGCAGTTTTTCTGTCTAGCGAAGCAGCAGTGCAGCTGGTGGAGGTGCAGCAGCTGCTGCAGCAAGAGGGTGAAGGGGCGTGGATGGCTGCAGCAGCAGCAGCTGCTGCTACTGCCGCTGCTGCAGCAGACAGGAAGCAGCAAATACGTGCAGCACTTAGAAGCAGGGTGTTGTGCATTGCTGCGATGCAACAGCTGCAGAAGCGCAGCAGGAGAAGGCGCCGCATTGCAGCATCAGCTGCTGCAGAAGCTGCTGCTGCAGCAACAGGAGGTGGAGGGGCGATTGATACTCAGCAAGCCCCAGAGCCGCAGCAGCTCGAGATGCAGCAGCAGCAGCAGCAGCGTATGCCCCAACTGCTGCTTGTGGGGAGGCACACCAGCAGCGACCAAGGCGCTGCTGCTGCTGCTTCTGCTGCTGCACCCGTAGAAGCTCAGCTAGATGGCCTGTGCGACGTGCTGCAGCTTCAGCAGCAGCAGCAGCAGCAAATCGCTCGGCCGGTGCAGCAGCAACAGACGATGTCTCACAAGGAACAGCAGCAGCCTCAGCCTCAGCAGCAGCAGCCACAACCGCTCCAGCAGCCGCAGCAGCAGCAGCCGCAACCGCTCCAGCAGCCGCAGCAGCAGCGGCCACTACAGCAGCAGGAGCAGCAGCAGCAGCAACGGGAGTGTGCTGCGGTTCAGAGCAGCAGCATAATTGCTGCTGACGCGCTGTCTGCAGATGTACAAGAACATGGGACGCTTGGATGCTGCGGAGACACTGCAGCAACAGCAACAGCAGCAGCAACAGCAGAAGCAGCCTCAGCAGCAGCAGCAGGGGACGGCTGCACTGAGGCGCAGGACAAGCGACGAAGGCGGCAGAGGAGACAGCGGGCCTCACCTTCATCAGCATCACCAACCCCAGCAGCAGCAGCAGCAGCAGCAGCAGCTGCAGCAGCAGCAGCAGCAGCAGCAGCAGGGCGCTGGGTTCCACCTCCTCCCCCTCCTTACCCGCCTCCCCCAGCCTACCCTCCCCCTCCTCCGCTACCTCCTCCGCTGCAGCAGCAGCTTGTGCTGCAGCAGCTGCAGCATATGCAGCATCCGACCCCCCAGCAGCACTACAAACCGCCAACGCCATCCTTTGCCCCCCATCAAAGGCAGCATTTGCTGCTGCCGCACCAGCAACAGCAGCAGCAGCAACAACAACCGCAGCAGCAGCAGCAGCACCAGCACCAGCAGCAGACTCGGATCGGCAGCAGGCGCCAGCAGCGGCATCGCGCCGGACCCGTTTTGCTGCAGCAGCAGCAACAGCTCCTGCTGCTGCAACACCCGCAGCAGGAGAAAGAGAAGCGTCTGTTTCCGGAGCAGCAGCAGCAGAAGCTACAGCAGCAGCAGAAACAGCATCAGAAGCAGCAGCGCTTCCCCTTGTATACCTCACAAGGTGATTTGCAGGTGATCAGTGGGCCCCCCCCACCACCGCCACCGCCGCAGCAGCTGCAGCAGCAGCTACAGCAGCAGCGGCAGCAGCAGCATTTTCTGCAGCAGCTGCAGCTGCACCAGCAGCTCCAGCCGCAGCCGCAGCAGCAGCATTTGCAGCATCAACAGTGCGGTGCCCGTGTATTTCATCTCGCTTGTCAAAGAGAGGACGGCAGCAGAAGCAGCAGCAACAGCAGCAGCAGCAGCAGCAGCAACAGCAGCAGCAGCAGCAGCAGCAGCAGCAGCAGAAGCATTGCTACTCCTCCGCCACCCCCTCCTCCTCCTCAGACTGTGAGAGGCCGCCGATGGCGATTGAAAGCTGGGGTATGGTTTTTATGTTGAGGTGTATATGTTGTTTATTTTGTTTTGTTTTGTTTTGTTTGTTTTGTTTTGTTTGTTTTGTTTGTTTGTTTGCTGCTCGGCAGCTGCGGCGTGTGTGGACGCCCGCTGCTTCTGCTGCTCCACAAGCAGCAGCAGCAGCAACAGCAGCAGCAGCAGCAACACCAATAGAAAATATACCGGAAGAGTTTAATATAACAGCGTAAGCAACTTGAGCAGCAGCAGCAGCAGCAGCAGCAGAAGCAGCAGCAGAAGCAGCAGCAGCAGCAAAATCAGCAGCAGCAGCAAAAGCAGAAGCAGCAGCAGCAAAGGCAGCAGCAGCAGCAGCAAAGGAAGCTGCAGAACGAGCATTAAGAAAAGCAGCAGTGGAGAGGACAGCATCAACAGGAAAGCAGCGGCAGCAGCAGCAGGACCAGCAGTCGCAACAGCAGCAATAGCAGCAGCAGCAGCAGCAGCAGCAGCAATGGCAGCAGAAGCCGTGGGAATAGCTGCAGCAGCAGCAATAGCAGCAGCAGCCGTGGGAATAGCTGTAGCAGCAGCAAAGCAGCACCAGCAAAAGTGCCCATAGCATCAACAGCAGCAGAAGCAGCCGTAGGAGCAGCAGAAGCAGCAGCAGCAGCAGCAGCAGCAGCAGCAGCAGCAGCGGGTTGACTGGGCAGCTGGGTGCGCCCTGCGTTTTGTTTGTGGTTGTTTGTTTTGTTTTTTCACCCTTGTTTCTTTTCTTCTGTTTGTGTTGCTGAGTTCTTTTGTTTGTTTGTTTGTTTGTTTGTTTGTTTGTTTGTTCGTTTGTTTGTTTGTTTTGTTTCACGTCCTTCTCTATTGCTTCCCTTCAAGGCAGGGGTTAAACTATCATGGGCGCAGCGTCTTTATCTGTATTATTAAAGATAATTCCTAAGGTGTATAGACACCCTAGGGTGTATATATATATATATATATATATCCTATGGTGTATAGAGACACCCCAAGGTGTATAGACACCCTAAGGTGTATATATACACTCCGAGGTGTATATATATATATATATATATATATATGCGCTAAGGTGTGTGTATGTACACCCTGAGGTGTATAGACACCTTTAGGTGTATAGAGACACCACCAGGTGTATGTATATACACCCTAAGGTGTATATACACCTTGGGGTGTAGACATCCCAAGGTGTGTGTATACATGTACACCCCGAGGTGTATATATCAGGTGTATGCATACTTCAGGTGTATAGACACCCCTAGGTGTATAGACACCCCTAGGTGTATATACAGCTAATGGTGTTGTATATACACAACAGGGTGTATTTACGCCTGAGGTGTATATACACCTGAGGTGTATATACACCTGTGTTGTGCATACACCTGAGGTGTATATACACCTGAGGGTATACACCTCAAGGTGTCTCTCGCTTCCGAGGCATCTTGGGGTGTACATACACCTCAGCACACAGCGTCACAACATTTCTTGTCTTGAACTGGCAGAGTTGTAATTCTTGTCCGCGTCTTCGTGTTGCTGCTGCTCGTGCTGCAGCAGCAGCAGCTGCTGCTGCAGCACCAGCACAGGCTACTGCACGGCCAGAGCAGCCTACAGCACCTTCTATAGCAGCAGCAGCAGCAACTCAACCCCAGTAGTCAGGTGTCTAGACACCACCACAGACTTGAAACAGCAGCAACACATAGAACAATAGCAGCTGCAGCAGCACACAATAAGCTAACAGCAGCAGCAACACACCAAATAGGTTATTAGCAGCAGCTGCTGCTGCCTTCTGGTAGAGCAGTTCCTGAAGTAGTTGCTGCTTCACTTGCTGCTTCACTTGCTGCTTCACTTGCTGCTGCAGTCGCTGCTGTTGCGCTGCTCGTTCTAGAAAGATCAGCAGCAAAAGAGGGGGACAGCAGCAGGAAGAGCAGCAGCAAAAAGAAGGGACAACAGCAGCACATATATAGCAGCAGACGATGAGAACAAGTGGCAGCAGCAGCAGCAGGCGAGAGACAGTCGCATCAAAACAGCAGCAGCAACACAGACCGAGAACAAACAAGCGAGAGTAGAAGCAGCAACAGCAGCAGCAGCAGCATCTGGGAGTGTGTTAACTTTGCTGCTGCTACCCAACACTCTCTTAGGCAGCACCGCGGCTAGCTCCGTGGCTAGCTAGCTAGCGAGCTAGCTAGTGCTTGAACAGTTGGTGTCTCCGGATGTGGTTTAGGGTTTAGGGTTTAGGGTTTAGGTGGGTTTGTTTCAGAGGGAAGTCGCAGCAGCAAAGCAGCAGCAGCTGCTGCTGCTGCTTCTATGCCTATGGGAGCCCATCCTCTGGCATAGTTCTGTGAGGTGTACGTACGCCTCAAGGCTGGGGAGAGATTGCTGCTACTGCTGCTGCTGCTGCTGCTGCTGACTGCTGTTGCTGCCTTTGCTGCACCAGCTGTTGTTGCCGCTGCTGCACCAAGTGCAGGGCTGCCGCCTCCGCTGCAACGCTGGTGAGAGCCGCAGCAGCGGAAAAAATAAATGGTAAAAGCAGCAACCCCACAGAGGATCGCAGCAGCAGCAGCAGCAGCTGCTGCTGCTGCTGCTGCAGCGGAAGCCCCAGCAGCAAAGCCACAGCCGCTGCCGACTCGCAGCAGCAACGAAGCCTTTTTCGGATTTCCTTTCAATGCTGCTGTCATCTTGAGTTAAATTTGGGTTTTCTTTGTTTATTTCTGCTGCTGCTGTTGCAGCAGCAGCAACAGCAGCAACAGCAACAGCGCCTCAGCAGATCCCATGAGAGCAGCAGCGCAGCAGCAGCAGCAGCAGCAGCAAGGCGTTGAGACTTTAAAACTACCGCAGCAAATGCTGCCAGATTTAGAAGCACTATACACCTACACAAACGGCAAGACAGCAGCAGCTCCTGCTGCAGCGGTTGTTGTTGCTGCTGCTGCTGCTGCAGCAGCAGCAGCAGCGGCGGCCCTCGAGGAAAAGTAGCAGCAGCCGCTACTACCGAAATACCACGTGTTATAGTCTGCTCCTTGTGACTGTAGGATTTGCTGCAGTTGCCAGCAGCAGCTGCTGCTGCAGTAGGGGCTGCAACAAAGGAGCAGCGGGAGAGTTATGCTGCTGCAGCAGCAGCAACGCCTTCCTGTTGCTGCAGCAGCAAAGCCACTGCTGTCCCCTCTTCTTATCTTCCAGTCCTTTTTAGTAGACAGTAGGGTGGCAATACAAGCTGCAGCAACAGCAGCCTTCAGCAGCAGCAGCAACCAACAGCAGCAGCAGCAGCAACAGTCGGCAGCAGCAGCAAGTGTCTATAGCAGGAGCAGTCAGCAGCGGCAGTCAGCAGCAGCACCACCAACAGCAGCAGCAGCCAGCAGCAGCAGCAGCAGCGGCTGCCGATCGTGCGGCTTGCGACTGGGTGGAGGTAACAGCCAAATGGGCAGCTAAGGGGCAGTTGCCATCTCCGCAGCAGCAGCAGCAGCAGCAGCAACAGCAGCAGCAGCAGCAGCAACACCAGCAGAGATGTTTACCAAGCAGCCGACGGGAATGGGGCAGCAGGGTTCTGCTGCTCCTCTGCAGCCTTCCAGTAGCAGCAGCAGCAGCAGCAGCAGCAGCTTGGCACAGCATCAGCAGCCCAGCACGGAATGTTCATCCTCAGCAGCAGGATCTGCTGCTGCAACAGGAGCAGCAGAGGCAGCAGCTGCAGCAAATGCAGCAGCAGATAACAGGGCGTCGCACAGCCTTTCCATATCTTCTCTTATAGGGGCGCTCGTGCCGCTGCCTGTGCAGCCGCGTTCTGCTGCTGCTGCTGCTGCTGCTTTGCCTCCGCTGCTGCGGATTGTTGCAGTGTCTCCGCTGCTGCCGCACCCAACCTTCTGCTGCAGTCGTGCAGTGTCTCACGCTGAAGCTGCAGCAAATGCAGCAGCAGACGCAGCAGCAGACGCAGCAGCAGGAGCACCAGCAGCAGCAGCTGCTGCTGATGCTTCTGCTGCTGCTGAAGGGGAAGTGCGCAAGCGAGAGAGCGACGTCTGTACAGCTCAGGACAAGCAGCAGCAGCAGCAACAGCAGCAGCAGGATACAGCAGCTACATGTTCTGCTGGGGTGGAGACAGCAGCAGGGACTGCAGCAGAGTCGGCAACGACAGCAACTGCAGCAGGAACTACAGCAGCAGCAACAGCAGGAAATACGCTGCAGCACACGGTCTCTGCGACCTTGACTGAGGACTGGTTTCAACGTGGAGACGGTGCAGCAGCAGCAGCAGCTGCAGCAGCAGAAGGCTCAGGGAGTGGGGGCCCCTTTGTTTATGCTGCTGCTGTTCATGATTGCAGCCTTCTGGGCTGCAGCAGCAGCAGCAGCAAGCAGCACGCTGTCCTGCGTCGCTGCGCCTTCCTGCTGCAGGTGCCCTGGCAGCTGTCTGTACGCCGCATGGATAGACAAGCAGTTGTCTCCTCGCTTGCTGCGGCTGCTGCTGCTGCTGCTGCAGCAACGCCTCCTCCTGCTGCTGCTTCTGCTGCTGCTGCTGCTGCAGCCAGCAACAACAGCGGCAACTGGGAGAACCAGCTGTCTCCCTGCTGCAGCAACAGCAGCAGCAGCATCGACTTCCTAAAGACAGCGATGGCCCCAGGTGCAGCGCGAGCGCCTTGTGAAGTTCGGTGTATACCGCTGCTGCCTGCTGCTGCTGCTGCTGAATGCGACAGCGGCAGCAGCAGCAGCAGCTCGCAACATTCGTCTCGCCGCCTGAGCCGAGGCAGCAGCAACAGCAGCAGCAACAGCTTGCTGTCTTTGTCTTCATCTAGGGGTGCTTTAGGGCCCCCAAAGCATGCCCCAGTTGCGTCTGCTGCAGCACAAGCTGCTACACTGCAGCAGCAGCAGCAGCTGCTGCAGCAACAAGGCCTCTGGTGCAGTCCCTTGTCAGTTCTAGCTTTGCCGCTGCTGGTGCAGGACAGCTGCAGCTGCAGCAGTTGCTGCTGCAAAGTGTCTCTCAATCAACTGGAGCGAGGCTGCCCTTTGGCTGCTGCTTGCTCCTGTTGCTGCTGCTGCTGCAGCAGCCCCATCCGCGTGCTGCAGCACGCTCGTCTCCTTTGCTGCTGTCAGCACACCGAATTTATTGTGAATGCCTCGCTGCTGGGTCCTTCTGCTGTGTCTCCTTTGCTGCTGCTGGCCTCCAGCAGCAGCAGCAACAGCAGCAGCAGCAACACTTATCTCTGGGCCCTGCACTCTCCGGCGCTGCTGCAGCTCTGCGGGCGTTTGTCTCTGCCTGCTCTGCCGCAGCAGCAGCAGCAGCAGCAGGTGCAGCAGCAGCAGCAGCAGTACAAGTATGCATTGCTTGAGAGTGACGAAAGACAGCTGCAGCATTCGCTAGTTGCTTTTGGTTTATCTGCTTCTCCTTTTGCTGCAGTGCCTCGCATGCATCTGCTTTTCGTTTACTTGCCCTGGTCCCAGCAGCAGCAGCAGCAGCAGCAAGAGGAGCAGCAGCAGCAGCAGAAGCGATGTGTAGTGGGTGCATTTATGATAGATGGCCTCGCCAGAGGAGCGCGGGGTCTCCCGCTGCTGCAGCAAATAGCAGCAGCAAACGAAGTCCCTCTGTCTCCTTTTCATGTAGAAGAGATATCGGAAGCTGTGCTTGCAGAGCCAAACCTATGGAGTTAGTCTCCTGCTGCTCTTGCTGCTGCTGCTGCTGCTGTTGCTGCTCGTGCTGCTTCTTCTTCGCTGCTGCAACTCCTGCTGCTTTTGCTGCTGGTGGTCGCAGTTGCTGCTGCTTATGCTGCTGTTGCTGTTGCTGTTGCTGCTGCTTGCTCTGTTGGCTGATGATGCTGCTGCTGCTGCTGCTGCTACGAAGTCGACAGCAGCAGCAAATAGTGCTGCCTGCTACTCGGCTGCTCGGTCCATCTGCTGCTTCTGTTGCTGCTGCGAGTACTGTGGCCTTTTTGTTGCTGCTGCTGCTGCTATCTCCTGTGTTACTGCTGCTGCTGCGTTGGGGCTAGCAGCAGCAAGAGTCATCCATAGATTCACCTAATGTCGCTGTGCTGTTGCTGCTGCTGTTGCTGCTGCTGCTGCTGCTGCAGGCGATTTGATGACTGTGACTGTCTCCTCAGCTGCCTCATTAGATTGTCTTGCTGCATCACCAGGTGCTGCTTTAGGCTCTGCAGTATATTCGGGTTGGCCTCTTGCTGCTGGGGGTACCCCTGCTGCTCCTCCGCTGCTGTCTCCTTCGCCGCCTTTAAGTAGCAAAGCTGCTGCTGCTGCTGCTGCTGCTGCTGCAGCAGAAACGCCTCAGCTTATCTGGGGAGCACTCAGCGGCTTTCTTTCTTCTCTTATTCCTCCTTGCCGCTTGCGGGTGGTCTCCGCTTATGGAGATGAGTTGCTGCTGCTGCTGTCTCCTGTGCTGCTGCGTGTGCAGCAACCCGGTAGCAGCAGCAGCAGCAGCAGCAGCGGTTTGCTGCAGGTCCGGTATGCAGTCAGGTGTCTCGCCAGCTCCTCACTGCTCACAGAGCTGCCGTGGCTCCGAAGCTTTTGCAGCGAGCAGCAACAGCAGCAGCAGCAGCAGCTGCAGCAGCAGCAGCAGCAACTTCGCGTTGAGGACCTAGGCGTTTTTAAGGGAGACACCGAAACCCTCAGCGGCAGCAACGCCAGCAGCATACAGACAGATGATGGAGACAGCCCCTCCCTGAGAGAAGAAGACAGCACACCCTCAACAGCAGCAGCAGCAGCAGCAGAAACAGGAGACCCAGCAGCAGCAGCAGCAGCAGCAGCAGCAACGCGCGGCGGGCTGCTGTTGCGGGGTGTCTCCTCATTGCCGCAGCAGGCTCTAGATATGGCCTGGACAGCGGAGACAGGTTTGCTGCTGCTGTGGAGCAGCAACGGAGTGAGAGGGGGCATGTCTCCTTTGCTGTCTCTTCAGTCGGCTCCGATGCAGCAACAGCAGCTGCTGCTGCTGCAACAAAGGCTGCCGCTCGGCTTTAACGCTGCAGCAGCAGCGCAGATGCCTCGCGTCTGCTGGGCGGCATTTCTTCCCTCGTCTTTTCTCTCGCTGCTGCAACAACAGCAGCAGAAGCAGCAGCACTTGTTGCAGCAGCAGCAGCTGTTGCTGCAGCAGCAGCAAGGCGAGAACAGACTCCTGCTGCCTCCCACGGGGCGCCTGCCACTGCTGCTGTGTGCATCAGCAGATGCGCAGCAGCTGCTGCTGCTTCAGGTTGACGTTGCTGCGTCGGTCCTTGGGGTGCAGCAGCTGCAGTTGCTGCTGCTGCAGCAGCAGCAGCAGCAAGAGGAGACCGATTATCTCTTTCCAGGTTTGAATATGGAGGCTGTGGCTAGTCTCTTCAGAGTGCCACAGCAGCAGCAGCAGCAGCAGCACACGCACCCTCACCACATGCACTTGCAGCAGCAGAAGCAGCAGCAGAAGCAGGCGCTGCTGCTTGCTGCCCAAGTTGTGGAGCTGCCTGTCCCGCTCGCCTTCGCTCATGCAGTAACTTCTGTGCTGCTGCTGCTGACAGTTGCGCTTCCTGCTCCTGCACCAGGGCAGCAGCAGCAGCAGCAGCAGCAGCAGCACGTCGAGCGGGTCCCGTGGCTGCTGGTCTTTGCTGTTGATTCCCGCTGCTGCGTAGTGCAGCAGCACCAGCAGCACCAGCAGCAGCACCAGCATACCGCTGGGACTGGCTTGGCTCTGTCCTTGATAGGAGCCTGGAGGGACACGCGCAGCACTGCAGCAGCAGCTGCAGCAGCAGCAGCTCATGCATCACCCTATAGCAGCCGTACATTTATTCGGGAGGGGCATCAGCTGCTGCTGCAGCAACAGACAGCCGCTGCTGTCGTGACACCCGAGCGCCTCCTTATTGCTTCGCCGCTGTGGCTGCAGCAGCAGCAGCAGCAGCAGCCTAAGACCGGTGGGGATTCTTTGCGGCTATCGCTGCCGTCAGGAGAGCAAAATAGATGGCTTGCAGCAGCCGCAGCAGCAGCAGCAGCAGCAAAGGCAGAAGCAGCAACAGCAGCAGCAGAAGCAGAGCATTGTCTAGTGTATTGCCTGCGTCTCGTCGCTGCACCGGTTGGCAGAGGTGCTGCAGCAGCAACTGCAACAGCAGCGGAAGCAGAAATGTCTCTGCTGGCAGCTGCATGCATCCCCGGAGACGGCCGCATCTCTGCTGTGTCGCTGCTGCCTCACAGTTTGGTGCTGCAGTGCAGCGAGCGTTTTGCTGCTTTTGTTTTCTCGCTATGTGCCCTGCCGTTGCTGCTGCCGCCCTCTGCGGCATGCAGCAGCAGCAGCAGCAGCAGCAGCAGCAGTCCGGGGGAGCAGCAAGTGAGTGAGGAGCTTATTCGGGTCTTAATGCTTCACCCAGACATATGTCTATCACCAGTGCTGCAGCAGGAGGACGTCTCCGCATCTCCTGCTGCTGCTGCTGCTGCTGCTGGTCGCGGCAGGGCAGCAGGAGACATCTCTTCGTGCTGCCTTTCCGATGGCCGGTTGGCTGTCCTTGTGAAATCGCAGCAGCAGCCACAGCAGCGGCAGCAGCAGCAGCAGAGCGGCGTCTCTGCTGCTATCGCGCCATTTGATCACATTGCGGTGTATGTACAGGACAAGGTTGTTGCTGCAGCAGGCGCAGCAGCACCAAACAAATGGATTTGCGTCTTTGCTTCCTCCCGGGGCCTGAGAAGCCCCAACAGCAGCAGCAACAGCAACAGCAGCAGCAGCAGCTGCTGTCCTGTTTGCGTGTATGATGCCTGGTGGTCTTATGACGGGTCTCTGCTGCTGCAGATGGAGGAGGCTGATGCAGCAGACAGCAGCAGCTGCAGCAGCAACTGCAGCAGCACTTGTGCATGCAGCAATATGTCTTCCTTCTGCTTCCGGCAGCTATCTGCGGAGATGCTCGCTGCAGCAAGAGGTCTTATTCCTTTATCTTTGTCTCCTGCATGCACCGTGTGGGGCCCTGCTTCTGCTGCTACTATAGCAGCGTACCGCGCAGCAAAAGCAGCAGCAGCAGCAGAGCAGCAACAGCAGCAACAGCAGCAGCAGCGCGTGCATGCGATGAAGGCTGCAGCAGCAGCCATCAACGCGGCCATCGCTCGGGCGAAACAGCAACAGCAGCAGCAGCACGGTGCATCTGACCTGCAGCAGCTACAGCAGCAGCAGCTGCAACAGCAGCACGAGATTCTTGCTGCTGTAGACAGAACAACAAGAAACCATGGTGGCTGCTGTCTGTACAGCCCAGAGGTGCTGCAGCAGCTACTGCGCTGCGGATACACCGCAACGGTGCGGTGGCTGCTGCTCGTGCTGCTGCGGTGCCTCACGGCTGTGGGGCTGTCGCCCGGCCAGCAGCAGCAGCAGCAGCAGCAGCAGCAGCAGCAGAGCCCAGGAGCAGAAACAGCAACGCTGGAATTCACCTTCAGCTTGGACTCCTTTGCCGAGGAGTTAGCTCTCCAGAAGTCAGCAGCAGCAGCAGCAGCAACTGCAGCAACAGCAACAGGAACGGGAGAGCCTCGCTGCTGCGCCATATGCGGAGCCGCCATCACCGCTGCAGCAGCAGCAGCAGCAGCAACAGGTGTTGGTGCTACTGCGGCAATCTGCACAGCATGCGAGCCCAAGGCAGGCTGCGAGCTCGCCCAGCTGCTGCAGCAAACAATGGCTGCAGCAGCATGCTTGCTGACGGATTTGATGGCGCAGCAGCAAGCAGCAGAGCATCAGCAGCAAGTGGCGCAGCAGCAAGACCTCACAGCAGCAGAACAGCAGCGCCTGCTGCAGCAACGCCGCTGCTGGCCTAAGAGTGCTGAGGTGTACGTACACTGGGCTCGACACTACCTCCCTCCAAGCATGCAGCCGTCCTCTGCTGTTGCTGCTGCTGCTGCTGCTGCTGCTGCTACTGCAGGTTTTGAGGGGGATCAAATAGCTGCTGCTGCTGGCACTGAGGCAAACGACTACTGGCAGCAGCAGCAGCAACACGGGGACTGGGCGGACGCCTTTGGGGGTGGAGGGGGTCGCCTGTCTCCATCTCCCCCAGCAGCAGCAACATCAGCAGCAGCAGCAGCAGGATCAGCAGCAGCAGAAGAACGGTCTGCTGCATTTTGTCTTTTTTCCTCGCCCCACACCTCCGTTGCTGCTGCTGATGATGATGACCCCTTCGATGTCAAAGAGCTGCTGGGCTTCAGCAGCCCAGCAAAAGAGACAGCAACAGAGGAGACAGCAGCAAAGGAGACAGCAGCAGCTTCGCAGCAGCACGCAGCAGCTCAGCATACACCCGATCAGCAGTCCCCTGCACAACACCTTGCAGCAGCAGATTCGCCAGCAGCAGCAGCAAGCACAGCAACACCCGCTGCTACTGCTGCGCTGTTGATGACTCCCGTCCGCGCTGTGCTGCGTGAGGACGAGTATTTGCTGCTGCTGCAGCTGCTGATGCTGCCACTCCCTGGATTGGCGCTGTCTCCGCAGCAGCTGCTGCTGCTCCGGTGTCTCATCCGCGCGCTGCAGCAGATCGATCAGCAGCAGAGATGCAGCTCGCGAGCAGCAGCAGCAGCAGCAGCAGCTGGACTGGCTGCTGACTTTCCTGCTGCTGCTGCAACCGCAGCTGCAGCAGCTGTTGATGTTGCTGCTGCTGCGAGGGTGTGCGCAACAGAAGCAGAACAAAACGAAGTGGAAGCTGCTGCAAGGGCTGTGGGTGCAGCAGCAGCAGCGGCAGCAGAAGCAGCAGCAGAAGGCAGCTCCCAGAGCTGCAGCACAGACAACAGCCGCCAGCTCTTCTACACGGCATTGCTGGTGTTGCGGGTGTGTGGCCAATGCTGCTGCTGCTGCTGCTGCTGACGCCGTCTCTGCCCTCATTGCTGCTGCTGCTGCTGCTGCTGCTGCTTGTGTTGCACCAAAATCAAGAGGGAGGTTGCTGCTGCATTGCTGTGTTTATGTCTGTGTCTCTGCAGGAGGCGGAAATTGCTGCGGCCGAGCAGCAGCAGCAGGCGCTACAGCAGCAGGACATGCAGCAGCAGCAGCAGCAGCAGGTGAAGGCATCTCCATCTTCAGTCTTCTCCCCGCGCAGCAGCTCCAGCTGTCATTCACGTCCTGCGCTTGCTGCGAGCTCTGCTGCTGCTGCTGTTCCTGCTGATGCTGCTGCTGCTGCAGTGCCTGCTGCAGCCCTTCTGAGCAGCGAGGACATCTGCTGGTGTCTCCTTGCTGCAGCAGAAGAGGATCTGCTGCAGCACGTTGTGCAGCAGGCGCGCGCAGCACATCCCAAGGGTTTGCTTATGTGGCCCCTTCTCCGATTGGTGTGCCTCAGTCTCTTCTCTTGTTGCGGTGTATCTGCAGCTGTTGTGCTGCTGCTGCTTGTGCTGCTGTTGCTGCTCCTTGAGCTGCTGCTGCCTGTGTTGCTGCTGCTTGTGCTGCTGCTGCTTTTTGCTTGTGCTGCTACTGCTGCTGGTGTTGCCTCATTTGTGTACTTGTTTAGAGACGTTGCCTTTTGATTTGTATGGGGCTGCTGCTGTTAGTGCTGCAGCAGCAGCAGAAGCTGCTGCGGAATCCTGTGCTGGTATCGATGAAGTTTGTGCTGCTGCTGCTTCTGCTTGTGCTGCTGCTGCTGCAGCGCGGGGTTGGCTTCTGGCTGCGCAACCCCTCGAACGTGCGCCAATTGTGCGAGTTGCTGCTGCGGGATGCAGCACAAGTAGCAGCAGCAGAGCAGCAGCAGCAGCAGGGAAAGCTAAGCCTTAACGGACCCCCAGAGGCAATGAGTCCCTTCGCGCCTGGTAGCAGCAGCAGCACTGCCGCTGCTGCTGCTGGGGTTTCGCATCAGCACGGAGCTCCATCTGCAGCAGCAGGAACAGCAGCAGCAGCAGCAGCAGCAGCACGTCCTGCTGACTTAGTTGCTTTGTGGGCAGCATTTAGCGGCAAGAAAAGCCTAATTGTTGCCTCCCTTAAAGCTCAAGGAAATGTGAAGGTGCGCAGGAACCTGCAGCAGCAGCAGCTGCTGCTGCTGCAGCACTAGCACGAGCTGCAGCAGCGCTAGGATCACGAGCACGAGATGTGGCAGCACTAGCAGCAGCACCAGCAGCACAAAGAGCAGCAGCAGCAGCAGCAGCAGCAGCAACAGCAGCAGCAGCCTTGCCTGTCTGCAAATTGTTGTGCTTTTTTTCGTCGTTTCTGCATGCATGCTCCTCCCTTCAGTGACTTTCTGTCATTTCTGCTGCCTGTTCTTTTGCTGCTGCTTTTGCTGCTGCTTTTGCTGCTGCTGCTGCTGCTTGTGCTGCTTGTGCTGCAGGCAGCAGCATTTTTGCAGTCTGACGCCAGTGATGTTCGTTGGCGTGCAGCAGCAGAGAGAAATGCTTTTCATCTCCTCTCGCAGCGCCGCTGTTTTTTAGCTTTAGCTTTCTTTGCTCTTGCTGGCAGCTACAGAGAAGTTGGTGATGTTTGCTGCAGGTCCGATCCCCCTGCTGCTGCTGCTGCTGCTGCTGCTACTGCTGGTGGCACTGGTCCTCCTGTTGCTGGATGTGTGCCTGATGCTGTTGATTATGCTGCTGTTGCTGCTGATGCTGGCGATGCTCCTGCTGCTGCTAACTCTGCTGCTGCAGCTGGTGCTGCTAAAGCTGTTGCTGCAGCTGGTGTTCCTGCTGCGGCTGCGGATACTGACTTCCCCTTCTGCGAAGCGCCGCCCTGAGTCCGGCTTATTCTGCCTCTGCTGCTGCTGCTGCTGCTGCTGCTGCAGGTTGCTGAAGGACACGCAGCTGGCCCTCTTCCTTTGCCGAGTGAGCGCAGCTGTCTCCTCCCCGGAGTCTCCTCCCTTGGGAACGGACTCGCAGCCATGGGGTCTGCAGCAGCACAAGCACAAGCAGCAGCAACAGCACAAGCAGCAGCAGCAGCAGCAGCCTGATGCGGTTGCAGCAGCAGGAAACGTAGGAGCGGCAGGAACTCCCGCTAAAACTACAGCACCATCAGCAGCAGCAGCAGCAGCAGCAAGTCCTGCTGCTGTTGCTGCTGATGGTGCTGCTGCGGCGACAGCTGCAGTTTGCAGGAGTGTGCCCCCCGCTCCCCTTGCCTTTGATGGTTCTGCTGCTGCTGAGTACAGCCGCGTGCTGCTGCAGCGGCTGCTGCCGCAAGCAGCAGCAGCAGGAGATATATGGCTGCGTTTTTGCTGCTACTGGTTGGCAGGGCACTACACGCAGGCCTTCGAGGCTCTCCTCCCTCCGTATGCAGGCGCGCTGCAGCTGCAGCAACAGCAGCCGCAGCAGCAGCAGCAGCTGCATCACGAGGTGCTCCCATTCAACCCGCGCACGTATTTGCAGGGCACTCAGCAGCACGAGCTGGGGAGGTCTTTGAGGGGCGGGGCTGTTGATGCAGCAGCAGCAGCAACAGCAGCAGCAGCAGCAGCAGCAGCAACGGCAGCAGCAGGCGAGGAGGGCGTTTATGAGGGAGGCTGTTGGAGGGTCTCCTTGCCGTCTCTGTCGCTGTCTTTGTTTAGAGCAGCTGTCAAACAAACACTGCCGATACGTCGAGCGCAGCAGAAACACAAAGAAAAATACCTGCTGCTGCAGCAGCAGCTGCAGCAGCAGCAGCAGCAGCAGCAGCAGCAGCGGCAGGAGTCGGTGCTGGAGTCGTTCTATGGGGCTGAAGACAAGGGAAGCCGGAGCAGATACGCCCGCAGCGGCAGCAGCTGCAGCGGCAGCAGCAACAGCACCAGCAGGTGGGAGAGCCGAGCCGACGAGTCTAGAAGCAGCTTTGTTGCTGCTGCGCAGCGCAGCAGCAGCAGCGGGCACCTCAGTTGGAGAGACAGTTTGTCTTTGTCTTTTCGAGACCTGCACAGAAGAGGCAGCAGTAGCAGTAGCAGCTGCTGCTGCTGTTGCAGCAGCACCTGCTGCTGCAGCAGCAGCGTGAGGAAGTGCCGCATTTGCTGGTGGGGCTTCATCGACCCTGCAGGTGCAGCAGAGAGCGACATGTACCTGCTGAGCTGCCTGTACACCCGAGAGAGACAGCCATTTTTTGCTGCTGTTGCTGCTGTCTCCCTTTTGTCTCTCCGCGCCTCAAGGCAAGCCGCTTTGAAGGCCTTAGAAGAGGAGACAGATGATAACCCTGATGCTGCTGCTGCTGATGCTGATGCTGCTACTGCTGCTTCCCTGCAGCACCCGCTGCTGCCAGACGCAGCCTTACCTACGGTGTGGGGAGCGCTGCATGCGTTCGCTGCTGCTGCAGCGCAGCCCCTGCTCTCTGCTGCTGCTCTTGGGCAGCAGCAGCAGCCCCACCAGCAACAGCAGCAGCAGCCAGTTGGCCTTGCTGCAGCCGTGTCCAGTCTCCTCGACCTCCAGCCAAGTCTGCTGCTGCTGCTGACTGCTACCGCCTGGCGGCAGCCTGCAGCTGCTGCCGCCGCTGAGAGCAGCAGCAGCAGCAGCAACTGCTGGACTGTAGCCTCGGCACTTCAAGGGTCTCCAACGGACAGCCCACGGCAGCAGCAGCTGTCACTGATCGACCGTCAGCAGCAGCAGCCGCAGCAGCAGCAGCAGGAGGGCCTCCTCCCCACAGAAGCAGCGCAGAGCCCTTTGCTGCTGCTGCTTGCTTCTCTAGATAAGTGCATTGAGGTGTACAGCCAGGCCCCGATGCTGCTGCTGCCACCTCTGCTGTCTGGGCTGACGAGCAGCAGGAGGTTGCTGCTATCACAATGCCTTCTGTCTCCTTGCTGCAGCGTTGTTGCTGCTCCTGCGGCAGGAGTTGCAGCAGCAGCAGCAACAGCAGCAGCAGCAACAGAAGAGCTGCAGGAGGCGCTGTGTCTGCGGGGCGAGGCCCCAGACGAGGATCTGCGCTGCAGCGGACTTGCTGCTGCTGCTGCTGCTTGGAGGAGACAGTCAAGCAGCAGCAAAGAGGCACGAGATCAGCAGCTGCTGCGGCAGGGTGTCTCCCGTCTGTCGCTGTCCCTGTGCCTGCGAGCTGCTGCTCCTCTTGCTGCGCCTGCAGCAAACGAAAGCAGCAATAGAAGCAGCATCGGCAGCAACAACAGCAGCAACGGCAGCAACAGTAGCGAGGGCCTAGCTGTGCTGCAGATGCAATGCCCGTCGGCCGTTCATGCTGCGCTGTTTGATTTGCTGCAGCAGTTGCAACAAATGCAGCAGCAGCAGCAACAGCAGCAGCTGCGTGGCCCGCGTCGTCTCTCATCGGCAGCAGCAACTGCAGCAGCAGCAGCAGCAGCAGCAAGGGGTGCCTCCTCTCCTTCTTCCTCTTCTGCAGTCCTAAGCACGCCCGAAGCAGCAGCAATAGGAGAAGCAGAGGCAGACAGCATGTCTTTTATTGTCTCATGTTTGCTGCTTAGACTGGCTTATGGGCAGTTGCTAGCAGCAGCTGATGCAGCTGCAGAGGCGCGCAGGCTTGCTGCTGCCACTGCTGCAGTGCTGCACCAGCAGCAGCTGCAGCAGCAGCAGCACCTAGAGTGGGAATGCATCTTGTCGGTTGACTTGGCGGGCCTCACAAGGCACCCTGTGTACACAGATCGTGCTGCTGCTGCTGATGCTGGGGTGTCTTCAAGCTTCAGTGTGCCGTTGCTGCTGCCAGTGCTGCTGCAGCTGCTGCGCGACAGCCTGGAGATGCCCTCTATACACCCCAAAGTGATGGGCATCCCCGCTCTGTATTGCTGCCTTGCTGCTTGCGTCAGCGAGCTGCAGCAGCAGCAGCAGCAGGGCTGCAGCTGCTGCAGCTGCAGCAGCGGATCCACTTGCAGAAACAGCAGCAGCAGCAGCAGCAGCAGCAGGTGCGGGTGTGTGGAGGGCGCTCTGTCTCTGCTGGAGCTGCAGCGGCTGTACTGCGTTGCTGCTGTTTGCTGCTGCGGGTTGCTGCTAGGCGTTGTTGCTTCAATGCCTTCTGTCTTTGGCAGCGACAGCAACTTGCTGCTGCAGCACGTGCCCTCTACAGCAGCAGCAGCAGCAGCTCCGGCGACAGCGTCAGAAGGCGTCGCTGGACAGAGCAGCAGCAGCAGCGCCACTAACAAACCTCAAGCGGCTCTTCCAGCACGAACCAGCAGCAGCAACAGCAACAGCAGCAGCAGCAGCAGCGTGCACTGGGAAGAGGACAGGACGCTGGTGTTGGTACACCAGGCAGCGACTCTGCTGCAGCTGCTTCTTTCTCGTCCGCGATGTTTGCTGCTGCAGCACGATGTGCTGCAGGTGCTGCAGCAGCTGCTGCAGCCTCGTTGGGGGGTCATTTCTGCAACACGTGTTGCTGCTCCTGCAGCAAGAGGCCGAGCAGCAGCAGCAGCAGCAGCATCTGTCTCAGCATTCGCCCTTGCTGCTTGTGTTGCTGTAAAGGCGTTTGAATTTATTGTTGAGGCTATCCACAGTGTACAAACAGAAGCGAGAAGGACGGCGGTGGCACTGCGACAGCAGCGGGACATGCTGCTGCAGCAGAAGCAGCAGCAGCAGCAGCAACAGCAGCAGCAGCCTCTGGTGCAGAAAAGGAGCGGCCTCGAAAGCTGGTTGGTCAGCGCGCATGGGAAGGTACAGCAGGCCCAGGCATCACCCCCTGCAGCAGCAGCAGCAGCAGCAGCAGCAGCAGCAGCAGAGGAGGCATATTCACTTTGCAGCAGCCTAGCGTGCTTAAACAGTTGTTTTGTAGAATATCTGGGGACGCAGCTGCGGCCTGTCTTTATGCGGTCGCTGCTGCCTGCTGCAGCAGGGCTGCTGCCGCTGCTGCACGACGTGCACACCCACCCAACGGCAGCAGCAGCAGAAGCAGCAGCAGCAGCAGAAGCACCAGCAGCAGCTGCAGAAGCAGCAGTAGCACCAGCAACAGGGAAGAGATCTTCGATGCTGCGAGCTGCAGCAGAAAGCTGGGGAGGCGAGGGATTGGGGCTACTGTGGAGTGCCCTCTGCTGCTGCAGCAGGCTGCAGTGGGCGCTGCAGCAGACTTCCTTCTTGCCGCTGCAGCAACCACCAGCTGCTGCTCTGCTGCGGCCGCTGTTACACCGCGATGCGCTTACGCAGGCAGTGAGGCATTTATCCAGTAGGCAGACACGCACACAACAGCAGCAGCAGCAGCAGCAACAGCAGCAGCACCAGCAACAGCAGCAGCAGCAACAGCAGCAACGGCACCACCACCATAACCACCTGCATCTGCACGGCCATCACTCGAGTGAACATGGGAAGGACTCTCGGTTGGATACATCTGACCAGCAGCAGCAGCAGCAGCAGCAGCAGCTGTTGCCGCAACAGCAGTCTTTGGGTGCAGCAGCAGCAGAAAGCCACTACCACGCATCAGCAGCAGCAGCAGCAAATGAGAGGCACGCCGCCACCCCTTCTTACACCAGCCACACTCCAAAGGGCTCCAGCAGCAGGCGCTTCAGCAGCTGCTTCCCTCCGCAAGAGAAAGGGCAGCAGCAGCAGCAGCAACAGCAGCGACAGCTGCATCAGGTGCTCTCCAGTTACGTAGCCGAACACATGCTAGCAGCAACCCCTCTCCCCGCTATCCCTGTTGTTGCTGCTGCTCTCTTCCCTGGCTGTTTGCTGCAGGCTGCATGCTGCAGCAACAGCTGCAGCAACGCCTTCGAAGTTATCCGACAGAGCCACAGCTTGGGGCCGCTGCAGCAGGAGCAGGAGCAGCAGCAGCAGCAGCAGCAGCAGCAGCAGGGTGAGGACAGCAGTGCTGCTTTCTCGCAGGAGTGGGCGCGGCTGCCTGTTGCAGCGCTGCTTGGACCCGTAACTGCTGCCAGCAGCAGCAGCAGCAGCAGCCGCCACAGCAGCGCCGCAGGTCTGCTTATATCAAATGAAGTTGTGGTGAGTGTATGTACACCTGAGGGGCCCCCAAGGGGTATCAGGGCTCTGACGCTGCCTCGCTCTGTTCTGGGGCTGCCAGAGCAGGATAGCATGCAAGGTGCTGCTGCTCTTGCTGCAGCAGCAGCAGCAGCAGAAACCCGCCATGCATACGTAGCTAACCTTGTCAAGTACCGCTCGCTGCAGCAGCAGCAACAGCAGCAGCAGCTGCTGCCGCAGCTGCTGCAGCTCCCCCTAATGAGTGATGCAGGGGGGCCTGGGGGCGCTTTCCCCTACTTAGTGAACTCGCGGCGGCCGCTGTTTGCTTCGAAAACAGCAGCAGCAGCAGCAACAGCAGCAGCAACATCAGGTTCAGCGGGAGGAAGATTAGCAGTTGACGTCAGCTTCACACGAGAGAGCAGCGACAACCGCGAGCATCACCAGCACCAGCATCAGCAGCAGCAGCATCAGCAGCAGCACCATCAGCATCAGCACCATCAGCATCAGCAGCAGCAGCAGCAGCACGAAAGCGGTGTTGTGGCGCTTGCTGAGTGGGTGGGGTTGTTGTTATATCGAGATGTCTCCCTATACACCGTAACGCAGACCTCGCGGCTTTGCTCCTACTCCCGTTTGCTTGCGCGTGTCACTGACAGCAGCAGCAGCAGCAGTAGCAGCAGCAGCAGCAGCAGCAACAATCTTGTGTTTCCTTATGGCGTCTTCTCTCCCTTATCTTCAATGCGCGCTGCATTTGAATTCACAGGCGTTGTTGCTGCTCACCCTTTCCTTCCTGTGTTTGCTGTGCTGCTGCGGGCATCGCAGCAGCAGCAACAGCAGCAGCAGCAGCAGCAGGGCGGGTGTCCCCCAGTCCTTACTCCGGTGCTTCGCTCTTTCGGTTTGGGGGCTCGCAGCCTGCCGCGGGGGCCTACAGGGGCTCTTCCTAGTGCTGCTGCTGCTGCTGCTGCTTCTTCTGCCACGCCTGCTGCTGCTGATGTTTCTGCTGCTCATCCAGCTGCTGCGAGTGCTGCTGCCCCTGCAGCTGCAGCGACATCTGAGGCAAACTCCACCGAAGTTCAACGCCTGGATACCTTAGAGAGACCAGCAGCAGAACTGCAGCAGCAACAGCAGCTGCAGCAGCAGCAGCGGCAGCATTCTGGGAAAAGGGGACTGCAGACTTTACCCCTTTTGCTGCGTTTGCAGCAGCATCAGCAAGTTGGCTCCTCGGGCGGAACAGCAGCAGCAGCAATAGCAGCAGCAGCAGCAAGCCAAGTAACGTGTGCTGTCTGGGTGCCGCAAGGAGACAGTCTCCTTGTGTCTGATTCATCAGGGTGGGCTTATCTTTTCTGTCTCCTTCGGGGGCCCTTGCTGTCTCCTTCGGTAGTAGCGGAGGCCCTCAGCTCTGCTGCTGCTGCTGCTGCTGCAAGAACACCAGCAGCAGCAGACGTCAGCAAGGCCGGCACGGGCAGCAGCCGCAGCAGCAGCAGCAGCAGCTATGAACTGCAGCAGCAGCGCGCATGCAGGCCTGCGGTTTGTTGGAAGCCCCACAATACAACGCAGCAAATAGCAGCAGCAGATGGTAGCGGCTCGTTTGCTGTTACCCTAGGTATAGGGGTGCCGCAGCAGCTGCTGCAGGAAGACACTGCATTGATTGCTGGTGCTGCTGCTCCCCGCAGCCTGCTGCAGCGGCTGAGCTCCGGGGAAACGGCTTGCGGCGATGCAGCAGCACCTCTTGCTGCTGGCTGCAACAACACCAGCAGGAGCAACAGCAGCAACAGCAACAGCAGCAGCAGCAGCAGCAAAGGAGGGGCTGCGAAGGCCCGTCTTAAGAAGCGCCCCCATCCGTTAAAGCTGCTTGGGAGTCTCCGCAGCCAAGCAAAGGAAGGTTTTGTCTCTCGCGTGCTGCACTCACGATTGTTTACTTCCAGGTTCCCTGCTGCTGCAGCGCTGCAGCAGCAGCAGCAGCAGCAGCAGCAACGCCGCAACGCAGCAGCAGCCCCTGCAGCACCCCTCGTTGGGGGGGCCCTAAGAGCCCTCTCATGGAGAGCGAGGGCCTTCAGGGTCTCTTCTAAGGGCCCCCGTGGCATCTTATCTGCTGGAGGCCGCGCGAAAGCTGCTGCTGCAGCATCAAAGCAGCAGCAGCAGCAGCAGCAGCAGCAGCCAGGAGAAGGTGGGGGCGATGAGGACGCATGGCTTGATACTACCAGCTGGGCAGCGAGTTTGTGGAGTCTTGCTGCAGCAGATCCGGAAGCAGCAAAGCGTTCGGCTGTACGTCCACCTGAAGGCCCCTCCAGCAGCAGCAGCAGCATGCCCTTGATTGAGGGCCCCTGCCTCTGCGTCTGGCAGCTAACAAGTGTGGGGCCAACGGGAGCGCCTCGTCTGGTGTCTGTAATAACTTGTGACGATTTGCTGCACACTCGCGCGCGTCTTGCTGCTGCGGCTGCTGCTGCTCCTACTGCAGCAAGATCGATAAAGAAACACGCAACAGGAGCAGCAGCAGCACGAGAAGGCAGCAACAGCTGGATTGTTGAAGCGACGCATACACCTACTTGCTTTTGCATGGCGGTGCTGCAGGAGGGTGCTGCTTGCTGCAGGCCTTGTCTTGCTGCAGCTGCGGGGTGTACAGGGAGCTGCTGCAGCAGCGACCTAACAGCAACTTGCTGCGGCGGCAGCTGTGCTGCTCTGCGTTGCGTTGTCTATGGAGATGAAGAGGGGAGTGTGCATGCAGTAGACTTGGGGTTAGAAGAAGAAGTGCTGCGGTGGGAAGCGCACGAAGGTGCTGCTGTTGCCTCTGTCTCTGTCTCTCGTGCATACGGCTGCGGCAGCGCAGCCCCTGAAGTCTGGCTTGTCACTGCTGCTGCAGCTGCTGCTGCACCCAGCAGCAGCAGCAGCAGCTTGGGTGGGGCTGCGGCGGGGGATGTGCTGCTGAGATGCTGGTCTGTTGTAGGGCTTGGTGAAGGGGGCCCCGTGCTGCTGCATCAGCTGCATATAAATGCAGCAGCAGTGCTGCCTCGCGGGGTGTCTGCGTCGTGGTTTGGCCGCAGCACCTCAGCAGCAGCAGCAACAGCGGCAACAGCAGCAGCAACAACGACGGGGGCGGGGGGGCCCTCGAATGCGCTCGCTCGCTTCCTGGGGACGCACAAAGGAGACAGCAGAGACAGCAGATCAGGAGACAGCAGCAGCAAAGAAGCTGCTACAGTGTTTCATTTGGGGGGGCGCAGCAGCCTCGCTGTTGAGGGAGGAGACCTTCTGCTGCTTGCAAGAATATAATAGTGCTGCACGCCTTGCTACCAGCAACAGCAACAGCAGCAACAGCAACAGCAGCAGCAGCAGCACAAGCAGCAGCACGAGGGCTGTCTTTGTTTGCTGTCTCCTGCTGCTCGTGAAGAGGGTTTCGTTTTATGTCTCGGCCGGCACCCCCATCGGTCACAGGGGAGACAGCTGTTGGTATTGCTGCTGCTGCACTGCAGCAGCAGCAAGCAGCAGTTAGAGCAACAAAAGAAATACATCTCTCCAATACCTCGCGGGCTCCTGTTCTCGTGGGCACTCAGCCGTTTGGCTGCATATCAGCAGTTTGCCTGTAGCTGATACAAGCAGCTGCAACAGCAGCAGCAGCAGCTGCTGCTGCCGCTGGAGGGTGCAGCTGCGGCCCCTGTGGGTTGCCGTGGCAACTGCTGCCTATGTGTAGAAGGGGGCAGCTCTGCCCTGTTCATTATTCAGTGTGTAGAGGTAGGTGCTGCTATAGCTAGCTGCTGCTGTAGCTATCTGCTGCTGTAGCTAGCTGCTGCAGCTAGTAGCAACTCGATGAGGGTGCACCTCCCTGCTGCGGCAGAGCAGTGGGCACATGTCAGTGCAGCCTTGCATATGGTCTCTGCTGCAGAATAGTAGCAGCAGCAGCAGCAGCAGAAGTTGCCGCCAGAGGCGCCTTTGCAGTGTCGCTGTTTTTAAAACGAGGGCCCCCGCCGCTTTTAGTACTTGCCTATACACCTCAGCAGCCACCTTGTGTGTGCTGTTGAGGGAGATGTATGGGTTTTGTATGCAGCTGCAACGCCAGCACTGCAGCCTTATATTAATATATGATTCGGAGTCTCTTCTCCGGGGTTGTTACTTGATAAGCGAGGGTTTAGGGTTTAGGATTTACTCTTTATGGTGTAGGGTTCAGGGTTTAGGGTTTACGCTTTAGGTTTTAGGGTTTAGTGTTTACGCTTAGGTTTTAGGGTTTAGTGTTTACGCTTAGGTTTTAGGGTTTAGGGTTTACGCTTGAGGGTCTACGGTTGTAGGGGTGTATAGTTTACGCTTTAGGGTGTAGGGTGTAGGGTTTAGGGTTTACGCTTTAGGGTGTAGGCTTTAGGGTTTAGGGTTTCTGCTCGGTGGGCGCAGTTAGAGGCGTAGTGAAGCGCGTGTTTAAAACGGGCGGAGGGCCAGCAAAAAGTATTAAGATATTGAATATTTCATTTAAAAGAAAGGGGAGGAATAGTTTAAAATCTATAGAAGAATGTTCACTGACACGAGCTGCGGTGTCTGCGCATACACCCGAACGGCGCGTACGCAGCGGCGGGAGCGCTGTCATCGGTCCCCGCTGCTCTCTCCCTCAAGAGCAGCAGAGAAATAACCGAGCATTTATGAATATAAATCATTAAATACTTGTAGTTCTATTATTATTTGTGTCTTCGTTGATTGAATATAATTGTCTTTAGTGCGTTGTCTCACTGCTGCACGTGACCACTGGTCTCCCCACACGTGACCACTGGTCAATTGAGCCTTTTGCCGGCGCCTCTTTTGCCGCTCTTCTGCGCCGCCTTTATTTTATTCGAAATTTTCAGTGTTTTCTCCTTCTGCGCTGCAACTGACCCAGGGATTTCATACATAACCACCGCCTGCCACCAGGCAAGTCATAATATATATATCTCTATATTGTATATAATATATGCAATATAAACCTTAAATCCTAATAAGCTGCGAACTCCAATGCATCCGAAGCTTATGAACTCTGATGAGCAGCAAACCTTCAAACCCTAATTAAACCCTAAATTCTTAATATAGCCTAATAGTAAACCCTAATATGCAATGAATTCTATGCAGCCCTAATGAACACTACTAATAAACCCTAAGCCCTAAAAAACCCTAATGAACGGTTGGTGTTGCTGCTTGGTGCTTGCATGCAGGCGTGGCGTTTAGGGCGTTAGGGCGATGGGGGCCTCCCGAGTCCGACAGCAGCTCCTGCTGCTGGGCGCGTTGGGATGGTGCTGCTGCAGCGGCGCTGCTGCAGCCGCTGCTGCTGGGGAGTGGAGCGAAGGTTCAGTTGAGAGAGCAGCAGAGTACCTGGGGGAAACGGGCGAGGAGTCTGCAGCAGCAGCAGCAGCAACAACAGGACCTGAGCGACAACTGCAGCAGCTACTAGACGGGTTTGTAGATGATGGTTTGCTGCGGGTGTTGGGGGCCCCTGCTGCAGCTGCTCCTGCTGCTCCTGCTCCATTAGAGGTCCCTGACTGGAACGAAGGGCTGAATGACAGTCCGCAGCAGAGCAACACCAGCAGCAGCAGCAGCAGCAACACGAGGCCCCGCGTTCACTTTACGGGGCCCTTCCCCCCCTCCCGCTCTTGGGTCCCTGTTTATTTCTCTAACTACGGCAGGCAATACCCAATGGGGCCTCTTCTTCTCTCTTGTCTCCCTCAACCAGGAGGACGCGCTGCATGCGATGTCGTACCTAATACCCCATACTCACCCGTAAACCCTAAACCCTAAACCCTAAACCCTAGACAACTCTATACAACCCTATACAACCCTATACAACCCTACGCCCTCAACCCTAAACCTTCAACAACCCTAAACGCTCAACCGTCAACCAAGCAACAGCAACAGCACTAGCACCATCACCAGCCCTAGCAACAGCAGTAGCAGCCCCAGCAACAGCAGTAGCAGCCCCAGCAACAGCAGCAGCAGCCCCAGCAACAGCAGCAGCAGCACTAGCAACAGCAGCAGCAGCACTAGCAGCAGGATGAAGGTAAAAGTGTATGTTTGCATCATCTCAGGCGCCTGGTTCAACACTCTACAGGGCTTGGAGTTTGTGGGGTAATCAAATGACGGGGAGAGCTTTCGTCTCGTTAGAGACAGAGCTCGGAAGAGCAAAGAGGGGCCCCCTAGGGGCCCCCGCTCCTTGCTGCGAGTCTTCAAATAATGCTGTGGGGTGTTTGGGGTGTAGTGGGTTGCCGAGTGCTTCCTACGACCCTTTACAGACAGACACTCAAGCAAAAAAAGAAAGGAAAGAGAAAAAGGAAGGAGACAAAGACCAGACAGCTGCAGATGCAGACGCTAATGAAACGGAGACAGGTGCCGCTGATGCAGAAGAAGGAGACTCCTGGCCTGTTGGTGCTTCTGCTGCCTTCTCTCCTGTAACCCCACAAGAACTCTTTACTCTGCTGCCCAAGCTGCAGCAGCAAATCGGGGACAACCCAGATGTAAGTCAACAGTACTGCTGCTGCTGCTTTTGCTGCTGCTGCTGCTGCAGGTGCTGTTTCCCAGCTTGCTCTTCATGCTGCTGCTGGTTACTCTGTCCCTGTTTGCTTCTTCTTTCTCTTATTGCGTTTTGGTGCTGCTTGCTCTTCGGTTTGGCTGCTAACTGCTGCTGCTGCTTCCTTTGCTGCTGTTCTTGCTGCTGTCTTTCGCTTTCTGTTGCCACTGCCTTATGCTGCTGCTCCTGCTGCTCCTGCTGCTGCTGCTGCAGCCGGCGAATCTGCCTTGCAAAGTGACAGACAGTCCTCCTCAAGGCGTCCCGACCCTCGGTGATATCTTACGTTCCCGCTCCGTACGTCTAAACCCTAAACCCTAAACCCTAAACCCTAACCCCAAGCCCGAAACGGGAGGGAGACTCTGTGTTGCTCCCCAATCCGTTTACTGCATGTTGTGTTGTTGGTTATGTCTCATTGTATAATATATGAATAATGTATCTAATATAAGTGCTTATACACATATATACAGATTTATATATATATATACAGATTTGTGTATATATACAGATTTATATATATATATATATATATATGATGTATATTTCCGTTAGTACAAATAAAATAGCAATTTAGTTATGTTTATTTTGTGTGTACAGGACTTAACATTATTTGAGTCGATGCTGAAGACATCTCGCATTCAACAATTAATTCCCTGTCCCCTAACTTTCTTAGCTGTCCCTGATAATAGAGCCAGAGACTTTCAGGGAGGGAGACCCCCTCCTTGTCTTGCTAAGGCCCTTGCGAGACCTGAATACCAGAGAAATGTATTAAAACTTATAGGGTCAGCCTCTGGGGATTAGGGTTTAGGGTTTAGGGTTTAGAGGGCGTGTTTTGGGGGGTTTGTTTAATGGGTCTAGTGTTACGGGTTTGTGTTATGGGTTGTTCTTTAGGGTTTAAGGTTTAGGATTTGCATCAGGGTGTATAAAAGGGTTTATTAGGTCTTATTAGGGTTTATTAGGGTTTGTGGTTTCTTAGAGTGTCTCTTCTGTGAAGAGTAGAGAGTCTCCCTGTGGGGTCTTACATTATTATAATTAAGGTTTATTGGTGTATATTGTTTATAAAGGGTTTATCATGCAGATTCAAGGAAGGATAATTACTAGGGTTTAATAGGGTTTATTAGGGTTTATTAGGGTTTGTGGTTTCTTAGGAGACTGGCTCTTCTGGGTAAAGTAGATAGTCTCCCTGTGGGGGCTTCGCTGCCAGTGCTGCACGGAAACCCCGGGAGAGTTGGAAGAAGAGGGCAAATGACGACGTGGAACGGAGTCGATGTTGATAAACAGCCCATCATCTTCCATCAAGGGGTAACCCTGCTGCTGCTGCTGCTGCTGCTGCTCCTGCTCCTGCTGGTTCTGCCGCTGCTGCTGCTGCTGCTGGTTCTGCTGCTGCTGTTGGAGGTGGTTCTGCTGCTGCTGCTGGTTCTGATGCTGCTACTGTTTTTGGTGCTGTTGCTGCTAGTGGTTATGCTGCTGCTGCTGGTTCTGCAGCTGCTGCTGCTGGTGGTTATACTGCTGCTACTGTTTTTGTTGCTGTTGGTGCTGCTGGTGGTGCTGTTTCTGCTCGTGCTGCTGTTGCTGCTGTTGGTGCTGTTGGTTCTGCTGCTGATGCTGCTGTTGGCTGCGCGTGGAAAGCTCTGGCATGCTGCTGCTGCTGCTGCTGCTGCTGCTGTTTCCGGTGCCTGTTTGCTCCGTTCGAGCTCCACCTGCTGCTGCTGCTGCTGCTGTTGCTGCTGCAGGTAATCCACACGTTGGCCCGCAATGAGTTGTCAGACAACGAAAGCAGGGAGCTGCTGCGGCAGATTGTTTATTACGACTGTCTCCATGACCACCTGCTGCAGCACCCTTCTCTGACACGCTTTGCTCTTCTTATGGTAGATAACCGCAGGTTTCTACCCATCATTGGCATGCCCCCAGGTAGGGTTTAGGGTTTAGGGTATAGGGTTTGAAGCTTAGGGTTTAGGGTTTAGGGTTTACGGCTAGGACCTTGTTTTGGGTTTAGGGTTTAGAGATTCGTTGATGGCATCGCTCAGGCTGCTGTCCCTCCCTCTTTGTCTCCCTCTGCATACGCCTCAAACCCTAAACCCTAAACCCTAAACCCTAATGTGCTTGTGCATGCAGGCCCCCGTCCTGAGTGGGTAGCAAGGGAAAACCCTGGTTGGTTTGCCCCTCCAGCCTCCAGTAATGCATTAGCAGAGGAGTCTGGGGGAGCAGCGGAGCAGCAGCAGCAGCAGTCTTCTTCTGCAGCTAAAGGAGACAGTCAGGAGACAGATACTGCAGCACAGGAGACAGCAGCAGCTACACAGAAGGAGACTGCAGAGCCCCACGAGGGGAGAGCAGCAGCAGCACCAGCGGCTGCTGCTGCGGAAGAGGCGGAAGCTGCAGCAGAATCAGAGGAGACAGAGACTCCTGAGGCAGCAGATAGAAAAGATTGCGGCTCAAACGCAACCCGTTCTGCTGCAGCAGAGCAGCAAGAGGCAGCAAAGGCTGAGACTGCAGCAGCAGCAGCAGCAGCTGCAGCAGCAGCGGCGGAGACGCCGAAAGAGACGGCTGAGTACCAGGCGGATGCCGCTGTATAGAGAGCAGCAGTTAATTCGTAATTTAGCGATTTTGCTGCTGCTGCTGCGAGTTGCTGCCGCAGCAGCGACTCGTAGCAGCAGCAGCAACACAATTCATCTCCCCACAGTTGCTGCGCTGTTGCTGCTGCGGCTTCCTTGCTGCATGACACAGCGAGTTGCTTCTGCTGAACCTCAGCTGCAGCAGGTGCTGCTACACCTGTTGCTGCCGCTGCAACCGCTGCAGTAGCAGCAGCAGCAATAGCAGCAACAACACACAAGGATGCAGCAGCTGCAGCCGCATGGGCCCTCCGAGATATCTCGATGGGGGAGACAAGCCAGCTGCTGCGCTGTCTCCGCTGCAGCTGTCTGCTGCAGCTGTCTGCTGCATTTTTCGTTTTTGTTGGCTCCAGTGCATTTGACTGTATATACACCTTGTCTTTTTTTATAATTTTTTTTGTTCATCCTTCACCCGAGTCTCTCTACCCTTCTTCTTTTAGCTGCTGCTGCTGCTGCTGCTGCCCTTGCTGATGTTGCCTGCGGAGTTGAGGGATCTGCAGCATTAACGGAACGAACAAGAGCAACAGCAGTAGCAAAGAAGTGCTTAGTGGATAACTGCAGCGCTTCAGGGCTGCTAGTCCCCCCTCCCTGGGTCTTCTCCTTTTTGCTTCTGCTGCTGCTGCTGCTGATGTTGTTGTTGCTTATGTTAGTATCGGGGTTTTATGTCTGTCCTTCTGCTTTTTTCTTCTGCATTTGTTGCTGTTGTTGGTTTGTGTTTGTGTTGCTGTTTTGCTTCGTATTGTTTTCTCTTTCTGTCTCTGTCTCCTGTCTCTTCATGTCTCTGTCTCTTTCTCTGTCCCCTTTTTGTCTACTGTTTCTGTCTCCTTTTGTCTGTTTTTGTCTCTCTCTGTCTCCTTTTGTCTCTTTATGTCTGTCTCCTTTTGTCTCTTCATGTCTGTCTCCTTTTGTCCCTGTCTTTTTTGTCTCTGTCTCTTTTTGGCTCTGTCTGTCTCCTTTTTGCTGTGTCTCTTTGTACTTCTCGCTTGTCTGTTTCTGTGTTTGTGTTTTCCTGTCTCTTCTCTGTCTCTTTCTGTCTCTTCTCTGTCTCCTTCTGTCTCTGTCCCCTTTGTCTCTTTGTGTTATTGTCTCTTTTTCTCTTTTTGTCTCTGTCTAATATGTCTCTGGCTCTCTTTATCTGTATCTTTTCCTTTCCTGAATTATTTCTTTTTTTCTCTTTCTGCTTTTTCTCTGTCTTACCTATTGCATCAGTCCTTTGCTTAGTCATTTATATATATATATATATATATATATATGTATATATATATAATATATAGTTATGTATGTTTATATATATTCATAGGGCATTATATATACTAAGAAATATCGCCCTCCTATTTCATAGTTATTTATCTACCACTATGAAAGGCTTCTCAATTTCATATATATATATAGACATATATATATATGTATATATATATATATATGGGTTGTACATAAATTGCTTACATAATATATCTAATAATATATGTGCTATATAAATATATATTATATATATATATATATATGTTAGATATATTATATAGGTATATTAGATAATATTATATAGGTAAATTATGTACAACCCATATTATGAGTATAAGAGATATGCATTATATATATTATGCGTGCATTGTTATATATATTACATATGATACGGATGCATATATATATATATATATATATGTTTGCATTTATATATATGTATAGATGTTCCCTTAACTGCTGCTAGGCACTGATGGTAAGGGGTTCAATTATTTAATACTATTTCCAGTAGCCTGTCGTTGTTTGTTTGTTTGTTTGTTTGTTTGTTTGCTTGCTTGCTTGTCTCTGTTGTTTTCTCTTCGTTTTATGTTGCTGTCTTTGTCTGTTTGTGTTGTTGCTGCTTTTGTTTTCGTCTCTGTCTCTCTGTTTCGTGTCTGTTGTCGTTTATTTCTGTCTCTCTTCCTGCGTCTCTCTGTCTCCTTGTCTTCTTTTTTCTGTCTCTTTTCTCTCATTGTCTTTTTTTCTTTTCTTGTTAATTTCTTTTTATATCTTTTTCTTCTTTATGTCTCATTTTCTTTCCTCTTGTCTTTTTCTTTTTTTTGCATGCCTGTCTCTTTCTGTCCCTTCTGTCTGTCTCTTGCTGTCTCCTTTTATCTTCGTTTGTTTCCTTTTGTCTCTTTTGTCTCTTTTTGTGATGCCGCTCACAAACAAAAAGTCAGAAAATTCAACGTCCCTCCGCTGCATCCCCCAGAATTGCACGCAGCCCCAAACCAACATAACAGCAAAAACAGCAAAACAACAAAAGCAACAAAAAGAACAAAAAAATAAACACTGCACTCCCTCCTGTCTGCAACCCATGTGGCTCTTTGGGGCTTGCATGCTTGCATGCATGCATGCATGATTGTGTGCATGCATGCATGCTTTTTTGTGGGGCCTCCGGTGTCTGCATGCATGCAGGCTTGCATGCATGCATGCTGCACTTGGGGCTGCGGCGCAACTGAGCTATTTCGGGGTGTATGTAAACTTCTTGCCTCTCAGATATTTTACAACACCCGAAGATTGCCGCATAATAAAAAAAAGAGGTAAAGATATTTGGTGTTCGAGAGCGAGACAGCACAACAGAAAAGATTGCTGCTGCTCCTGCTGCTGCTGCTGCTGCTGCGCAAAGGGCAGTAGCAGCACCAGCAGCAGCAAATGCACCCAGCAGCTGAGCGGGGGAGGCTGCATTAGGGAGGAGGTGCAGCAATAGCAGCAGCAAAGAGGGAAGAGCTGCTGCCTCGCATTACAGCTTATAAGGCGCTGCCAGACAGGCAGGAGGCTGCGGATGCTGCTGTTGATGCTGCTGCTGCTGCTGCACTGCTCGTTGTCCAGCCCCCAAGGCTGCTTGTGCTGTCCATCCGGGGCTGCTGCTGCCCGTAAGCTGCTGCCATCATCATCATCTGCTGCTGCTGCTGCTGCTGCATTGCCCCGTTGTAGCAGCCGTACAGCTGCGAGCAGTCGTAGCCCAAAGCTGCGTATTGCTGCTGCAGCTGCTGCTGATAGGCTTGTTGCTGCCACGCCTGAACAGCAGCAGCACACGCAGCAGCAGCAGCAGCAGCATCAGAACCCGCATGTTGAATTTCCTACCCTTTTGGATGCTGCTGCTGCTGCTGCTGCTGCTGCTGCACCTACTGCAGCTGCAAGCGCAGCAGCGCACTACGTATGCAGCCACAGCTGCTGCATTTGTTGTTGCAGCTCCCCCAGAGAGCTGTGCTGCCCCCTTTCTCGCTGCTGCTGTCTCTTCGAATTTAACAGCAGCAGCAGCAGCAGTAATAGCAGCAGCAGCAAGCAGCTGGGGTGTATATACACCTCATGTCTGCATCGGGGCCTCCACATCCCAACGCCGAGGCCTTCTGATACGGACCCCTGTCTGTGCTGGCTGCTGCCCCCCTTCATTGTTGCAGTTGTTGCTGCTGCTGTTGCTGCTGTTTCTGCTGCTGCTGCTGCTGCTGCTGCTGCTGCTGCTGCTGCTGCTGGTTGCCTGCAGCGAGCAGCAGCAGGGAGACTGAGTAACCAATCGGTTCGCTGCTTCTTTGCTGTTGAGAGCTGCATTGACACTCCAATTCGCCAAAGGGGAAAAGGGGCTGGAGTTGTATTGCGGCCGTCGTGCTGCTGCTGCTGCTGCTCCTGCGGTAGGCGTGCTGCTGCTGCAGCATTTCGTTTCGTGTTGCTCATAAAAGCTTCTCGGGTAAGGACTGTCTTCAGCAGTAATGAGGATTTGTGGCGCTGGTCGCTTGCTGCTGCTACCTGTTTGCTGCTGCGTGAGTTTTTCGGCTGATGGTGCAGCAGCAGCAGCAGCAGCAGCAGTGCCAGCAACATTCCACGCAGGAGTGTCCGCTGAGGCTCCACCAGGAGGCGAGCTGAAGCAGCAGCAAGAAGGGCTTAGATTGCTGCTGCTGGAGGAAGCCTTTCTCTTCCTTTTGCCGCTGCTGCTGCTGTCTTCTTGCCCGCAGGCGGCAGCAGCAAGCATATCATCAGCAACAGCATCAGGTGCTGCTGCTGCAGCACGCCGAGCCGTATACACACGCGAAGGTAACGTCAAGCGGGTCTCCCTCAGCAACAGCTGCAGCAGCGTGTGCTGTACAGGGAGAGGCAGAGGGCAGCAGCAGCCGCATTTGCTGCAGCTGGATTTGCTGGGAGCAACAGCAAGAGCGATGGCAGCAGCAACGGTCTGCAGTGCAGCAACGGCTTTCTGCAGCAGAGCTTCCCCAACAACTGCTCGCAGTAGCTGCTGCACCTTGCTGCTGCTGCTGCTGGGGTAGCTCTGCAGCAGCAGCAGCAGCACGCCTATTGCATGAACAGCAGGAGACAAGAACACAGAGGCAGGATGAGGAGAGGAGACAAGCAGCTGCAGCAGCAAATGCGGCAGGTGGCTGCCACCCTTCAGGTCGGTCTGTGCTGCTGTTGGCAGCAAAGGCGGGAGGAGTAGCGGCACGCAGCATTGTCCTGCTGCTGCTGTTGTTGCTGTTGCTGTTTGTTGTTGCTGCTGCCGCTGCTGCTGCTGCTGTTCATCCTCTTTCGTGCCTGGCGAAGTCTCGTCTGGAGGGGAGGAGGAGTTGCTGGTGTCCCTGCTGCTACTGCTGTTGCTGCTACTTGTGGTGTTCCTGTTGCTGCTGCAGCTGCCGCTGCAGCAGCACCTGCTGCATGACCCAGGCAGCCGCAGCAGCCACTTCGCTCCGTAGTTGCTGCTGCGAAGTTTGAGGGCCTCGATCAGCCACAGCAGCAAGTTGTTGCTGCTGGCTTGAGAGGCAATATCTCCACCGCCCACAGTAGCAGCAGCAGCAGTTGCTGTTGCTTCTCCATTCTCCCATGCTGCTGCTGCTGCTGCTGCTGCTGGTTGAGGCCTTGGTCTGAAGTTGGTGATGCAGGCCCAGGCGTGCAACTCAAGCCACCCAGTGAGGGGAAAGGGCAGCCACGTGGAGGGCTTTTCCTCTTCCTGCTGCAGCAAAAGCTGCTGCTGCTGCTGCTGCTGCTGCGGTACGTGCTGGCGTTGCTGCTGCTGCTGCTGCAGCTGCTGCTCCAGCAGGTTCAGTTCTTGGCACACCGAGGGACACCGCTGACCGTCGCATGCATGCTGCAGCAGCGGGAGCCGTGCAATTGTTGTCAGCTGCTGCTGCTGCTGATGTAGGTGCTGATGCTGCAGATGCTGCTGCTGTTGCAGCTGTTGCTGCTGTTGCTGTTGCTGGTGGTGTCGCTGCTGTTGGCGCCTCTGTTGCGTCCTGTGCTTCCCTTGCCGCGTGGCTGCTGCGTGCGCAGCAACTACTGCAGCAGCAGCAGCAGAAGCAGCAGCAGCCTGTTTGTCTGCATTTTGCTGCTGCATGTATTCGGTTGTTGCATAGGCTGTCAGCTGTCTCGCATCAAAACAGGGAGTAACATCATTTTGTCTGAGGGCAAGAGAGGTGCAGAGACACCCGAGCCGCAGCAGCACGGGCAACGGGTGGATGTTCGCCCTGCTGCTGTTGTTGCTGTTGCTGCTGTTGCTGCTGCACGGGGCTCCCCCTTTGCCGCGTCCTTTGCCGCCGCTCCTGTTGCTCCCGCTCATCCCACTGCTGTTGTTCCAGCTGCTGGTGTTGTTCCTGCTGCTGCTTCCAGCAGCAGCAGCAGTTGCTGCAGCAAAGTGCTGCGGAGGCGAAACTCCCCACAATACGCGAGAGACTCGTGCCCTATCTGCTGCTGCTTTTGCTTCGCTTTGCTGCTGCTGCTGCGGTGTTGCTGCTGCTTCCTGTGTTTGTGTTGTTGCTGCTGCAGCGGAGTCTCGAGGAGGTCGAGGAGCAGCAGCAGGAGCAGCAGGGAAGAGCAGATCTGCAGGGGGCTGCCACGCTTCCCACTCCAGCAGCAGCCAGCCCATATATCTCACTGCTGTAAATGCTACTTCGGGGTGTATGTGCAGTAACTTGCAAAGGGAGAAGACGAAACTGCGAGCAGCAGCAAACTTCAGCCAATCTTGCTGCAGTGCTTCAAGTCCAGGCAAGAAAGAAGACAGACAGAGGCTCCTTCCTGCTGTTCCTGCTCCTGCTGCTGCTGTTGCTCCTGCTGCTGTTGTTGCTGCTGCTGTTGAGACTTTTCCCGCCCCTCCAGCACCAGAAACAAGTGCATACCCGGTTTTTCCACCTGCTGCTGCGCCTGTTGCTGCTGTTGCAGCTGCTGCTGTTGCTGCTGCGTCTTTGCAGAGAGCAGCAGCAACATCGCTGAGGGAGAGCCCGCCCAGGGGAACAGCAGCAGGAGCGATGTCTCCGCTTTCTAGAGCAAGCCTCAAGTTATGCAAAGAGAAACAATGCATAAAAGAGAGCCCTTTGCCAGCTTCAGCAATATGCCGCCCCACAAGCTGCCACAGAGACAGAAAACGAGGGAAAGTTGCTGCTGCTGCTGCCTGTCCAGATTCTTCCGCCGCTTCTGCTGTTGCTGCTTCTGCTGCTGTACTTGAAGCTGCAGTCGATGCCGTCCCGCTGCTGCTCACAGACAGGGAAAGAGGAGCTCCTCGTTCTGTCACTCCCTGCCCCACAGGCTGCTGCTGCTGCTGCTGCTGCTGTTGCTGCTGCTGCTGTTGGGTCATTGCTGTTGCTCCTGCCTCAGTTGCAGTTTGTCGTTGTTCCGGTGCACCTGCTGCACCGTCTTTCACCGCAGGATCTGCTGCTGCTGCACCTTCTGCTGCAGCAAATTCCGTAGCAGCAGCTCCTGCTCCATCTTCTGCTGCAGTTTCTGTGTCTTTCACTTCAAGATATGGAGGGGCGAGACACACAACAGGAGACAGCTGGTGAGAAGAGACACTTATCTCTGTTGGAGAAAAAGCACTGGGACGCTTAGAGCTTCTGTTGCTGTTGTTGCTGCTGTTGCTGCTGTTGCTGTTGCTGCTGCAGCCGCTGCTGCTCGACTGGACTGCATTGAGGCTGCTGTTACTCCTAGCGCTCCGCAGGCCCGCCTGCGGCGTGCAGCCAGAGCTGCTCCTGCTGCTGCTGCTGCTGCTGGAAGGAGATTGATGATGGAGCCCAGACGCATTCAAAGCTGCAGGGGGCAAAGCTGCAGCAGCAGCTTCTGCTGCTGCTGCTGCTGCTGCGTCTGAACCCTCTGCAGCAGCCATACCCAAGGTAAATTGAAAAGGCAGGCTGTGGGATGGCTCGTCACCAGGCTCAATCTGCAGCTGCTGTTGCTGCCCCTGCTGCTGCTCCTTTGCAAGCTGCTGCGCCCCACATCCTAGGGCCTCCTGCTGCAACAGAAGCTGCTTCTCAGTTTGCTGCTGCAACACGGGTCGCTGCTGCATTTCTTGCTGCTGCAGCACTTCCTGCAAGACTTCCAACAACTCGGATTCGTGTTTCGTTGTTGATTCGAACCCCTGCTGTTGCTGCTGCTCCTGCTGCTGCACTTGCTGCTGCACTTGCTGCTGTAGTTGCTCTTGAGGCAGCGCGTTGTCCTGCTGTTGCTGCTGCTGCAGCAACGTCTGATGCAACTCCCCGAGGGTGTGCAGGAAAGACTGTGGCTGCTGCTGTTGCTGCTGTTGCTGCTGCTGTTGCTGCTGCTGTAGTTCCGATGGAGGTGCACCTGCTTGACCAGCAGCAGCGGAAGGGCAGGTCGCCTGTTGTAGTTGCTGCTGCTGCAGTTGCTGCTGTTGCTGCAGCTGCTGCAGCTCGTCCGCTAGGGGCAGGAAGAGAGGGTGAGGGGACAGTGGGGGCCCCGTGCTGCACCAGGCAGCAATGTTGCTACAGAGAGCAGCAAAAGCAACGGGAGTATTGAAGGCTGTGAGGGTCATTGTTGCTGGAGAAGCTGCATGCCATGGCTCTGCTGCTGCTGCTGCTGATGCTGCTGATGATGATGGTAGGGCCTGAGGTGAGGCAGAGGCTTCCGGTATTGCTGCAGCACCAAGCCAAGGCCACACTGGAGACTCCACAGCTGCTGCTGCTGCTGCTGCCGCTGCTTCCAGGGCCTCGCGTTTGGGCAACGGCGAGAGGGACGGTTTGCATGGTACGCATGCAGCAGCAGCAGCAGCAGCATTGTTTGCAGCTAGCGACTGCATGCAGCAAGGACTTGAGCCGTACATACACTGGAGCAAGCCGCCTCCTGCTTGTAGCATAGTTGAAGGGGTCAGCTTAGAATCTGTGGTGCTGCTGCTGTTGCTGCTGCTGCTGTTGCTGCTGCTGCGGTTGCTGCCGCCAAGACACCTGCTGCGGCAGCTCCAGCTCCTACTGCAGCAGTTTGTGCTGCTAGCACCGCTGCTTTCTGCTGCTGTGGGGTGTAAGGGCCACTCCATCAGTTGCGGCTGAAGGGAATCTGCTGCTGCTTGAGCTGCAGGAGCAGCAGCAGCAGCAGCAGCAACACGAGACAACAGTTTTTCTGTAGTAGCGAGACTAACCTCTGCGCTTGCCTGCGGGTCGTCGTTGCACCAACTTGCTGCCGGTGCTGCTGCTGCTGCAGCACCTTCTTCTTCCTTGTCTCCATATGGCAGCAGCAGCTTCTGCGGCAGCCTCCGCAACTCTGCTGCAGCAGCGAGAGATGCAATATCCTGCCGATGCTTTTCTAGGAAAGCAGTTGCTGCTTCCTGTGCAGCAGCAGCAACAGCAGCAGCAGCAACAAGCAGCAGCAGGTCAGCCAACGGCAGTAGCTCGAACACTGGTTCAGTCGGTTTGTAGCAATTTTTGTCTTCTCTTTCCCCACTCCCGCTGGCAAGTGTTTAGGGTTTAGGGTTTAGTGTCTAGGGTTTACTTTTGCTGCATAGAGTGTTTCTGTTGGGGCTGCATAGAATTCATACAGATGGATCTGCAGCTTTAAGGCCTGCCACCGCAACCATACATCTGCCTGCAACAAACAGGCAGCAGCAAAATAGGGTTTAGGGTTTAGAGTTTAGATATTAGGGTTTACGGGAGTTTAGAGTTAAGGGCTTAGGGTGTGGGGGTGAGGATGAAGAAAGTACGTTAGGAGTTCAGGGATCATGGTTTAGGGTTTGCAGTTTAGCTTTCAAGCCAGTGAGTGGAGGGTTTAGGGTTTATGGTTTAGGGTTTACGACTTAAGAGGTGGATGAGGGTTTACGGTCTGCGGTTTAGGGTTTAGGAGAGTCTGTTGAGGGCTTAGGGTTTAGGGTTTAGGGTTTAGGATTTCTGACGTCTGGGTTGGAGAGGACGTCGTTTAAGATGGGTTTGCATGCAGCCAGAATCTTCTCAGGATCTCCAGCGTTTTGTTGCTGCAGCAGCCGCAGCTGCAGCAGCAGCAACGGAAGGCTCCGTGGGAGTGATTCCCTGGCTCTAGCGAGGATAGAACTGCAGCAACCACAGGAAGACGTGTTTTGCTGTACCTGCTGCTGCTGTCGTTGTTTTGTTGTTGCTTGTGCTGCTGCTGTTTCTGCTGTTGCTGCTGCTGCATGGCCTGTTGCAGCTACGAGGCAGTCTCTCCTATTGGTGCTGTGGTCAGTGCCTCGCTAGAGCAGCCGCATGTGCAGCAGCAGCAGCAACAACAGCCGCACATTAGCCGCAGAGCCACCTGCTGCATCTGGAACCTCAGCAGCAGCAGCCCCAGCACCAGCAGCATCTGCGACACCAGCAGCAGCCCCAGCAGCACCAGCCCCAGCAGCAGCAACAGCGGCAGCGGGGCTTACAGTGCTTTTTTTGTGTCCCCTGCATGCAAAGCGACGAGCTTGGCCCTGTAGATGTGCAGGACCTCAGCGCAGGGGCCGTCATCTCTGTATTTATCTGCTGCTTCCTCCAGCAGCAGCAGCGCGTGGCTGAGGGGGTCTGCTGCTGTCTCTGGCGGATGCCGCAGCGAGAATTGCAGCAGCGCGACGAAATACTTTAGGGAAGCCGAGTCCAACGGAGGCCTAGAAAATAGAAACGCATGTTGTTGCCGCTGTTGGTGTTGCTGCTGTTGCTGCTGCTGCTGCTGTTGCTGTTGCTGCAGCAGTGCGCGGTGAAACGCAACCTGAAGCATTAGCCTCTTCAAGGCACTGCAGAAGCAGCTGCGCCCTGCTTTCCCTGTGGCGCAACAGCGGCTCCTGTTGCTGCTGCTGCTGCTGCTACTGAGGCGTACCTAACTAACGCTTCGAATTCTTTTGCTGCTTCCTTCAGGCGGCCGCAGGCCTCGAGTTGGGAGGCGTAGATGCACGCCATGTCCCTACTGCAGCAAAACGAAGGGGCAAAGAGGAGACAACGGAGAGAGAGGAGGCAGAGAGAGAGAGAGAGGAGACAGAGAGTGGGTAGCGAGAGGAGACATGCAGAGACACAACGGAGACAGCGAGAGAGAGAGAGAGAGAGAGAGAGAAGAAATGGAGAGGGGACCGAGAGATAGGAGACAGAGACGAGCAGAGATTGAGAAGCACGCTGTATATACACGTCGGACTGCGGCTGACAGCCCCCTGCTGCTCTGCAGCAGCAGCAACAGCAGCAGCAGCAACAGCAACAGCAACTGCCACAGTGCAGCAACCAGCTGCAGGCCGCTCAGCAGCACTGAGGAAACATAGACAGAAGAAGCCTTTGTAGGTGTGGTGCCGCACACTCATCTGCATCGGGGCTGAGGTGTACGTACACACGTACCGGCGCTTCAAGACTTTTGTCGCTGCGAAGTGCAGCAGCTGCAGGGCCTCCTCTTCGCTGCTTTTTTTCTTTTGGAGAGCGCACCGCAGCCATAACTCAGGGTAAGAGGCACAGACCTCCAGGCAGCGCCGCTGCAGCAGAGGCAAGCGCTCGGGCGCCTGCAGCAGCAGCAGCAGCAGCAGAAGCAACAGTAAAAGTAGCAGTAGCAGGAATGGCAGCAGCAGCAATGGCGGCTAGCTTAGCGGCAGCAGCAGCAGGAGCACCAGTACCAGCAGCAGAGGCACATACAACGTAAGCCGCAAAGACAGCAGCGCATGCAACAGCTGCAGCAGCAAAAAGCAGCTACTGCAGAGCTGCTCCTGAGGGCGCTATGTTGGTGTTTGTACGTAGCGATCGCTGGGGTCTAGGGTTTATGGCTTGGTGTCTACTGTTTAGGGTTTAGGATTTAGGGTTTAGGATTTAGGATTTAGGGTTTGTGGTGTACATTCTTCTCTTCAAAGTCTAAGTAATCCCTCCAGGCCTGCAACCGGCGAGGAGCGAGGGGGTCAGGATGCCAAAACCATCGGTGTGCCTGCAGCAGCAGCAGCAGCAGGCAGCAAGAGGCTCGCTGTTGCTGCACAAGCTACGTCTGCTGTTGCTGCTGCTGCTGTTGTAGGCTGCTGCTGTATCTGCAGCAGTTGCTAAGCACTCTTCAGGCGGCTGCGCTGCCACTGCAAAGGCCGCCATTTCACAGCTACACGCATTGTTGCTCTTGCTCGTGCTGCTGCTGCTCGTGCTGCTGCTGCTGCTGTTGCTGTTGCAGCTGCTGCTGCTGCGGACCGCTTTTTCAAATGGCTGCCTTAGAGCCACTTGCTCCAATGTGGCGTCCAGCGTCTCCCTCAGCAACTGCCAGCATTCTCTCTCCACTGCGTTTAGGGAAGCCAACGTGGAGACTGAGCAGCAGCAGCAGCAGCAAAAACAGCACCAGCAAAAGCAGCAGCATAGAGTGCGGTGTAATCAGCATCAGCCAACCCTCATGCAGACACCGCAGCAGCAACCTCCAGCAAGCAGGTGCACAGCATCATTCGCAGCGGCAGCAACAACAACAGCAATGACAGCCGCAGCAGCATCAGCAGCCGCAGCAGCAGCTGCGCATGCTTCCTTTTCCCTGGCAGCAGCAGCAGCAACGGCAACAGCAGCAGCAGAAAACTGCCGCAGCAGGAATGACAGCAACAGTGACAGCAGGAGACGGATGAGCATTCACCTCTTTCTTTAATTGCTGTTCTTGCTGCAGCAGGATCATCGGGTGCCGTTTGCTGCTGCTGTGTTGCTGCTTCAGTTGGGAGTTGCAGATCCTGCAGGGTAGAAGACTTTTGCTGCTGCAGCCGCTGCAGCAGCTCCGGCAGCAACTCATCCGCGAGGAGATCATAGACGTCAAAGAGAGTAGAGGCCCCCTTAGGGGGCCCCTCTGCATCTGCCTGCACGCCAGGGCGGGGGCCCCTCCTGCTTCTGATGCTGCTGCTGCTGCCGCGATCTACAAGTGCCTTCAGCCGCTCCCACACCAAATCCGAACACTCCAGTGGAGTACGCAGCAGGTGCCAGTACAGCTGCCGAAGCTGAGCAGCAGCAGCAACAGAAACAGCAGCAGCAGAAGCGGCAGCAATGATAGCAGCAATAGCACCAGCAACGACAGCAGCAACGACATAAGCAATAGGAGCAGCAGTGAGAGTAGCAGCGACACCAGAAGCAACAACAGCAGCAGCGTTAGCTGCAGCAGCCCCAGCAACGTCTCGATGAGCTGCCGTCTGATGGGAAGAGCAGCGGAGTGTGCTGCAGCAGCAGCAGCAACAGCACGAGCAGCTGAAGTTTTGTTCAGAGGAGAATAGTATGATTACTCGTTGCAGCGCCGTCTGCATTTGCAATCGGTTTGTCTCAATCAGGCTATTAGAGACAGCAGGTTGGGGGTTGCTGCTGCATGCGCTGTCTGTCTCCTCCTCCTCCTCCTTCGCCTCCAGGAGCCCGCCACCCAACTCTGCTGCATTAACTTTCTCTCGCGCTGCAAACAACTCCCCCTCCTCCCAATCCAAAATACCCTGCCACAAAGGCCAGGCCTTCCAGTGGGCCCCAGCCTGAGAGCAGCAGCAATAGCAGCAGCAGCAGTAGCAGTAACAGCAGCCTCAGCAACAGCTTGCGGAGTGAAAGTGTCTTCAGCTAGCGAGGCCGAGATGAGGGTTACCGAGGTAAGTAGGATTTTGGGATTAGGTGTGCCTGGATTATCGGGCAGCCTAGGTTTAAGGGTTTAGGGTTTAGGGTTTAGAACTTGCTTGCTGAATAGCCTGGTCCATGCGGGCCCTGATGAGGTGAGGCGGCAGCGAGGCGAAGTCCCTCACCCACTCCAAATACGCCGTCCACACCAGCGGGTTGTGCCCCACAAACTCTAAACAGCGCTCAAACACCTGCAGCAGCAGCAGCAGCAGCAGGCGGGGCACCAAGGGCGAAGAGCTGGAGAAAGGCGCACCACGAGTACCAGTGCTTGCAGCAGCAGCAGCTCCTGCTGCCGCAGCAGCGGCAGCGGCTGCATGTCAAGCAGCAGGAGGTATGGTATCCTTTAGGTGTATACGGCATGAACTAGAAGAGGAAGAGGAGCAGCAGCAGCAGGAGCAGCAACAGCAGCAACAGCAGCAGCGGCAAAAGCAAGAGAAGCAGCAAGCAGCAGCAGCAGCAGCAGCAGCAGCAGGTTGATGACTGACCTCATCGCACTTGGTCCAGTCTCCTTTTAAGTGGCACTGAAGCCTCGCCAGCTTCTTCCAGTACCCAAAAAGAAGAGGAAATTCTTCTAAGAGCCGCTCTAAGGCACTTTCGTAGTCCTCTAGCCTCTCCGGGCCCTGAGGTGTACAGACAGCTAGCAAGGAAGGGGACATGGCGTAGTTTAGGAGCGCAGTGTTTTCTTTTACGGCAGGTAAGAGCAAGACGCGCCGCCGCATTTGGGGTGTACAGGCAGCTGCGGCAGGACCCAGTGATGAGTAATACAACCTAAACCCCTCAAAAGGGAGAGTGAGAGTGACAGAGAGACAGAGACAGAAACAGAGACGGAGATAATCTGGAGAAGCTCACAGCAGCAGAAAGAGCACACACGAGGTCATGCAAGGTCTCATATGAATAGGGGGCTTGATCTGCTCTCTTTAATAGATAACCAATGTTGTCTCCTGGCGTTCCCTCGTCTCCGCACCGATACCCGAATGTCTGGTAGTCTCCTTCAGGTGTATCTGCAGCAACGCCAACGGAAGAAGCACCACCCATGGGCCTCGGAACCCTAAACCCTAAGCCTTAAACCCTAAGGCGGTCAAGGGAAAGAAGTGAAACAACCCACTGGTGGAGACAGACGTTGGTGTCTGTCTGTCACGGAGAAATACAGATGTAGATAGGCAAGTGCTGCTGTGCATATAATGAGGAAAAAATATACAAATGGACAGAAGCTGTGCATATAAACGGAGAAATAGGAATGCAAACAGACAGGCAGGCGTTGATGCACACTTAAACAAGGAAATAATCATGCAAACAGACAAAAGTTGCTGTGCATTGACAGAAAACATGATAAAGATGTAGACATCAACTCACCAGGTGGAGCTACCTCGTCCGTCTCGGCTGTTTCATTGGGCACTTCTTTAAATCCCTTCGTCGCTCTTTTCCTCTTCCCCCCATAATCTTCTGTCTGCTGTTGCTGTTGCTGCTGCTGCTCGGGCTGCGACTGTGGCTGCGAGTGTGGGGCGCGGCAGGCAGAGTACTGCTTCGCTGCTGCCTCCCAGTCGACAGGTGCAGCGGGAGCACACTGTTGCTGCTGCAGGAAGCCAAGAGGGAATGGCAGCTGCAGCGCAGCATCAGAACACAAGAGCCGTTCCGCACAAATGCAAGATTAGCAACAAACGCATTACCAACTACTGAACTGGGAGAGCGTCTGCTCCCAAGTCCCACTTGTCTTGCGCTGCCGCTGCAGATGCCGCTGCAGCTGGGGCTGCAGTTGATTCTGCATCAGTTACTGGTGCAGCCTGAGAGGGGAAGGGGTTAGGAGCAGTACGAGGTGTAGGGGGAGGGTCTTATAGCGCCAGCCGCAACAGGGACCTCAAGCCCGCAGCATAGCAGCAGCGCTCAGGGCTTTACCATGTTGGTAGATGGCTAAGGGTGGACAGAAAGTCGCGGAAAAGGCGGAGAGGCGACGAGAGAAGAAAAAGTTCAGGGGGAAGCCTCTTGTGTTTGTGTTGTGTGGAGGGAGATGTCAGGGGAAGACAGACGGCGGGGTACAAAGGCGACATAAAAAGCAGTCAAAAGTACAAAACCACGGTTAAGTCAAAAGGAAGATTCTAATGAAGGTAATATTTTAGGTATTTATTACCAAGTGCGCGTGTGTTTGTAGACACAACGCAAGCGGAACGGCGCTGCTGCTGCAGCAGCAGGAGGCGATCGTTTACACGCTAGGTAGGCTTTCTAAAGCCAAATACGTCAATCAATTACCTGCATAAAAATGTTTAAGTTGTACTTGTACAAAAGAAGAAAATTAAGCCAGCAGTTCGCGCCGGGGCGGCGCCGCCGCGCGCCAGCCAGGGGTTTTCTCTGTGAGGGTCACCAGGCGGCGCAACCGCCGCACAGCCCCCGAAAAGAGAATAATATAAGCAAAAACGCACAATAATAGTAATTAAAGTCTTTTCTAAATTGAAATATGTAGCAAAACAACCCCATAATGAGGCTGGCGTTCGGAATTTCATGCTGAAACCCGCAGTCTGCGAGTGATCCTGGAGCTCTCCTTCTTCCGTTTGTCTGGCAACAAACAGTGCCCCTTTCCCATGCACTTAATTGAAATAAAGTGTGGAAACAACAAATTATTGTAATTGGTTTGTTTGTGCAGAGTTTGTTCTTCTTGGTATACTCCCAAACATGAATACAGGTTGTTATCGAGGTGGCGGTCCACTGGTGCCACTGCAGCGCCAGCGCATGGAGCACAAGGGTACGCAGAATGAGATACTGATAAGAAACTTGCTAAGCAATAAATGCCGGAAACACTATTATTGCAGGCACTTCGATGGTCTTCTTCTCTTGTTTAATGGGGCCTCCAGGCTAAAAGAAACGCAAGAAGGGCCGGGAGCTGCAAGGAGCTGCAAGCTCAGAACCGTTTCGTGCCGAATGCGGCAAACGTGTAGAAGGCAGCCACCACCAGCCACAAGAATGACATTACAACAACCATCCCACAAAACATTTTTGTCTGAGCAAGTATAGGGAGGGATCCACGAAAAACCGTAGGGGAACTACCATCGCGTAAGAAGGCTGAGGAGGCTCTGTAACAACAAACAATCCAACACAAGCTGACCGTACGATCCTCATTCTGCAAAGGCACACATTCTGTCCCTCGTCTCATTCATTCTTTGCTGATTTATGTACATAGAATGCCCCGAATTTAAAGGACTCAAAGTTCCTATTTCTCGCTTCCTCATCCTGCAAAACGAGTGGAGACAGATTGAAAACTATAATATGAAAATTTACTGGTAAAAATCAAATAGATCAAATACTCAGGACTACTAAATGGAATCTGCACACTTTTCTAGCCAGATGACATCAAAATCTCCGGCACTTCGCCACGATTGATGAATTCTCATCTTGGAATCCTCAGCCGAGTCTGCCCTGGACAGCCCTGTAGATAGAAACAAGAAGGCTTTTGCTGGGGCCTCAGCAAGCCAACCACTGATCACTCTATGGCAATAGGGCATTTAAATAGCGTTAGGATGCCTTCAAGCTAAAGGCCTTTCGGGAAGTAACTATATTGGCATTCACGTAAACGCTGAGCAAAACGCATAGCAGTTGAAAATTCGCAGGTTGTCGAGCTGCGTGCATTTTTCACAGACTAAGAGTGCCAGCGTTATGAAATGGCTGCATATGAAGTTAGAAACATGATAAAACATTCGTGTGGTTCAGGTATTGCGCATTTCCTTATTGTTGTTCGCTGCTGCACTGCTAGAAAAAGCAGGTTGGGCTGTGTTGTAAGGAGCATCAGGTGCCCTACAACAACTACACAAAGATGGCTGAAAGAGTTTTCAAGCCCTACAGCCTTTAGCAAAAGTGTTTTACAGTGCACGCTAGACGCTGTGTGTAACGATTGTTTGCACTTCATTGGTGATTGATGAAATCAACCAAAGGCAGACTGCAAAGCGGTATGAATTGGAGAGTGTATTTAGAGGAAAAGCGCTTGAAGTATTCCAGCAGTAAAGGCAAAGAAAGTAGGTACGGCGGCTATAGCGCTGTTGCGGAGGGCATCAGTGATCTCGTTGCACTGGCTTTGCCTGAGATGCACATGCACCTCTCTACAGCCCTAATTGTTGCTGAGACTAATGTTTTTAAAATGGCATTTCTTCTCTCTGCTGGCGCGAGGCCGCAAACAGGAGAACTTCAAAACAAAATACCCGCATCTGTCGGTGCTTGCTGTCAAAGCATTCGGGGATGGAACGCCAAGAAGCGCCTTCATTCCTTTCTCTGCCGTGCTGCCATTCTCTGTTTCCGGCGAAGTGGTTGAACCACCTTCATTCCACTTGTACTCCGCGTTCTCTCTCCCTTCTTCCCCACTCAACTCCGCTACATTGGCTTTATTGGCAGTCTGCGGCGTCTGCATATTCGCTTGCTTTGCTGGGCAAGTGCAGCGAAGTCCAATTTGAGGTTCGCCACTGGGCGCCTTCTACGCCATGATAGGAACTTGGGTGCCACTTACATGGTCAGCTGTTGATCCATCCTTACAGGAAAATCTCAACCAGAAGTGTTTCTTTGTTTCGTAGCAAACTCTGCCTAGCAGGGAATACACACTAGAAGGTCGTTTGTGTCTTGGGAGCATATCCCGTTTTCGTATGGGTTTGCTTCGGTCTCCCGAGGATGAAGACCTTGCAGAATTCCCTTTCGCTTCCCCGCTTGACACCACTCGAAAGTGTAGTGTACGCATTTTTTGTCCATACGTCTTGGAGGCCACTAGCTCATGGCTATTCTGGTGAAGGGCCGCAAAATGCGTGATACTGCAATGGCATTACATTGCGTTAGGTTTTTACACCTTTCTAGGATTGCGTGCACTGCGCGTTTCCGCCTTGTTTCCGCTGTGAATTTTGCGTCAAATTAACGTATCACAAGATTGCAGTGATAGGTGAATTTAACGCAAAATCCACAGCATGCACCATGTACGTAGACCCCTAGTTAGGAGATTTTTCAGGCATCCCCCGCACCGCTTTGGAGGAACAGGAAACCATCTTTGGCAGCCCGTCTAATTAAACATTCGCGCTGTTTTTATGCTTGTTCGTTTTTGTTGTTCTTTTTGCACCGTTGAACCTTAATGAGCCTTAAACACCTGGGGAAGAACGATGAAGCTCCATCTACCTCTGGTGAATGCAAAATACGTACGCTACCTTGCGCTTTAGATTATGCAACACATTATTTATGAGCATTTAGTTTTAATGTACTCCATCTAGATTTTTGCGCGTATTTTTTATTGCCACTTTTTTCCAAGGGGAAGGACCAATCTATTAACGGCAGTTCGCAACTAGCAGTGTCCACTGCAGAAAGAACAGAGAAGATCCCGAAACAAGCAATGCGCCTCGCCATAGCGGTTTTAACAAAAGAAAGTGTAAACTTAGTGCATGAGGGATGAGCTTATTTCTTGTTGCTTAAGCACCTGCGCCCCTCCCAGGGGCAGTCAATCCTTTTCCTCTAAGGAATTTCAACGTTGTCCTCCTTAAGGTATCAACCGTGGACTGGGGGGCCCACGGCAAAGCTCTGCATGCAGTGCTGTGTCTCTCTGTGTCTCTCTGGCCTCAAAGTTTTTCCTTTTGGAGCTCTGCAGCGTGTAATGAGGCATATTCAAAGGGTTGGGGTCGCTGCTCCAGCGCAGATAATAAATTACGCCAACGTCGGAGAAGAAGCTCGGTGGTGTTCGTCTACGGCATTTTAACTCCCTTTGCTGTTCACGCAAAAGTAGGCGAAGTCGTATCGTGGCTCTCACATCAATAAACATTTCTTTAGTATTGCCTGTCATGAAGTCCACTCTATTCCGCATGGGAGTGGACACGCCGGAGGTGCATTTGTGTACCGAACAAATACAGTTGGCTCGACTTCTTTTCTATAGACAGCTAAATACAGTGCTAGTGATTAGTAAACGTTACACCTGTCGTTAGTACACAGAGTAAGTCAAACTCGCTTCGGCATGCAGTGAAAAGCGTCCTGAGCCCACAGCTCATGCCGGTTGCATGCTGAAGACTCGTCCGTGTTCGGAGTGCGAGTTTGTTACAGCAAATGGTGATAAGATTGACCTCATGCAAAATCAAATGATGCCGTGAAGAAGAGAAACTAAAGTAGAAAGGGGGCGGGTTGACCAACCCGGCAGCTCAGGCATTTGGAGCTTTCCCTCAGCCGCCACTGGGAGTTGTGCATGAGCTGTGGCCCGGCTCAGTAGGATCAAAAGCTGTTTAGAATGAAACAGCAGCAAGCGCACCGGCAGCAACAGCAAGAACCGCTGGCACTGCTGCGGAACTGCTGGACTTTAGATCCGCAGTGGTCTTGTTCCACTGCTCTTGTCTGAGACGAACACCAACGCCGGCAGACAGAACGAAGGGGATAAACAAACCAAGTAAGGCAGCAAAACCTGTAGGCTGATCATTTCAGAGTGTGACTCATGTGTAGGGTTGTTTAGTATCTTCCAAGGCCTTCGGGGTGGTAATACAAATCAGCGCACTCACTTCCTTCTGTGTCTGTGCATTGCTCTGCTGATGTTGTTGAGTTCCGGTTGTTGCTGTGTCGTAAGTTTTACTCTTTGCTGTAAACACCGGAGGCAGCTCCCCCTCGAAGTTGCTGAGGGCGTCCTTCCATTGCTCCGCAGCAGCTCTGCAGTCAACAGTTTCCCCTACGTGAGCTGCAAGGGCGAAAGTGCCTTCGGCTGTTGTGGTTAATTTCTCGGGCGCTGTGTTCTGTTCATATTGCACAGACTACAACAAGAAAAAGAAGAAAAAGAAGGGGAGGCTGAGGATGAAATCCGTTGAAAGCGTGCGTGTATGCCTAGCCAAATGCACGCGGCCATTTCAGAAATGCATGCTTAACGTGGGAGATGGAGGAGAAACGTCAAGCCGCGTGCCCCTGAGACGTCAAGAGCAGCATTCCGTGTTCCACCTTTATGCAAAGAACACCGTACCTGCTCTTCAGGACAGCCTTAATATGCACTTGAAGGCAAGACCCAGTTTGTCTGTGTGCGAGCGTTGAGTGCTGTCTTTGACGGCCAAATTCTTGCAGGTGTTCACCCTGACAATTTCAGAAACCGTATGGTGTTGCGGCATGCGCTTGAAGTGTCCGTTTCTGTCTACTTGCTTGTGCGTGTACGCACATGGTGGACAATGTGTTGTTTTGCTTTCGAGCAAAACAGCACAGCCAGCTGTAATTCTGCCGCATTAACGCTCAAGTATTGCGCTTTCATGTCCCACACAACGTTTAGGGGTCCCTACGTAATTTTATTGCATTTCACTGGGCCGGAATACAACTGGAGACGGCAGCTGCGCGCAAGTCTTTCGGTAAAATATGCAAAATTGCTGTGCTAAAAGTAAGGGCCTCTTTTGCTTCATGCAAGTAATGCACAGAGTGGCGAACACAGTTGCATGCATATCCGTTGATTGCTGCGCCGACAGCAAAATTTATATGGAACTGTTCCCGTTAACAAACTCGATGTGTGACACGTACTTACATGCTGCTTCCACACCCCAACTAAAGTCGCTCAGCTGGTGTTGTGTCTGTGGAATGGCAGGCGTTCGTGCGCTTTTACTTGTCTAAAAAAGAAGAGGCTGCATTTGGAAGAAAACAGCTCCAAGTGCTGCAGCTGCAACGACAAGGAAGGCGGGGGAAGCTGCTGAGGTTCCGTTGCGGATGCCGTCAACAATCTTATCCCAGACTTTGGCTGAGGCACACAAGCAGATCAGCAGTGTTAGAATTATTGGAGGTATGAAGCATGGCAACAGCCATTAAAAAGAAAAAGCGGCAACGTAGGAATTCGCAAAGAGGGTGCACCCGTAGGATAACCGCTTCGACGTCTACACCTTTCAACCTTTTAAGAACGAAACTACAGCCAGAAAGCCTTTACTCAGCCAGCAAGCCTACTCTTAAGGTTGTTGTTTGTCATTAAGCGCTACGGGGGTAGTGAAACAAAGAAGTACCTCCAAGTCTTTCCTGTTGTCAACGAAGCGCCGTTGGGTTTCGGCGCCCCTGCTGGGTAGATAAAATATGCGAAGTCTACCTTGGAACTTTCACCAGGGTTGATCGGGGCGATGAGACATTTCTGGGACTTTTATACAGCGTTGTGTTGTCATCGTTATCGGAAGGGATAAAAATGTTCAGGTACACAGTTCTCCCGTAGGCATCCAACAAGCCTTTTCACGAAGGTACTTGTCCCCCGAAGTCACGGGCACGCGAAGCGACTACTCTGGGTGAAAAGCTAGTAAAGTGCTCAAATAAATGCATTTGCCTTAAGCCCAGCAGCGAAGCCCATATCCTTGATTAGGCACTAGGTGTTCCGGTGCAATGTTTCATCTTTTTTATTGCTTTCCTTATCTGAACTTAACCGGTTTCAGGGATATTTCGAATTTTATGCAACGTTGACCTCATGCCCGAACAACTGGACTAGGGATTACACCGTAGTTTCTGGTTAATCTACTTTGTCCCAATTTCTGTTTGGTTTACCCCACAATATCTGACTCCTTTCGCCTATAGAATAAAACTAGCTGAATTCCACCTAAAATCTCCATGTAGTTCTATATGCGCAAACACAGCTCCTTTGGTTCACATTTCCCTAGCGTGGGCTTCGGCTGCCAATACTTAAGGACTGTATATCGCCCCGAATAATGCCTACTGGGGCGGTTTTTGAGTTGGAACATAAAGCAAGGTAGTATGGGGCATTAGGAAAGACGGGAGACCCCGTCGCCCGCATAAGTTGATGTTTGGGCATCCCTCGGGTTTTTTTTTTTAAAAATGTTGTGTGAGGACGTTGTAAGTTGTTTTCGTAACTGAAAGATACGTTTACAAGAAGAGAGTAGCGACTGCTGCGGCGAGCACGGCGAGGAAGGTGGGAACTGCTGCGCTGCCGGAATTGACCGCTGCGTCGATCTTGCCCCATTGTTCCTCGCTGAGTCGCACAAACAGAACCAAGGTACTCACCCCATAAATGGGATTGGACGAGGAACGAAAGATTCTCTACTCGCTTACAGAAGGCAAGGATGATCACAAGTATTCTAGAGGCAACTCACGTGAAGGGAGCTTTATCCGTCACCAAGGCTTTAGGCTTTGTTACACAGAGCAGTGCCTTCAAATCTTTCTCTTCTGCGCTCCCAGCTTTGGCCGCCGCTGCTGGGCAGGTGAAGTATGCGCAGTCCAAGAAGGGCTTCTCGTCCGGGTTGAACAAGGCAATCAAAGACACATTGGCGGGATTTTTGTAGAGGTCTCCGCCATCCTTGCCGGCAGGTGGCAAACCGTTAAAGTTGGAAAAGGCCTTTTTCCAAGAGTCAACAGCGGCCTTGCAGTCAGCACTGTCTCCGGTTTGCACTGCGTATGCAAAGGTACCCTCTGGTTTAGTTGTCTCCAGTGTAGGTGCGGTGCCACTTTCATACTGCACAAAGCACACAAACCTTACAGTGGCGCTTTTTGGCGTCCCCCATTGTAGGATCGGAGCACATCCAAGACGCACAATACATGGAAGAGCTAACTTCAGAACTTACCTTTTTCATCGCATCGCAAACGCCCTTTATGTAAGTCGTGCTATCTGTTTCAGTGATCGGGAGTTTCAGTTGTTCCAAGTTAACTTGGAGTTGGGCGAAGCCGGCGCCGACGCGGGGCACATTCATCTCAGTAGTGCAATTCACTCTTTCTGCATCCACCCACGCAGAGTAAACAATCAAGTTAGTTCAAGCATTATTTCAATGGGAAAAAATTATAAAATTGAACTGATCAGATACCTACCGGCCTTGTTTGCAGGGTCTGCTGCCTGTGCCTCCTTGGCCAGCAAACAGACGGCGGCGGCCGCCAGCGAGAAGAACTTGAGCCCAGCCATTCTCGAGAGCCAGAGAAAGCGAATAATACTGTATAGCCTAATTTTTAAAAAGAAAGCAAAAAATGTTCTAGTAGCGTGGCCAAGGTCTCCACCGCAAGTGTTCCCCCACGGCGAAATCCTCGGTGCGCGGGAGCGTTTCGGCTGCAGGGGGGATGGGGGGTGGGGGGTGGCGGTCTGGGGTGAGACCGGCTGGCAGCCTTGTTCCGTGTACCTGGGCGCACCATTCAGGTGAGTCTTTACTCTGTTTCTTTTATTGGAAAATTTAAAGAATTTGCCCTTCATGGCGTACACCAAGTTTTGGGAATAAGAGATGCAGGACGCTGATGCTGTCAATGATCATACTCGCCTGAGCAGTGATTGAGGCCCTAGGCGAGTATTCTGGCATCACAAATGGCATCGTTTCCACGGCAGACACATCAAAAGACACAAATACGACATTTTTTATTTGCACGAAAGGATGTCCGCGGCGCGTACGCCTTTGGGGCAAGCATTCTTTTACTTTTTCCATTCCTCTCTGTCGGCACAAGCATGAGGACGTGTCTAGTCTGTTCCCGTTCAGGACACAGACAGCTGATCCTTCTCCTCCCAAGATGGAAGAAAGATGAATAATCTTAATTTTGGTTTTTCATTCGCTTAGAAAGTGAATCGGCGACTTGTGGGCCGGGTATATGCCCGCCTGCGGACTGCTGTGGGTGTTTCCCTGATGGGCAGAGGAGCAACATGTTCTAGAATAGAGCCTACTGTCGTAAAATGGAATCGGAGATAACTGTTGTATCAACAGCGCTAAAACCAGATTGTAGAGAGGGAGAAATGCAAAAGCGTGGAAGGTGACGCGACACTGAGATACGGCATATCTATTGGGGCACTCACGAGTTGGAACCAATATCCAAAGTATTTCTATTGGGCTTCACATGTAGATACAGAAAATCTGGAAATTAGAATGATACAATTCTTGAAACAGAAGGAACACGGATGTTAGCACCGCTTTGTAGCAATGATCTGCCGCTGTTCTTCAGTTTACCTGTGACCACAGATCACCCAGAGGTACTGCAGGAATCCTACATGCTGATACCATTCCGGTATTTCTTGGCTTTCTTCTGCGCAGTACGAACGGAACCAAACTGGTTGCTCTTACGGCCGAAAGTCTAAGTCTACGGGGTTTAGAGGGGCTGACACCGACTGCCGCACCGGGGTGTATTACTAGGAGGATGCTGTTCCAACCTCTTCCGGGCAGCCTCAGGCAAACGATCCTACAGAAGTGCGCAGAATGCCTCCCCTCTACAACATCCAAACGTGTTCCGAGGTCAATTGCGCTTAGCCTACCTGCTTCCTAGCAAGTTACCTTGAAGGGTCCGTCTCTATCGATAAGAAAGTGACAAAGCCCCCCTGTCAAAACCATTTCAGCAAAAGGGTTATGTCATCCTAAAACTTTGTTCCCTTCCCCCCACTACACCGCTGCCGTCAACGCCAGCGAAGCCTTAGCAGTGCCGAAGTTCCTTGCCACTGCTGCCAAATATTCGGAGATGTGCCTTGTAAACTGCAGCAGAAAATGTCAACCGAATGTGCTGCCCACCTACAGCTGTCCGCCCGTCCCCCATGACAGTGCCAGTTAGGGGGTTGCCCTAGGTATGCTCAGCGCTCGAAATGCTGCGGAGGCTCTATACTAAAATGCCGCATATTGCTGCGGGTGCTATTTTCTCCAATCAATCACAAAGCACTAACTGTAAGGGTAGTCAGCTGCTCCCGAGCAGCGCTGGTGTGCTTTGCTGAGTAGTCGAAAAGTGTTGTATTGCTGTACAAATAAAAGGTATCGGTGAGAACAAAGACTAAACTTGGACAACTGTCTGTACACAGATAGAAGTTCGCGAAGTTTCTCACTAACAAGTAGAGGCACTTTGGGGGGATTTGCTGCTTGAAAAATAGCCACAACTACACAAGAATAGCTTTATTGGAGTAATCGCCACAGTCGATTGCATGCAAATGACGTAAAAGCCAAATGTCGTACACCTCCACCCCACAATCCCGCCTGCTCCTTAGGTGCAGCTGCACGGTAATGAAAAAGGGCCCCCTTCCAGCCTTAATACAAGGTTTTTCAGTGATAAGATTTCGTTGAAGAGAGAGACAACAAATTGGTAGCGACCATTTTAAGTCTGAGAAAGACACGGTATGGCAAACAAAGCCATTGCACAATGCAACAAACGGAAACAAAAACAACGGTAGCTTTACACCATTAGCAGCAGACGCACGAGATGCTGCGGCGGTCGTTGAAGATTGCGAGTCCAGCTGAAAGGGAGCAGCACAAGTGCTCCCCCTTTATCTCTCAAAGCGGAGCAATCCGTCTGTCACCTGAGACGTCGTTCAACTCACCATGCGAACAGCACTGTAAAAACGCGTAGGGCAGCCCCATCATTTGCTTGCTTCTGTTTTCTCTGGTTTCTTTTCGCTCTCTACCTCCGCAGTTCCAAACAGCCCCTTGCCAATCTGTGCCTCGGGAAGAAAAGGAATTTCCTCTCCTGAACAGTGGCACATCGCAGCGGTGTACGCATTTACCTAGCTACCTGCCAAAAATACCCAACTATGCACCCGGCTAGCTCAAAGACGCATCCCGGTAGCTGCCGAAACAACTGATCACAGAAAGATGTAGTTATTCTACCCCAATAATTGCAAGCAGAAGACGAAGCAGAACACTGCGCACAAGGGCGAGTGGGTGGTTAAGAGCTTGCTGCACTCCGGCCGAAAGGCTCACCTTCCACAATCAGGGCGTTTTTCTTTAGGTCAATGACCATCTGATATCGCTTTAGCATGTCTAGTCCCAGCAGCATCTGCATCTTGGTGTCCTCCAAAACAATAAAACTGCACGGGCAAAACTTCGTGCCTAACTTAAGGGGTGCAACATGCACTCTTCCCATTATGGGGGCCTTGCCAACCCCCATTGCCAACCCAGCAAAGCGCTTGTCTATGAGAGACGCGAGGGAGCACTTCTCTGCAAATGCTAAGGACAGAATTGACTGCTGCGCTCCGCTGTCTACAAATGCTTTGCATGGAACTCCATTGATCTCCACGTCAATGTACAACATACACACAGATCCAAACCCCTCAGGCAGATGCTCTCGTGCCATCGAATAGTTCTCATTGATCCTTTCTTGCTGCAGCTCCTCCAGCAAATACTGCTGAGCTTCCTGCGACAGCGGGTCGCGCTGTATCGCCTCTATGCGCCTCAACCTTTCGCTCTCGGCCTGGAGACGAAAACAGAGTTAAGGAAGCACGCTGCAGGTTCCGCTGTTGCTTTTTGGTGCAGTCGCATAACCTGTCAGTGCTGAAACGGTGAAAGCGCCAGTGAAATCAGCACAAGCAACAGCATCCGGGCCGCCCAATAGCTTCTTGCGCCTCACCTTTCTCTGTACTTCATATTCTTTCTCTAGGAGTTCCATCAACTGCTTCATCGCTGTTCCCCCCTCCCCTTGTTGAGCTGCGTCTGCCCCTCCGTGCTGACTATCTGCATGACGCTCCTCTGCAGCTGCTTTTATGGCATCCCCCAGGACGGGATTGTGCACTCGGATGATGCTCAGGGAGGAGGGATCCGCTACTGCTGCATCCACCGCCTCTTCTGCGCGACGCCGTATCAGCACTTTTATTTGTTCTTCTGTACTCAGTGCAGAGGGCGAGGCAGCATTACCCCCCGCAACTGCAGGTAGGGAGGCGGTAGTGCTGGCAGCAGGTGCAGCAGGGGATACGCGTCGGGGGGGTCCAGTGGTACCCCCTGAGGGAAATTGAGCGACGCGGCCACCGTCCACGACGATGCCTGCATGCAGACGAAGACAAAGAAGCTAATGATCGTCTCCAAGATGCCAAAAAAGTTCGCGGTGAACTCAAAATGCGGAGTACAGCAAATGCTGCTGCGTACTTGAAAAATCAAAGGGCAGGACGGCAGGAGGTTGCTGTCGCTGTGCTGTTTGAGCTGCGGGTCTCGGCGGCTGCTGTGCCTGTCCTAGACGCTCTGCAATGACACCCGGAATGACAGGTGAAGTGGCTGTTGCTGCAGGCGCAGGGGCTTCATTGAAGACGAGCAGCATGGCTCCTTCCCCCACCCCAGCCTCGGCGAGAGTCCTCGCGGTGTTCCTGCACAAGCGCCCCAGTCAGTACCCAAAGTCCACACAGTATCCCTCAAGGGTTGGTTTAATATTTCGTCTTTGCCTAGTCACTTAATTAAAGCAGAGCGTACCGAAGAGGTTCGCCATCCAGTAGAATCCGCTGTCTTTCTGGGGGTATGTTGAACTCTACTGAAATGATGTCCTTAAGCGCCGATAGCTCCGCCTCTCCGGTAAGATCCAGGGCGAAGACCTGTCCATCTGGCATGTCAGAACCCAAACAAAGACATCCATGACGAGGGACTGTAGAACCAGAAGCTACCTTCCATCGACCGTGCGGCGAGTACGATCCACCAGAAACGAAAAGCGAAAGCTTGCACTTCTTGCGAAGAACGTCCAAATTAGATATTCGCAAACTTCGGCATAGAAATATCAAGTGACACATATGGCGGGAAATAGGCAGCAGCAACCTTGTTGTGTTCACACCGCGAGACTTACCAGGGTCAGTGACAGTTATCTGCATCTTCGATGGAGCACATCACCACAGCGTGTCCCAGCACAAATAAATAATATGTATGCAACTTCTCCCTTTAGAGCTGCATAACTATGGACGGAACTGCTAATGGATCAGTCCGGACGGACTGCATGCCCAACACCCGCCTCAGCCAGCTTGTGAAGGCCATTCGGGCTATTTGTCTTACGTCATTTGCAAATATGTTACTGAGAAAATTAAAATATTTGAAAATATAGGTTCATCGAGAAAAATGAAGTCCATGCTCATTCCAGGGTACGGGAAGGCGCGTGCGCACATCCCCAGTATGGCATAGGTATATGTGTACATGCTTGGACGAATGTGCCAGTGAAGCCACGTTCGCGTAGAAACGCTTTACTATTAAGTTCATGAATGCACCTTCAAGCATTTTGGGAACGCGTCCGCCATGCGGGAGTGTGTTGGATACCGGTGGTGGTGGGATCCGCGAGGATTGTTTCGGTAGACGCTGCGTTCCCCCAGGAGGGGAGTTTTTTGGTGCGGTTTTTGTGGGGCAGTGAAGGGGCAGCAGCGTTATGTCAAGTGCTCGATACGCGCTGCTGGAAAATTCCGTCACCGCAGTACCTTGCGTCAGCGAGGGATTTGTAGCAGAGTACTGCCAGGTGGATACATGTATATTTGTGAACATGCTGGCTAGTTGATACCAAGCAGGTAATTAACTGTTGGTTGACGTGCTAATGCACTCATCAAAACAGGCGTTGAGTGTGGTTCCATGTGGAGTGGCATGTTGAGGTGCTTGCGGTTGCGCTCGCAGCAGGGAACGATGCAATCCTGTAGAGGGGAGCCGTCTCCCGGGAACCCCAGACCCCTGTGTAACTGCGCTCAAGAAGACTTCAGAGACTGTGCAGGGCCATTTGCTGTTTAGAAAATCGTCATCATGAGGGTTCTGAGTCTTGCAGCTCACAACGTTCAAATATTTCCGGCTGCAGCGACGAAGTAGCAGTAGAAATGGGGAAGGTGGCAGACCGTGGATGAAAAGCAACTCTAACCAAAGATCGCACAGAGGAAGAGATATAGAACTTAGTGTCCTTGTGATAAAGCAACTCTCGACAGAGGGTGTCTGTATCCCAAAATTCAGGTGCGTTGGTCATGCGTATGCTTGTAGTGGACCACGTTGAATGAAGGAATGTTATCATGGCATCTTTGCCTCAAGGCACGTAGGTCAAGGACGTCAGTCTCCTCCAGGTGATTCTGATAGCAATGACGTTCCTGTAGTTTTGTTAGTGGAAAGTTCTGCGATCCCTTCAACCGTCAAAGAAAAGCGCCACGATTGGTATGCTGACGTACCCATGTTAGTTATAAATCGACAAAACATATCATCGCGCCGATCCAAAAGAAAAGTAGCCGCATCATGAGTTTGCTTCAGAAGGCGCTAACGAATTTTGGGGCACTGTTATTATCAATGCTTTTCGGAAAACCATGGGGATTCCAGAGGTTATTAACAATTAATTGGGCCACTCCCTCTGGCGGAAGCGAAATTGAGTTGGGGGGTAACGGGACGTTAATAGCTCTTGTGGGGCCTCGGAAAACTGCGGCTAAGGGGAGCAGTGAAATAGCTCCCAGGGGATCGGCCACCTTACTTGCGGCTGCCCTGAGCACTTGATAGCACTTGATGGGGTCATGCTGATATACAATGTGCGTAAGGTGTAGAGCTTGAATTTGTCAAGAGTGTAAGTGGCAGTTCCCTAATGATACCATGCAATCGCGTGCGGCGAGCATAGTTGACGTCACCACTGGGGAAGATAATGTGGAAACGTCGCGGAACTTATGACTAATACTTACGCAATGCAGGATGATAAGACGCGCGCCACGCTGTTGGGTTAGGAAGCCTTTCAAAACCCACGCGAAGAATGTAGGCGCTGGTGGCAACGGTAGTTTGAATGTAACGCCTTTGGGGAATTCCTGATCCCTTGCTATGCACTTGGGGGAAACCGTACCTTTTACGCATTCTGACCCAGCCTTGTCGGAGGAGCCAGTGGTTTGAAGGCCAGTTAGTGCCTTTAGATGTTTTTGTAACCTTGAAGAATAGGAGTTAAACCAATGGCTCGGTCCCAGGATGGAGGTCAGCAGGCCTTGGAGATCTCTGAATGCAGGAGCCAAAGAAAATGCATTTAAGCTTAAGTACTCCTGTTTGATGCATCAGAAACTACCACTGGGATGGCGGCGAGCTCTAGGTGTGTTTTGTTCTGTTTCGTCGCTCAAGCTCTCAAGCTTATCCTGCATTTGCCAACAAAGTCCCCCCAGCGTGTTATGGTTTGACGGAGGTGCCATGCAACTGATCATTGATCTTGGTTTCCAGAGGGGCTCTCTGTGTGTTCCGGGAAGAGCAGAATGCCATAAATTTCTCAGATAACTGCTTTGCATTGGAGGCCCACCCAAGCCATACCTCATGGGTGAGGCGAGAGCCAACCCAGCGGACTATCTAAAGCGAGAACTCATAGAACTGGATGAGCCTCTTACGGTAGTATGTTATCTTGTGTATGAAACGTTTCTTTTCAGGCTGCGGTATCGCCTAGAGAGTCTGAGTCGGTGTCACTCGCGTCTGGGAGAAGATTTCCTCCCAACAGTGACTGCCTTAATGTTTGAATGCCATTTCCGAACTTCTTGGATGAACCACTTCTCTTGCTCATCAATGAATTTCTAGTTGCTACTGCTCCAGCTCCATAATTTACTGTTTCAGAATAGTTGCTCACCGCAGCCATTGTAGCTGAAGAGTGATTTGGGGTAGTATTGTTGTTGTTATCTGTGCAGCCTGCACGTTTTCGGCACACCAGGCCTCCTTCGAAGAGTCCCACCAAATAGGCGGTTATCAAACAAGCAAGAATGACAACTAGTAAATACATTGCCATTGTTTTTAGTAACAGCATTGCATCATGATCATTTTGGATATTTATGCTAGGGGAACTGGAGGACGTCAGCAGAGGCAACGTTGTTGTAGCTGGCGGAGTGGTAGTCGTTGTGGGCCCATAGGCGGTGGCGCAGTTCGCATCGCAGTATTCCAGAACAAAAGCCTGATCGGGGCACCGTTGGCCCCCTCCTGTTGCCTGACGAGTAACCTGGTATGTTTGTAGCGTGCGGCAGGAGACGCATTGCGACTTAGGAGATAACGTTGATGCGCAATTTACGCTGCTGCTTGCCGGCTTCGATCTTTGCGCGTTCCGTGTAGCAGACAAGTCTTGCGAATCTTTCCGTCCAGGCAGGAAACTGCTCCGTATTTGATTTTCCGGGGCATAGATGGAACATAGTCCGCCACCTGAGGCAGCGGACCAATGCAAAGATGCCGGAACTCACTAGCTAGAGACTGCCTACCTGCTCTACGTCTTCATCCACTCGTGTTTATAAATTGCACACCAATATTTTCATGGATATCAGTATTACATTTTACTCAGCACTGCTCTCTTCCATGCGAAGTACTGTAGCCTACATCCGATAACGCTGCATTACCTGTGCATGGCTCTACCTCATGCGAAAGGCAGGGTCTACCTCCTTTCTTAGGAGGAGACTCGACACTGAACTGCCGCATCCTAGTGCAGCTGGTGTCGCAAATAGACCAGTCTTCCCAGTCACCTTTACAATCCAGGGCCTCCAGAGAAGGAGGATTTTCCGGCGCAGTTTCGCAGCCTTTGTCCCCGTCCGAGAAACCACCTCCTGTGCAGGGCAATGAAGGTGTTGACTGTAGGCGTACCTCAAGAATATCTACTGCCCACGCTCCCTCAGTCGTAGATGTGAGAGGGGCAGCTCGTAATTGCAGTGTGCTGACCCTTTTCAAAGAGAGATATCTAGTGACCCACGGATAGGCTACATCAGCCATTTCAAGAGGAGGAGCGCTGAGGGTAGTCGAGACAGTAGATAGCCAATTTGCCTCGGCATCTTGAATACTTAAAACTAGTGATACGTCTGCACGATTGACGAAGACCTCCACAGCCTCGAGGTCCACCGGCTTCGCTAGACGGAGCTCAATGCTGCTCGGGACTGGTCCCATCGTCACCGCGCTTGATAAATTCCTATCCAAAAGCTTATTTGCCTCTGCTGCCTTATTGCCTGCAAAAATAACTGCCTCCTTTCTCCAGTCTGGGCAATCTCCCCCCTCACAGTGAATGAGTCGGAATGCATGAGCATCCCAAGGGCAGTCACCACCATCGCTTCTGCTCCAGAAGGTATGCTGCTGCAGGCATGAGGAGGGGCAATTTGACGTGGTAGCCTTCCACCTGCAGAGCCAGCAGCCGTTGTGGATGGCCTTAAAATGGCTAGCGTCGAAACAACTATTCTTACTGAAATCCAGCGTACTACTAAAATATTTTAGCAAAACTAAATTCACCGCTAACATAAGAACACATGCCCAGCACTGTAGAGTAATTCAGGTTATTTTCGCTGACTGTCCTTGGCAGTTTTCTTCATCCTGATTCATGGATATGAGAACTGCCCTTGAGGTGGTGGAAGGCTTCCAGTCCGGTAGCAGCGTCGAAGGACCAACAGAAGGTGAGGCATTTTCCTTGGCAATTCCCAACCACAGAGCAGTGGAGTCCGAGAGTCTTAGTAGAGGATGTCCGTAAATCCGCCCAAACAAAGCACCAGCTTGCACGCCAGCAACTGTCACCATAGATGCAGGCCCGGGAATGTTGAGGTTGGATAAGTCAACAAGAGCGGCTTTTGCGTCTTCAAGAATGTAATCCGCTACCGTAACCACCGCATTCTGCAGGGAGAGGGAAACAGCGTCTAGTTTCATAAGCCGGTGTTCTAGTACAGGACCCAAAAGAGAAACGGATGTTTTAAGGCTACCATCGAGCCCATCCCACACAGCTGCCTTTAGCGTTGCAGTTGTCGCATTGAATCCCTCTATTTCTGATGCCTTCCAGGACGTTTGTCGCCAAATCAACACCCACCTCCCCCCCTCTATGGGCAAGAGCCTGCCACCAGTATCCTTGTAGTACGAAATTGATTCTTCTAGTGAGGGTATTTCCTGAGTCTCTGCCTGATAGCGGGTAGCGCTGTTTACGACTAGTGAGCCATTTATGGATATCCCTAGTTTAGGAAGTTTCGTGCTGATGCAAATTGACGCCCAGTGGCCAGTTTCGGGATGCAAGGACGCGGATGTGTGCAGGCAACTTTCGCATTCACTTCCTGGTAGCTGTTCGTCGGCCAGCTCAGCGCTGCTGTTTAAAAGGATCGTTTCACATTTTGGAGAGACAATGACTTTTTCCTTCTTTCGCCCCCACATTTCCCTGACCACAGTAACAGCATATTGCCTCTTCACCTGTCCATCTGTTCCTTTGACGTCACCTCCGACAATGGTTGTGCGCTGCTCCTGCTCATATGGAATCAGAGCGTTGTGCGCTATACTTTTTAGCCACTTCAACTCTCCTGAACCATTGAACTCAGCCAAGAAAAGAGAGCCATAGCGCACCCCAACAGCAGATCCTAGACGAACCCCATGACGACTCCAGATCTCTTTTCTAGTAGACTGCCAGCTAATGCCATCCTTTGGAGTTACGCCTGAAGCAGAATGTTTGCTATTATCCTTTTCTACAGGTTCTTCAGAAGCAGAACCACATCCCCAGCCGTGTGTGGCTTCCAAGCTATAGTAGTAACACTCGCCGTTGTCCCCCTGTCCGGTGGAGCTTGTCCCCTGACATAGGCGAGCTCCCAGGGGCGCCACTTTCCCTTCATAAATAGGGGAAAGGCACGAATCATGGCTGCCACCGTTAAAGGATATCTTGCATCCATCGTTTCTGTTACATCTACAAGTTTCTTGGCGCGTCCTGCAGCTGGCGCTCCACAGGAGGAGCACTACTTTTTCGACTTCACCGTTCGTTTCCTCTGCCCACAAGCCCTGTGCACGTACTTCTGGGAGGTCGGTTGAACGTAGCAGTTGCATTTCATATCTATTCCAGTTGTTCGATGGGTCGATTTGCTGCAAGTTCACGTCACAACCGAAAAATGCTTGCTCGTCTAGCGGGGGGCTGGACGAGTCATGCTCATCTGCTGCGCTACAGCTATTCAACAACAGCAGCACCTTCCCGCTAGGAAGTGAAACCGAGGACAGGCGTTCTACAGCTGGGAGACCCTCAGGCGTCAGCAGCTTCTCAAGCTTGCGGACGGAGAAGTCATTCTTGGGCTTGGCAGGGCTCGCCCTGCCAGTGACGACGGTGGATTGCACTATCGATAAGGAAAAGCTGGGCACGAGCCAGCCCAACAACAGAAAGGAGATGTATAGAGAGGCGAACAATACAATGCGCAAGTGTGAACCTGCCATTCTTATACAGATTGGGTTGAGAGTTCTATCCTGCAGGAAAGCGGATACAGAGGATTTCAACGGAACAAGCTGGCGTAACCTGGGTGGGAAGCTTGACCATGAACCGACTACCTTTTAGACTAAATTAAACAGAGCGAGCAGGTGGCGTAATGAAATATCACTGTACTTATATGCTCCGCTGTGTCCTAGATCACACCATCATGCGGTGGACGACATGGCTGTCGCGCTAACTGGCAGCAACCACTTGGTGGGAATTGTAATTGTGCTCCTAGCACGTCCTCAAACAAAGTAAAAGAGGTGCCCCACAGATACTTCGACAGGAGCGGGGACTCGCTGGTGCCGATGAAGCACAGCTCCTCTTACATTTCCGCTATGCTCAGCCTAAGTGGCACATTTTGACCTCCTAAATGGTACACGATTTGGCTCGTACTGTATCCGAAGGTCGTGCATGAAAATAGGATTGCCTTGGGGGTGATCTGATCGGACTGCGCAAAACACTCGGGGTTCGAGCAAATGCCGAGGCCCAGTCACAAGAGGTAGAAAGTAGGAACATCTCCACAGGCGTTGACACAAAACCTTCCCCCAAATCAAAAGTTATCACCCCTTCTGTTTCTCCTTATTTCGAGTTGTACCCTAAATGCGCCCCGCAACTCGGCAGCCCCAGAGCCCCAAGTCCCAAAGCCCCAAAGCCCCAACACTTCAGGAGTCCCATACTTCTACTGCTAGCTCTCCACTCATGGTTCTTCCTCGTGCAGCCTAAGCCTAATTATACCGTGAGGTATCCATATTTACTTTGCCCTCCAAGCACATTAACGAAAAAACCCAACTCAAACCGAAGATTTTGAAGTATTCCGCTGTCCACGCAGCCAAAACTGCCTGTACTTACGAAATAGCAAGTCTGACACACAAAACAACGAGCTGGTTCTGCCAAGGAAATTTCACGAAGGCTTACATAACGAAGAATATACTTTTCCCTGATCATGATCCACACCGTAGTGTGCAATGCTTCTCACTATAGAAGAATTGAAGGAGAATTCGTAAAAGTTCGTAAATCTATAACCCACAGTCGCACAGAAGGGTCCACCCCTGCACTCAAGAGGGAAACGGAATTGCAAATCTATTGACACACCCTAGCCACTGCCGACAGGCGTACGATGAGCCCAAGATCTCTCTCTAGATTTGATTAGCCATGGATTCGAGGGCCTGGGAAGGGCTAGGAGTCTCACCCTACAGCTGCACTCCTTAAAGTTGAGTCATGTTAGCTCGTGAAGGTGCTAACCCTACCATGAGTGTTCTTCTCGTGGTGCCATTGTGAAAATCGTTGATGGACGCCCAGCCATTTCCTTTTGGGAATTCCATCCTTTTACTCCCTCGTTTCATCTTCCAGGCCTAGCCAATCACGGGTTGCTTCCCTCTCCAGAGGATGGCCGTGAATTCAACCTCGAATTTAAAGACGGCAAATCCATCGTTGGACTAATGGTCAACGAGTCCCAACTCAGATGAAAGCGTAGCAAGGTAGGAGTACTGCAAGGTGCGGCTGGATAATATACTATTCATAAAAAAGCTCATCTTATTCCGATACTTCTCGATGTATCTCTCTATGGAAACCTTCTTTATGCCCTAGCCTGTTCCCGTGACAGCGCGGGAATAACCTGCATTGCAGCGCGTGTCTAAGAAGTTCGTAGACCAAATTTGTTCCAGGTAGTTTTTCTTTTTTGATGTAGCTACTATTGTCGTTCCTCTCTCGTAATGCCAGAAAATGCTAACAGCAACTGCAGCTCCTGGGATGAAAATACGCCTGCAGAGAAGCACATAATTACTCTACTGCCCCAGTCCGTCATATTTGGGCCGTTAGGCTGATAGCCAGAGGCCGCGGCATTCTTCAGGAATTGATGGCTCATCGAAAACAACTTCCACTGGATGCGCTGCAAATACTGCGCTCTGCTGCGCTTGCTCCACTGGGACGAGGTGCCCAGCCACTGCCGCCTTTGCGCTGGAGGGCAGATCCAACTAAATGCCTATTACTTGAGAAGGAACAATGCTGGCCATTTTATTCAAGCTTATTGCTAGCATCTAATTGTTTTTGTTCGAGAAGGCAGCTTCACGGGTAATTAGTGCTTAACTCCAGGCCGCCAAACTGCGAGATGAGCTGGGTTGTCTGCGCTCACCTTCCTCGCTTAACTGTGGGGGGCTACCAAGTGTAACGATAGTCTCGACCTTATCCATGGACTGTAGTGAGCTGCGACAGTTTCGAAAAAGGTACTCAAGAAAAGGATTCACCACAGCACCTGAACTTTCCTCCATTCTTCAGGAATCCTGCGCACAGCAACAGAACAGCGTGAATCTGGTGCGCAGAGCAGGCGTCCTGAAATAAGTTGCATGAAGCGTTGCGGCAACTTTTGCTGAGCATTCAACACAGAGGATAGTGCAAAACTTGTAACAAAAATCCGCGCTCACATGCGAGGACCGTCGAGAGCTGTAACCGAAAACGCAGCTGCCACTGTCCTCTCCAATTCTCAGGCATTCTGAGCATAGTATCCCAATGGCTTCGGGCTCAGGGAGAGGAGGTGGGCTCAGATGAAAAATTCTGCAGGGCGCCTTCATATGCAAACTCAACCAATCCCGCCTATTGCTGTCTGCACTAACACTCTAGACACTGTAGACATCGATGTACTTCTGCTTGCTTGTAGGATGCATTATAAGGGTAAGATAGTGTTGATATACCACCTTCAGGCAGCTCATGTACGAAGCGCCCTTGTCTGTTTTCCTCGATGCATGACAGCCTGCGATTTTCGCTAGCACGGCAGTCACCATAGTTGATGACAGTAGCAGTTCGAAGTATTGCTCAGATGTTAACGGTACTTCAGGCATCAAACGAATACAAAACAACACACTTTGCAACCGTAGACATCTCATCATACATAGTTGTTGTATGAACAACATGTGTCTTGTAGCCAGGCGTGGCGGCGCGTTTATCATTCTTGGGGATAATGCATGCAGTAAATGTGCTGTAAGCATCTTGAAATATAACATTTAAGGATTTACTTGTTAACAAATGTCTTATGCTGAGAAGGAATCCGGAGAAGGAGAGCTTGTGCAGTCTCATGGGTGCGTGGGGCTGCGGCGTTGTTTCTCTTGTGTGTAGTAGTGTGTTTGAGGTGAACAGCGGTGTTAAGCTAAAGCCTTATCAAAGATAAGTTTTAAATCCTGTTTGTTATATTTAAATAATTAGTTTTTGTAGAAGAAATAGTGGAAATGGCGTTCTTTGCTCCCGCACGAATGATGCTTGTGCCTACGGGGGTTTGTCGTAGGGCCCTTTCTCTCTCGGCACCCCACGCCAGTACAACTTCTCCGCTATTTGGGTTTATTTCTCCTTCTCTTTCTGCTCGTTCTCTCAGCACTATCCCTGTTCTTCAGCGGCACAGCGCAGTCCCTCAATCACCGGCGAGCCGCCTGCCCCCGGCAGCCCTTGTGCCTCTTAGCAGGACCGTAAGACACAACTAACTTCTTCTTGTCTCTGTCTTTGCTGCACATCCCTTAATATAAGCTGTTCTGTGAAGTCTCCTTCGTCTCGTTGCCGAGACAGAGGGGCTCTATCTGCAACGCCACTCCCACTGTCGCCTACATACGTGGGGGCCCCTACACCCTCCTGCAGTGCTGTTGTTAGTGTGTCTGCTTGCTGCTGTTTGGGGGGGTTAGCTTCATGCGCGGCTTCTGGTGTGCTATGCTGTAGAGAAGGTTTTCTTCTTTGTTTCCTTCAGTGCTGCCGTAGAAGACAGGGTTTGTATTTATTGCGTTATAAGACATCGATTTTGCATTTCAGCTGTCTGTACACTTCCGTACACCTGGACGGGTTCTCTATTATGTGTTTCCTTTGTATGTCTGTCTTGTCTTCTTCTTCCGTTTGCATGAGACGCGTACTGTGAATCCGTATCACCAAGAGAGTTCTTCTGTCTGCTGCTGCACGATGCAGGTATACACCGTATTACCCCTATATTTTGTCTCTGCCTGTTCTTTTTTTGTTTGTTTTCTGTGTACAGCAATCCGCAGTGCTGTCTCCCTGCGGCGCAGTGCGACATGAGGCGGGCGTTGCAACTCTTTCTGCTGCTGTTGCATTGATGTCTGTGGGGGGGGTAGCGCAGGGCATCGGATCCCTGTTTGCTGCATTGGTCTCAGGGACAGCAAGGAACCCATCTATTAAAGAAGATTTATTCACATACACTTTAATTGGAATGGGGTTTCTGGAGTTCCTCGGCATCATTTGCGTTATGATGAGCGCAGTGCTCCTCTACTCGTAAAACTACAAACAGCCCACGTGTTGAGGTGTATGTACACCTCGCCTTCGTTCAAGGCGGGCGAAACAGCAGATAACCAATAGACCAGCTCTACTGGCAATGCCAGCACACAGCAGCTGCGCACCAGCTGCAGCAACAGCAGCAGCAGCAGCAGCAGCAGCAGAAGCAGCAGAGTTCTGCGTTCTCTGCTGCGGTGGCTGCAACTCATCGCCCCGACCGGGTCGACTGTTAATATGCCTGAGACCCAACTGAAAAGGTTTTTAATATGTTTACCTCTTAAAGCACAAACGGCATCGCTACTAGAGCCTTGAAACGACAGCAGCAGCGGCAGCAGCAGTTTCTGGGGGAAGGCGTCGATTGGTTCGTTGTCTTTCGTTGCTGATTCATAAATTATCCATTTATTATTTAATAATTCCCCATTTTAATTATGTAATAAAAGTGTAATATGTACTATTAGGAAAATTATTATTACTACGGGGCCCAAGCAAACACGAAGAATGCCTCGAAGAAATACAATGAACTAAAAGGCTGCGAAAGCCTGTCTGTGCCTGCAATGCGTTCTTTGCTGCTGCTGCTGCTGCTGCCGATGCTCGTGCTGCTGTGTCATCACTGCAGCAGCTAGCAGCAGCAGCAGCCGTGCGTGCTGCTGCGCAGGCACTGCAACGGCTGCATTAAATAAAGTAGGTACCGCCGCAGCAAGAACCGCTGGCGCTGCTGTTGCTGCTGCTGCTTCACGTGCGGACACATCCATACATCTTTGTATTTTTATCTCGGCACTAGAATAGGCCGGGATGTCCTGAGGTGAAGCTCGAAGCAGCCTGCTGCTGCTGCTGCTGCTGCTGCCAGGGCTGCGCTGAGCTTCCACCCAAGGAGAACGGCTGCGGCGCTGCCGCCCCTGCGCCCATAGAGGAGGGACGCATGCCACTGCTGCTGCTGCTACCCAGGGAAAACGGTTGTGAATTTGCGCCGCTGTTGCCGCTCATACTGAACGGCTGGGGGATCTTCATGTTGCTGTTGCTGCTGCTGCTGCTATTGCCGCTGGGATTACTGCCGCCCAGGGTGAATGGCTGAGTAAACCCGAGAGTGTTGGCGTTGCCGCTGCTGCTATTGCTGCTGCTGCCGCTGCTGCTGTTGCTGCCCATGGTGAATGGCTGCTGCCACTGTTCCAGCTGCGGTGCTGCAGCAGCGCCCTGCGCCCCACTTCCAGGGTCGTTGGTGCCTGCAGCAGTAGCAGCTGCACAGAGTGCATGCATGCATTCATCTTCTCACCTCCTCAGTATACAGTAAATCTATTTATTAAGACGGAATCTCAGGGCATATTAATAAACAGGGGAGCAGCAGCAGCAGCAACAGCAGCAACTACAGCAGCAGAAATAGCAGCAGCAGAGTCACCGCGTGCTGCTGCTACTCGTCTCACCCGCCGACGCTGTCTGGAACCCGCTAAAGTTCCCTAAGGAAGAAGACGACTCAAAACCACCGCCAACTCCTGCAACAAACGCAGCAGCAGCAGCGGCAGCAGCAGCGGCAGCAGCAGCAGTAGCAGTCGAAGCAGCAGCAGCAAAGAAAACTACCTGAACTCAGCAATGCACCTGAAGTTGAGCATATAGAACGCGCTGCAGCTGAAGCAGGAGCAGCAGTTTTTCTGAACAGAACTCACCGTTGGCCCATTCGGGTGCAGCAGCAGCTGGTGCTGCAGGAGCAGCAAAGGCCGCTGCGACAGCGTCCAGACTGGTGCTGCTTCCTGCTAGCGTCCCTGGTGCTGCAGCCGTGGGGTTCGGAGTAGCTGCTTGAAATCCCCCAAACAAATCATCGCTGCCCCCTGCGGCGCCGCCGCTGCTGCTGCTGCTGCCTGCAGCGTCTGCTGCAGCTATTTTCCCTGCGCCGTTGCTGCTGCTGCCTGCGGCGGCGTTCGACCCTGGGGGTGGAGGAAGCAAGAAACCAGCCAAGCTGCTGCTGCTGCTGCTGCTGCTGGCTCCCTCAGCGCCCTGTGAGGCGACGCCAGGGTCTGCCCAGACGCTCGTCCCTGTACGCACATCAGTAGAAAAGAAAAGAATTTCTCTTACTATTATAAATACATATATCTCCTTTTTAAATCAACAACCGCATGAAGGCAATATAAAGCACATCCACAATCATAAAAAGCTCGCATATCTGATTCAAATAGAATGCCTTTTTAGAGGGAAGTGAAACTCTTGTTAAAAAGAAGACAAAAACGCATGCAAGTGCCTGATTTCACTACTCGCACACAATTCCACCGTTTTAATGGCTCTGCAATCAGCCAAGCTGGCCATAACAGCCGTGCTGCAGGGGTTTAGGGTTTACAGTTTAGGGTTTAGGGTCTAGGGTTGCTGCAACGACACGGATTCATCTTGAAGAACAACAAAAGAAAAACACGCATGCATGCATGCGCGCATGCATGCATCTGCTAGCTACTATGCTGCCCCCCAAAAGAATTATTTATACGAAAGGCAATTACCTGAAGCGAAGGGAGAAGGAACAGAAGGCGCCCCCTGCAGTCCTAGCGGTGGGCTGTCAAATCCTAGCAAATCCGCCTGCTGTCTGTACACCCCAGCAGCAGCAACACCAGAAGGATCTTGAGGAGGGCACACAAGATGGAGAGGCATTGCATAGGCTGTATTTGCAACCAGAGGAACAATTTAAGATAAAAACGTGTCGCCATTTGCATGCATGCGTTTGTACAGATATATGCGCGCATATTTGAGGTGTACGTACACCGGAGCCTTTTGCCGAGAGGATTTTGCGCTCGCAGTGGAGCTGCTGCTGTCGCTCTTCGTGGGGCCTCCCTTTGTCGCAGGGGCCCCTTTCTTTTCTTTCACTGACATCGAGCGAGAGGAAACCGACGACGGCATGCCTGAGTCGCCTCTGCTCCTGCAGCCAGACGTGGGACACACAAACCCTAAACCCTAGGCTCTAAACCCTAAACTCTAAACCCTAAACCCTAAAACCTATGTGAAGTTCAGCAGAGTTCAGGATGGAAAGACGTACGCATCACTTTGTGAAGAGGGTTTCGCGCTGCTGCCAAATCCCACTGCCGCTGCTGCCTGTCCCCTGCTGCTGCTGCTGCTGCTGCTGCTGCGGGGCCCCACAGACGACGCCGAGGAGATGCCAATGTACTTGTCTCTGTTTTTTGCTGCTGTCTCTCGAGCGGCTTTCAGCTCCTCAGCGTCAAATACCAAAGTTGTGCAGATACCAGCCTTCTCTCGAACTGAAGAAAATATAAATACACCACCCCACAACGCATGCTGCTGCTGTTTCTGCTGCTGCTACTGCTGCTGACGAGGTGGTTTAGTGTTAGACAGGAGGCGCATAAAGGAAGACAAAGGCAAAGGAGACAAGAAAAAGACGAGGAATAGAGGCAGCAAAAGAAGAATGGCATCGCGAAAGGAGATACGTCGAAGAGAGAAGCAGCACAGAAACAAAACCAGATAAAAGCAGAGACAAACGAAAACTGCAGTTGAGGAGACAGACAGGGAGAGACACGCAAACGAGGGAGACAGCTAAGAGGAGATAGAGAAACAAGAGTGAAGGAAGACAGAAACAAACAAACTAGCATGTGACCACCTCGGCAAAGAGGTCCAACATGCACCAGAGCAACAAAGAAAAAAGACTCCTGCAGCAAAGAGAAAGCAGAGGCGTGCATGCATGCATGCACGTGTGCATGCAGGCACTCATGCATGCACTTATGCATGCACTCATGCATGCATGGATGGCTTGGGTGTACTTACTGCCAGCGCCTTTGTCTCTTCCTTCCTCCGACCAGTTAAAGCTCTGCAGCGACTTGAGGAGATAAGTTCTGTCTCGTGCTTCCTCTGCGAATCTTTCGGGGCCGTTCTTCAGCATATACTCCAACATCGTTAGCCCCTAAAAAAGGAAACACAACAACGCACACGCACCATGCCGCCGCTGCTGCTGCTCTCTCTCTGCTGCAGCTGCTGCTGCTGTCAGCGCCTTAAGCTGCTGCTGCTGCTGCTGCTGTGCGTCGAATGATCTCTTTGCGCAGCAGCAGCGGCTGTTTGTCCGTCTGCACACCCGACCGTCTGTTGCGACCTTATTCTTGTTAATGATGATTACAATAATAATAGTAATTAGTATTCATAATTATCGTAATAGTAATTAGTATTAATGGTGGTCATAGCGGTGGCAACAATTACTAATAATAATTAGTAATAATAATAATTAATATTAATAATTATTATAATAATTCCTGTAAGACAAACCTTAAAGATTTTGCGCCAGCGCTTCGGGGCTTCCGAAATGGCGGCCCACATGGTGCGGGAGATGAGGGGGAAGTCTAAGCTGAGGTGTACATACACCCGAACAACAGAAAGAAGCACATTGAGAGAAAGGAAGGTAAAGAAACAAACAAACGAACAAACAAATGAGAGACAAACACACAACTGGAAGACAAAAAACAACACAAAGAGGCGACTCACCATGAAAACGCAGCCAGCAAAATAGAGAGAGAAAAAAACAAAAAAAAAGACAGGCGAAGAATAAAAGAAATGAAAAAAAGAGACAAAAGGGGAGGATGGATGGAGACAGCAGAATGCACGAAGGGTCCAAGGAGGCAGACAGAAACAGCAAGCAAATGAGAGAGAGAGCAACAGAAGAAGAGACAAGGAGAGAGACAGAGACACATGCACGCATCTCCTCTTCTGTCTCTGCTTCTGTAGAAGCAAGACAGACAACTTGAGAGAAAAGGCGATATAAACTCAGAAGGAACAAACAGAGACACCGCAAAATGAACAGACAGAGGAGACAGACAGAGACAAAGACAGCGCGAAGGAGACAAAAAGAAAACCGTCAAGCAGCATCAAGCCGCAGCAGTGTGTTACTGCGGTGGGGTTGCTACTGGGACTAAGAGAGCACTAGGAATAATCATGATAATATTATGATTAATAAGGGTAGTTAGGAGTATGAATAATGACAACGAGGACCAGATGAAAAGGATAAGAAAAGCAGAAGGCATCGGTAATACGAACAATACTTAAAATAATGAAAATACCATATACTAATAATAATAGTAAAAAAATAAATAATAATTTATTATAAATAATAAATAATAAAATAATTATGACAACGCTAAAAAAGAGCAGTAAAATATCGAATACAAACAGAAAAAGCAATAGTAAATATAAAACCGAGGAGAATAACAACGGTAATAATAATGCTAGCAACAAAAAGATAAACATAAATAAAAACAAATAAGCTAAAAAGACTGAATAAAAAATAAATACAAAAGACAATACTAATGAGCACCAAGAAAAATACATACAACAATAAAAAACAGTAGCAGTAATAATGCGCACGACAAAGATAAAGATTAAGGATAAGAGTAAAAAAGAATAAAAATAAAAAATAAAAATAAAGTGTTTGTTTACAAGTTATGAGAGGCCCTCGCTATCTCTGAAAGAACAGAAGTAGGGCAACCCCAATTTTTATCGCTGACGGCTTCTCTGAGGTTTCGCTCTAAAGGGGTCTCCTTCGTAAGACTGCAGAGGTAAAAGCAGAAGAAATAACAGCAATAGAATAAGAAGAATAACAAGAAAAAAAAGAATAAACAAAGAACACCATCTCCGCATCAGCTGTACATACACCTGATGATATAGAATATTAAAGAGTCTCTGCTATTAGCTACCTGTGTGTACACCTGTAAGTTAAAGAAAAACAATAATATTTCTCTTCCTCAGCTGTACGTACACCGGGAGAGAGCGGAGAAGAGCAGCAAAATATTTAAAAATTTTAAGGTGTATGCACATGTACTGAAGCAGCAGCAAATGCCGCATGCTTTGCTAAAGCAATCAGACCGCTTCCTCTCCGTGGTAATGTTAATCTATAGATAATTAATAATTAATTGTAATTAACATTAACGCGAATTGGTTAATAAGCTTCATGTAGAAAGAACAGCAAAATGCAGCTGCTTCCTTACGTGCGCTCAGCCGCTTCTTTAACTTTCTCCGAAGCAGTTGAGACAATTGAGGCTAACCTAGAGCCCAATTTATCCATCGAGTTGGAGTTAAAGAACGACATTTTCATTAAATGCGGTGTACGGTGTATGTACACCGCAGCAGATACACCACGCTGCAGCGCTCAGCTGTACAGACACTAATATGCGCACGCCGCAGCGGTAATAATGAGGCCCTAGGGGCCTTCAAACAAACCTAAAGAGCTCAACAGGATAAAGAGGAATAAACAATATATACCCTAACTAGAAGCAGCAAGTGCTAGCTGCAGAAAGAGATAGAAGAGACTCCGCAGAGAGGCGCTGCTGCGCCCGCTGGTGCAACTGTTGCTGCTGCTGTTGCTGCTGCTGCTGTTGCTGCTGCTGATCTCGTTGTTGTTCCTCGCCGTCACGCCTCAGCGGAGGCAACTGCTACAGCTGCGGCTGCCTGCGGCAGCTGCGTACAGCCCCTGCAGCGGCAGCAGCAGCAGCAGCAGCAGCAGCGGCTCTGAGCGTCGAGACTAGAGAGAAGCTAAAAGACTCCACAGAAAGAAATGGAGACACTTGAAGGAACGTTCACAGAACCAACCGAACTGCAGCAGCAACAGCAGCAGCCGAGTGTATCGGCACTGCCTCTGTTAGCTGCTGCTGACGAGAGCCAGCACCCACACTGTAGTATATTTGCTGTCTCTGAGTTTCAGCAAAGTATATAAAACAAAAGAAAGAGAGAAAACTGAAATCAGCAACAACAGCAACTACAGCAACAACTGCTGCTGCCGCTGCTGCTCCTGCTCCTGCGCTACAAGACCAGCATCAGCAGCAGCAGCAGCTCCTGCTGCTGTTGCTGCTGTTGCTGCTGCTGCTCTTGCCTTGGTCGTTGTTGGGGTTTGTATCTCCCTTCCTTGTTTATTTGTTGAATTTAAATAACATTTTGCTGTATCTGCATCTCTTGCTCGACTTACAAATAGAATTACTCCCCCATCTCCAGCGAAGAAGCTGTATATACACCTGAGATCCCTTAAAACACCCTAACCTCCTTCTTTAGTTGCCAGCTTCATTATCAGGATATACTTGGAGATAGTGAGGGCTTCCATTTGCTGCAAGAATCAACAACGAGGTGTACATACACCGCAGCCGCCTATCAGCACCAGCCAGCAGGGGGCCCCTCGTCGGTCACGTTGGGGCCCCCTTCTCTCCCTTCCTTCGGCTGTCTCTACAGGCACCCCCTAACCCGTTTATAAACTTCAGAGACGTTTTCTGAATCTCTACACTCTCTGTACAGAGGAGGCAGGCAGGGAAAAACCCTTCTTTTTGTAGCCTCCAGCAGCAGCAGCAACAACAACAGCAGCTGCTGCTGCATGCCGTTGGTCCTGTCTTCACTATGGGGGGAAAACAGAGCTCCACTAGGGCCTGCGATGCAGGAGGAGGCCCTGGGGTGGGCCCCTTGGGGCCCCCCCTGGCGGGGGGCTCAGGAGAAGTGTTGCTAAGGGAAGCAGAGCAGCTTTCTGCTTATATTGAAGGAGGTGGGAGTTCAGGGGAGAAGCAGCAGCTGAATTTTTCTTGGGGGGAGAAGGCGCATGTGCTGCCTGCACTGCGTCGTTTGCTGCTGTCTCCTTGCAAAGAAAGAGACACAATTAAATACGCTATTGATTCAATTCTCCCTCCTTCTTACACTCCTATAAGCGAAGAAGACCCCCATATACTTGCGGGTAAACTCTGGCTGCAAGCGAGGCTCTTTGCTATGCATGAGAAGGCTCCGCTGCAGCTCTGAGGTGTACAGACACCTCGGAGATGCACCAGGCAGCACTCTGCAGCTGTACGTACAGCGTAGGCGCACTTAATTTTTTTTTGCTGTCTTCACCCAACTATACAAATCACAGAGTAGGAGATGAGGGGGTCTCTTCTGTCTCTCTTCTGCTGCACAGGATGCAGGAGAAGGTAAATAAAATATGTTTTACAGATTCAACTATATATATATTTATATATACTGTGGATAACTTCTTTTTTCACAAAATTTACCCTACTTGTCTTTGTTTTTGTTGTTGTTTTGTCTTAAAGATTTTATTCGCGCTTGAAGAAGGTAGCCAGCTGCCGCTCTAGCCTTACCCTTTATCCGATATGATGCTGCTGCAGCTGCTCGTCCAGCAGCTGTTGGTGGTGCAGCAGTTGTTGCTGCTGCGATCTTCGCTCTCGTGGTTGTCTGTGGCTAGAGGGATACGAAATGAAGGAAAGCTGGGAGCGTAGGGTTTAGGGTTTAGGGTTTAGGGTTTTGAATTCAGGGTGTAGATGCAGTAGCAGCTTCTCCTGTCTTTTGGAGTTGCTTACGGCCTACAAGTTAGGTAAAACAGAATAGGGTTTAGCGTTTAGGGTTTGTCGGTAAATGTCGCCGCCTTAATGCTTTTTGTCTTCAGAGTTTAGTGTTTAGGGTTTAGGGTTTAAGGCTAGTCAAGCAAAAGGGGAAGACACCCGGCGCAGCAACAGCTGAGCTGGAGATACACCCCAAGTGTTTTTTAGTTGCAACAAATTTAATTGTCTCCTTCTTTCCTTTTAAGCTGAGAAGGGCGTCTCTGTCTACAAAGAGAAACCTGGGGCCCTTTCTCTTTGCGGTTTAGCCTCTTATTAAGGAAGGGTTTAGGGTTTAGGGTTTAGGCTTTAGGGTTGGAGGAGAAGCGGTAAGCTCAGGCGTAGCAGCAACAGTTTCTGTCTCTGTCTGCTGAGCTCGCAGGTGCGTTTTTGCTGCCCTTTTCGTCTGGTGTACGTGGAGACACCCGAAAGGCCGCTGCATAAAGCAAAGAGACAAAACAAAGAGAGAGACAGAAAAAGATAAGAATATGAAAGAGACAGAGGGAGATATGCAGACAGAGAAACAATCCATACGGAGACGCATGCAGCAGCAGGAGACAGAACAAAATATGTATACAAGCAAAAGTAAACAGACGCAACGAGAGATATAGAGATAAAAGAGACAAAGACAGACAGAGATAGACACAGGCAGGAGACAGAGGCAAGAGACAGAGACAGAGGGAAACAAGAGACAGACATACGGAGACAGAGAGACAGAGACAAGAGACAGGAGACAGAAGAGCAGTAGACAGACACAGAGAAAAGAGACAGAGACAAGTAGGTGTCTGCTGTCTCTAATAAACTCACCAGCACCTCTCTATCTACTTGGAGGCGAGTCTCCCGATTCAAAGCGCGCAGCAGCCCTTTAACTTGCTGTCCCCTTTGCCGCTGTAGCACAACACCCTCACCCTTAAACCCTGCAGCCTTCACACTGAGTTGCTGCACAGAAGCAAACTAAATTGTCTCTTGTCTCTTTCTCTCTTTCTTCTATCTCTGCGTGTCTCCTGTCTAGGTGTCTGCCTCCTGTCTGTGTCTCTGTTTATCTGTCTCTGTTTCTGTGTTTGTCGGTTGTCTCTGACGGTCTCTGTTCTCTGCATTTTGTCGTATCTGCGAATCGTATGGACCCTAGGGTTGTTCCTCCTGTCTCTGTCTCTGTCTCTTTCTCTATCCTTGTCTTCGTCTCCAGTCTCCACCTCTCTTTATCTGTCTCTGCCGCTGCCTCTGTTAGCCCTTCTCTGTCTCCCTTAATGTGCTTGTCTCTGCCTGTCTCTTTCTCTGTCTGTCTATCCCTCTTTATCTGTCTCTATCTGCGCCTCTCTCTGGGTGTTGTTCTCTGTGCACCTCTCTGTCTCCGTCTATCTGTCTCTGTCTATCTGTCTCTTTCTCTATCTGTGCCTCTGTTTATCCGTCTCTGTGCCTACTTGCCTGTCTCCGTCTCTGTCTCTGTTTATCTGTAGCTATCTCTGCTTGCCTGTCTCTGTCTCTCTTAACTGTCTCTGTCTCTATCTATGTTTATCTTCTCTTACTCTCACGACATCCGCCTGTCTCCTTTCTTTTGCAGTCTCCGCAACAAATTCATTTTTCCTCTCCAGCCACTGAGTATATTATCGATCCCACAGGGTTCCCAAACCCTAAACCCTAAACCCTAAACCCTAAACCCTAAGCCCTAAGCCGTTAGCACGCCTGAACCCCAAACCCCAATCTCTAAACCCTAATACCCCAACTCCAAACCCTTAACACCAACCCCGAAACCCTATCCCCTTAAAACCTAAAGGCTAAACCCTAAACCCTAAACCCTAATCTCTAAACTTTATGCAGAAAGGCGGGTCTTTGGATTTAAATGAATTATAAATCCTCACCTCAAGATACACTCGCGTAGTTTTTTCTTTTTCTGCACCAAACGCAAACAAGAGACGAAAGCAGCAACGCATTTTTCTTTGTTCTTTTATTGCATGATCTAAATGAACACAATAGTAAGCCCTATTTATATAATATATATTGCATATATGTTAAACAAATAAACCCTGAAGAAGAGGTATAGAGACAAGAGCAAGCAAAACCACTCAGCAGTGATAAACCCTCACGGGCCCCTCAGTTTGTCTTTTTGTCTCTAAACCCTCTTGCGCCTCAATTCCTAATAAGCCTAAACCCTAAACCCTATTTTTAATTATAAGATGCTCTACAAACCTCTCCTCATTGCTCTTCCGCTCTCTTCGAGGATGGCGGTAGCAGTCTCCAGGTGTCTCTGCTCTCGTTGAGCCTGTTGATGTATCTCTCTGTAGCGCTGAGTGCACATGTGCATGCGGGGAAACCCCAAACCCTAAACCCTAAACCCCGGTAGAGAGAGAGTTGTATAAAGGAAGGCAGCAAGAGCCTGTGGTTTAGGGTTTAGAGTTTAGGGCTTAGAGCGTAAGCTATAGGGTTTAGGGTTTAATATTCACCTTTAGCTTCCTCTCCACAGAGTATATCTGTTGGGTGAGCGCCTCCTCTTGAGAGCGCTCGAGCTGAAGGTTTTTCCTTCTTTTCTTCAAACGCAACTCTAGCTGAAAAGAGACAGAAAAGATGCAGGTAGCACCAGTTGTCTCCTTTGCATTTCATTATCTGTCTCCATTAGGGGTTGTGGATGGCTCTGTTTTTGCCTGTCACCGTTTGTCTCCCTTTCTCTTGTCTGTTCGTATCTAACTCTGCTTTATTTTGTTGTTCTTCCTCTGTCCTCCTTGGCAACTCAATTGCAGCGTTTTACTGTCTCTAGTTGTTCATACCCTGAGCTCTGTCTACCAATTTGTTTATCTTTTTGTCGCTGAGTTCGTCTCTGCTTTCTTTGTCGATGAGTTTTCGTGTCTCTGTTTGTGTGTTTATCTCTCTCTCTCTGTATATGTGCAGCTGTCTCCGTCTCTCTGATTCTGTCTCTTTCTCTCTCTCTGTCTTTTTCTGTCTCTCTTTGTCTCTGTCTGCCTCTCTCTCTCTCTCTGCAGCTGTCTCGGTTACTGTCTGTGTCTCTGTCTGTTGCTGAGCATCGGCCTTGCGTCTTACCCATTCTTTTTCGCTTTGTAGTTCTGTCAGTTGGTTTGCCGCCTCTTTAATTTGAGTTGTTTTCTGTTGAATAATTCTGGGGAGTCTGTCATCTATAGAAAGCCCCCTGAAGATAGAAATAAGTTCTTCTGGCGATAATTCTGTTGCTCTCAACTCGGGGCAAATCATCCGCGTGCACTTTTTCGGGCTTCCAAACATTCTACTCAACAAACGCTGAGGTGTACATACACCTGAAGAAACACCTGAGCACCCACGGCTTCCGCCGCCGCTAAAATTGCGGGGGGGCGAACGCCCCTCCCCAGAGAGGTGACCTCGATCCATTCAATACAGTCTGAGGGAATGGTGCCACGTGGTAAATAGTGAGCATCCACTCAGAAAGGTGCGGGGAAAGAAGGTAAAACAAAATACTTTTGAAGATACACACACTCCAAATACACCCAATGAACTGCTGAAGGCAAGGCCTCACCCACAACGAAGCCAGCTGTTCACCCACAGAGAAGCAGCAAAACAAGTTTACGCACCCCTAAATGCCTTTATTCTCAATTTTTAAACCGTAAAAAGAGAAAATAAACAGAAAAAAGAAAGAAGGAAGAGGGGCCGCGGCTGCTGCTGCTGCTGCTGCTGCTGCTGCTGCAGCGTCGCCGCCGACTGCGTACAAAGCCGTCGGAGACAGACAGGGACACAAGAAGGTGGGTGTTCTGCACTCAATTTGAGGCATGTGTTTCTGAAATTCCAAATATAAATTAAATACATGGAGCAAAAATCCTCTATATGCAAAACAACTCGGTTAATAGACCCCCTACGTACTAGGGCTGGTCCAGTGGTCCTCACAGGCGGCTAGCTAATAGGGCGCCAGCAGTTAGTCTTCTTCCCTCCAAATGAAGTTTGATATATACGAAATAATTAAAGCAGATTTTATGTGTTAAGAAATATTTATACAAATATTGACTAGTCAAGGGGGGCCCCTCTAGCGGGGCGGGGCCCCAAGAAGCAGAGGCTGCGAGACCATCGGTCTTTAATGTGTCGTGCGGCGTTGCCCTCGTCGCCGCAAGAAATAAATTATATTTAATTTGATTTGTTGTGTTTAAAATATCAGTTTAATGGCGAATGAAATACGGCATTGGCAGATTTAGAACTCGCCGATACCTCTAGGGAATATACACCCCAAACTCAATTGAGATAAAATGCTAAACCCAGCAAACCCCCCGCTCACTTTCATTCTATTTGGGTCTCCAGTAGCTAGAACACAGAGGCAGCCTCGCGAGTGCTGCGTACTTCCCCTTCTATACAAACCCTCAACCCTCAAACACACCATCAAATGCAATAAATCTTAAACACTAGTCCGTAACCCTTCAGCGCAAACAAAAAGAAGTGAGCCAACTGCGCCATACGATATTCAAAATGAGCATTTGCGAAACCGGCGGTTCCTACATCCCTCAAAACCTAGTCCCTAAACCCTAAATCCTAAACCCTAAGAAACCCTCAACCCTAGAGTCACTTGTTGGCACTGCCGTTGGTTTCCTCGCTCACGCTTCACCGGCCTGTCAGCAGACCCAGAAGAAAAAGAGAGTTCGAAACAGTCATGATATTTTATATTGCTTTAAGTGGCTGCTGCTCTTGAGCATTACGGAGTTGGCTCTTACGGGGTTCCACCCCTGCGATAAATAAAAGACCGCACCTTGTTGTTTGTTGTTTAAAGCCAACTCTGCATTTACTCTCTCAACAGAAACTCTACCCTCGTCTCCTTATTCATCTTTGTCGTATAATCGTTTCTCAGCTCTGCTGCCCCTTCTCATCTTCTGCCGTTTGCTATTTCACCGTGTGCCTGTCTTTGTCTCTATCCGTCTGGTCAAAAATATATTTATTTGCACAGGTGCCATTGATGCAGCTACAAGTTGCTGCTGTGCCCATACCCGAGTGTATCTACACAGCGGCCTCCTACTGTTGCTTATATTTATGTTATCACATTTCTCTGTATGTCTACGTACAGCAACTCTATCCCTGTTTGCTTTCCTCCGCCTCTGTCTTTGCACTTCTTTTCTCTCCTTATCTGCTGTCTCTGTTTCTTCCTATCCTCGCAGCGAGCTCAACTCAAACGACCTGTTAATATTCTATTCGTGTTCGTTGTTGCTGTGTCCTTCATAAGCAGAAATGCAACGAAAACGACAGTGTTTATGTTTCATTTCTTTCCGTTGCTGCTGTGAACTTTATCAGCAAAAGTACAGCAAACAGCGAAGGTGGAAAGCAGGCCCCAAAAGGAGAAGGCCCCTTGGAGGCGTCACCATGACCACTAAGAGAATGTTCAGCCCCCCACTTCTAAACCCTAAACCCTAAACCCTAAACCCTACAAGCAAGAGAACAACTACTCCCCGATCAGGATGATACTTGTGGGGGTTTTTGGGTTTACAGTCTCAGCACCAGCCCAAGAGCTGAGATGCACCTGAGGTGTCTGTTTTTCTTCTTCTTCTTTAAAACAGAAAAAAAGGAAAAACTGCTTCTTAAATCGGCCTCTGCCGCTGTCTCGGCAATGCTTCATCAGAAGTCGAGAAGTTCCTGTTTGTTGAATGGGTCTAAGTTGAGCTTCGCAGATCCGTTGCAAGCACACAAACAAACGAGAGAAAAGAAAGCAACAAGCAGCGTGAAGCTCCCACAGATGATGCCCAGGCCTCCAGCATAACCCAAGTTACCAAACAAGGCCATGATGAGGTTCCAGAAGAAAAAGCGAAAGAAGTCGCCTGTGATGAAGAAGGACTCAAAGCTGTTGAAATGTGCAACAACAGAAACCGTCCCGAAAATAAACGGAGTCCACACATCAACAAACACCTCCGGGGTGAAGGAGAACAACGCCTGCCTCCATCTCTCTTGATTCACATCCCCTAAGAAGTTACCGGGCTCCACTGATAAATGCACTTTGCTTGCAGGCAATAGAAAACACCACAAGATCAATGTCAATACCCCAGCAGTCAAACCCATCCAACTCGTCACCGTTGCCAATGTTGCAGGACGATCTGCCGTTGTGCGAGTCATAGCCAGACCCAAGAAATGCACAAACCCGAAGTATTCTTTACAGAGTTAATGTACTTCCCGTAGAACGGCGAAGCGTTTCCTACAAAGCTAACGGGTACTGCCTTGAAGTACTCCGTATGAAGTTGAAGTATTCTGTACAAAGCTGAAGTATTCTATACACACTCGGAGTATTTCTCCATGTAAAAGAAACAGCTGGAAACAGATACCTGTTGATACTGAATTGTCTTAGACGGAAAGAGCTGAAACCGGAACCTCTATGGCGTAGGACTTCCACACGTAAAAGCAGCTGAAATAGGGTAACTGAAGTTCAATTTCCTCAAGCAGAAACGGCTGAAACAGGGAACTTGAAAAACTTGAACTCCTCCCACTTGCAAGGGAGAGCTGAAATGAGGCATTCAAGGATGAGATACTCGCGAATACAGAGGGGGAATCAGGCGATTGATTATAATCTTTCGATAAAAACTTCTGAAACTCCTTATATTTGCAGTATAATTTCTCCGTGAAGCTGATTATGATCAGAAGTTTGCAGACTTCCCGGCTATACCACCGGACATCAGAAAACGTGAATTCCCAACACCGAAACCGGAGATGTGGCGTATCAACGAGAACGATGCGCTTTGCCTACGCCTTCCGTCCATAAGGCAGCTAAAACCAACAAGAACAAACGCAGATATAGGCAAAGAAACAGATAAAAAGACAATAATAGTAAGGGGTAAAGAATACAAACACAGACACACAAACGGTAGCAGGACGGGCTTACTGAGCGCAGCGCATGCGGGAGCGGCGGTACTAAGAACTTTTGTCTAAAGCTGTTCTGAAGAGTGTTTTGGAATTTAAAAGGCTCGAATAGGTTCCCTCATCAAAAAAGAGAAATTTGCCACCCTCAAAAAAGAAGAAGCTCCGTTCCTTGCAGCAGAAGAGGCCTGACCACCCCCCTGGAGCACGACGCAGCTGTTTCCGGCTGCAAGAGCAGGAATTTGATTATTTCTTCAGTGTAAATTAATCATTGAACGATAAACAACTCAAATAATTCATTGATCAACCAACATACACCTTGGTGACAACGCAGTCAAGACAAAATCTCAGCCCCAGGATGCAGCCGGCGCCTTCATACCGCCAGACCGCCAGCCGCAGCCCCTGTCTTGATCGTCGGTTCTTCGACAAAAGCTCAGAAATAATTACATTAAAAATCCAAAATTATATTCAATTATTGTTGTTTATCATGATCAAAGTGAATTAACTTCCATTTTCTTTCCTCTTCCGTTCCTCCTCGCCTCAAACAATGCACACCAGCGGCTTCCCGTGCAGACTGACTGCTGCGTGGCGTCTTGCTCAGGCAAATTCAGACCCAAAAATCCGTAATAGTAAAAAATAAAATTTAATTTTATATTTTCAAATATATTATAAATATCTATTTACATTTGTTTGGGTTGATATCGATGAAAGCAACGCACTCGAGTACGTCTGCACAGTGAAAAGGCATCGCTGGTCCAGCAGTTGTTCTTTTATTTTATTCGTCTATATTTGCATTAAAAATGCATTCTTCATCTGCTGTGTGCACTCGACTATATTTTATTTAGAGCGATTTAAACACCAATTGTACTTGTGTGTAGCAGGGAAACAAATAACATTCTGCGCCTTTAACCTGCGCATATATTTAATTTGTACCAGTTTATAAAAGGCCTTTGCAGAGTGAAATCAGAGTGAGTCTCTCTTCCTTAACAAAAACTCCTAACCAATACATGTATATGTACATGAATATATGTACATTTATTCCACATATCTAATATATATAATATACATGCTGGCGAGGGATATGCACATCATGCTCTCATTATGTACACGCTAAACCTCACACCCTAAGTCATAGGCAACTCTCTACCGCCGTTCCTCGGGCCGCTCCAATATATATATATATATATATATATATATATATACACTTCTAGTGCGTCTAGCTGCGCTGCTGATGACAGACTGCCTGTGCTGTTTTCTACTTTCCCTCTGCTGTTTTTGTGATAGTAAAGCGGGGCTCTCCCTATTTGTGTTTAATTTGTTTCTAGATGTGCGTATCAATTGTTCATTGATGTGCATTTAATTTGTTTGTTCGTTCGTTTGTTTGTTTCTTCTGAGTAAAAACAAACAAAGTCTATCGTTGGTGGCTACGCACAGCGGCAGCCTTGAAACCCCTTCTGCATTAACAATACAGAAACAAGAAGGTGACGGGGGGAGCGACCGGCATATATAAATATAAATATAAATATAAATATAAATATATATAATATATATAATATATATATATATACAAGAAAAACAACAGAAATACAGCGCACTCCTTGTGCCTGACGTTGCTAATAGCTGCCTCCTTGGCAGCAGCAAACTCTTCTTGCGTTGCATGCGTTATGTTTGTTTGATTTACTTACCTCGAATATATTCAAAGAAAAGCATTATTATTCGTATTATTATCCTTATTCTAATGAATATGAAACGCCATGCAGACCCTCCACATCAATACCGCAAGCTCAGCTTGCATTGGTTGTTCTATAATACACGCCGCGATATATAAGCTATTATACGATGTACAGCATTATAATAATACAATATAAATAGATAGATAGATAGAAATATATATGCACAGCATATATGGTATAGGGTATGATATTGCAAAACATAATATAAATCAACGGTCACACCCCTTAACATATATATGTATATATATACATACACATATATACATACATATAAATAATATATATATATATATATATATATATATATATATATTATTCAAGTAGGCTTCGCCCGCACCACCACCATGAAGTCGAGAGGGGCGAATTTATGACCGTCTCCTTTGAAAAATTTGTTTTGAAATTCTACCCACTGCAGGCGCAGCGCATGCAGAGCAACTTCAAGGAGATCCATGCATAAGATAACTCCAAAGGTGATGAATGCAAATAGAGCGAACACAAAAAACAAAACAACCGATACCAGCGCGGTGTTATCAGACAGCTCCAGGGCGCGTACAACAGTCTGCGAATAAAATACTAAAGAAAGCTGTTGATGAGCAAGAGACAATGCCCAGAGACGCAGATATGAAGCTGTATTTGATATCGTTCCCAGTACAAACTCTATCGTTTCAATCATTTGAAATATAAACAAGTCCCCAGCGCCAGCTGCTTCATGCTCTCCTTTCCCTCCCTCATTATCTTCCTGTTCCATTTGCTGCTGCAGATGCTGCTGCTGTTGTGTTGCTGCTGCAGCAGCAGCACCACTCGCCCCTACTTCTAAGAGGTGCTGCGGTAACTCCTGCTCCTGCTGCTTCGCTGCAGCAGCTGCTGCCTCTTTCTCTGAACGTTTCTTCCGCAGCAGCAGCACCGTAGGCTTCACAAGCAGCATCACGGGGATAGTAAGAACAACAAGAAGCAGCAGAATACGCTCAACTGTCTGCTGATGAGAGTATAGCTGCTCTTCAGGCTTAACTTCACCCATCATACACATATTAATAATAGCGCTGATAAGGTTTGGCTTGTTATACGTTAAAGGCGTTACCCATTTGTAAACAACCATGAAATTCATATAGCCAATTAAAACCATAAGAAATACAAACTGGGGAATAAATTCAAAGAAAAAATCCAGCAAGTCCTTGAAGTGTAGAGCATTCATTCCCTTCATAATCACCCCTACACCCATATGTACAACCGCAATCAATACAGATAACTTCATCTTAATTGAATTCGTCATCAACAATTCATTCGTTGCCCCTTTCCATGCTGGATCAATCCCGAACGGATACGGATCCTCCCCCTTTAAACAAAAACACACAACCCAACAAACACACCAACTCTAACCCAGCAGCAGCAGCAGCAGCAGAGGCAGCAGCAGCAGCAGAGGCAGCTGCAGCAGCTAGAAGCAGCAGCAGCACGACCCATCCCATGCAGAAACAGCAACAATACCACCAGCAGAAGAAACAGCATCATCTGTGGCAGCATTATGATTGGCAATAGCGGCACCATTAAGAGCAGCAGCAGCAAAAACCAGCAGCACAATCAACAACAGCAGCAAACCATCATCATCCACACTAGCAGCACAAGCAAAAGCAGTATCATTAGCAGCAGCAGCAGCATAAGCATCATAATCAGCAGCGGCAGCGAAACCACCACCAACATCCTCAGCAGCAGCACCACCATCATCAAGATACTAAGCGTTAGGCTATCACCAACAGCAGCAGCAGCAGCAGCAACACCATCAGCAGCAGCACCAACGGCAGCAGCAGCAGCAGCATCATGAGAATAAGCGTTAAGCTCACCACTTGCTGCAAGCGAATGGCTCCACTGACATCTTTTGCTCCTTCTTCTGTCCACTTGGATCCGAAGATATCGACTCCAAGGGCGAATATATCATTATATAGAAACCCAACATAAAAAGCAAAGAAACCCATCAATGCAAGCATATAACGAAAGGGAAGAAAGCTCGAAAACATCCCTCCACTCGTCTTAATCCTTCCATTAAACAAAACCAAGTATAAACCCAGAAAAAATAATATCCCCCCATGCCCAATGTCTCCATACATAACTCCAAACAAAAACGGAAATGTAACAGAAGTAAGAAATGCTGGATTTGCTTCTTCATAACGAGGCACTCCGTATGTATCCACCTGTACATACACCACAAAACAAACAAAACAAATAAACAAACAAATAAATAAATACTATCAACTCTTCACACTTCTTTCATTCAAATACACCCTATTCTGTGCAATCATTCTGGTTATATTCATATATATATATATATATATATAT